TTCAGATGTCATTGAATAAGTCTTTCCAGCTGTTAATGGGTACGGAAAGTCCAGAAAAGATCCATGGCCCATTAGCACCAGCTGATCGAAAGAATTCTCATAACCTTAGTGGTTATCCTTGTAGAAGACTGTTGTTCTTTATTTCTTTCTGATTGTCACAAACAATCTGTTTAAATCTCTTCCTCTTTGTATTTTTCCACACATTGTCATCTTTGACAGAAACCATAACTTTGACATAAAATATTATATTTGAGCTTCTTTTTCTTTCTTTTTACTAAGATGAAAGCAAAATAATTGAAAAGCTTTGAGCTAGTGAGAACTTTTTAAAAAAGGAAACATATTTGATATTGGAATGATTTATGAAAATGAAATGCACAGAGGGAATATGTGACAATCGAGTTCTTTAAACAATTTATCAAACTAGATTCACACAAAGAGAAATAAATAAAAAATATGCACTATAACTAGGATAAATAAACATCCTCAAGGCAGTCAATAAAATTCTGTTTCATTGTAAAAAAAACTTAAATTGTCAAACTGCATACCCACAAGATCAAATCAATATTAAAAACAGAGTTCCTACGTATTAAATCTCTTTATGACAGTATTTCTAGAAGATTTGTTTTTTTCACTGTGAACAATGAACAAATCTGTTAACGAATGTCTAAAAACAAAGGGTAAAGAGTATTCCTTGATAGAACAATGAACAAATCTGTTAACGAATGTCTAAAACAAAGGGTAAAGAGTATTCCTTGATAGAACAATGAACAAATCTGTTAATGAATGTCTAAAAACAAAAGGTAAAGAGTATTCCTTGATAGAACAATGAACAAATCTGTTAACGAATGTCTAAAACAAAGGGTAAAGAGTATTCCTTGATAGAACAATGAACAAATCTGTTAACGAATGTCTAAAACAAAGGGTAAAGAGTATTCCTTGATAGAACAATGAACAAATCTGTTAACGAATGTCTAAAAACAAAGGGTAAAGAGTATTCCTTGATAGAACAATGAACAAATCTGTTAACGAATGTCTAAAAACAAAGGGTAAAGAGTATTCCTTGATAGAACAATGAACAAATCTGTTAATGAATGTCTAAAAACAAAGGGTAAAGAGTATTCCTTGATAGAACAATGAACAAATCTGTTAACGAATGTCTAAAAACAAAGGGTAAAGAGTATTCCTTGATATTTTTTGCTATGTAAGAAGCTTCAATGAAGATATTAAATGAATTATTTAATTTTCCAAAAAACACCATTTGTTAACTGCTAATTGGTCTAGATGAAGAGTTCGGAAGTTAAAAAAACTTGTTTTGCACCTGATTAAAAGACTGGAAACACCATGCAATTTGCAATTAGGTAAATTTTTCCACAACAACTACATTATCCAACTCTTTTTATTCCAACTGTCGCACATACGACATGCACAGCTTGAAGCACACACGCCAACAGTAAATTGTTCCATCTGAATAACTAGACACTTTTTCCCTTTTATAGCCATTGTGACCTGATCATTGATAATGGAAAACAAGGTTGAAAATTGAGATGGAATATTCCAACATATGTCTGGAGCAAATTGAATAACCAATGGTTTTAGAATAAAGACATCATCTAATTCTTTTAAAATTGATGAAAACATGAAATGCACAAAATTTAAAATTTATGTTTTACATTGTTCTAGATTAAGAACACAATTTAACCTTTTTTTTCTTTTTTTTACCAGGCATACAACTTTAAAATGTTGGGTTGTTTATTCTCTATTAAGTGGAGAGATGAAACCAGTCAGCTAATTTAAATAAAGCCTTTGTTCTGTAACTAATGTAAATTTACCCAATCCATACATCAAAGACTTGTTATGCATGACAGAAAAAAACCTGCACTTTATTGTAATTGTATATGATAGCATATGTTTCAAAAGATCAAAGGCATTTTTAATGTAAATATTCACCCTGTTTTTTATTTTATCAATTTGTAATGAAAATAGAAACCCAGCTTTAAAGCAGCACAACCTGTACTTGATTTGACTTAAAAATTCTCATTTAATTATTGCAGATCTTATCTTATTCCAATCAATTGCAGGAACCATAAATCAAACATTGGAATTGTACTGACTGAATGTCAATTTTATTGAACACAAAGCAGAAATGGAGGAAAATATGAAGGTTTACTTTCTACTTTTCTAAAAAAAACATTTTTTAAATTCTAAAGCAATGAGAAAAGGGGGTGAAACATTTTAACATACAGACAGCAATTTGTCTAATGAGGTAAATTAAAGGTTTAATATACAACTCTCTACTTCATGATCTTAACAAGCACTGGATGTGTTCCATTACACTTACCATAGTGCAAGTATTTCCTTTATGAAATATTCTTGAAGCACTAAATGTGTAAATAACTCTACATTATAGGAATTGTTATGGCATATTTGTATATTTATGTATTCTTCCCAAGGGATATTGCTCCTTTAAAGAATGCTCTATGTATGTCAGTAGAAGAGATGCTATGAATCTATGTAGGAATTAACTCCAGGTAAATGAACTCCATTATTTTAGCACCAAACTAGTTATCTCAGTTGATTAAAAGGGGAATTCCTGGAGGTGGTTCCAAATTCACATCAAAGAAAATATCTTGTATCAAAAGATCAGAGAAAAATGAACTTAACATCACTTAAGAGGTAATTAATTTTACCACTATAAAACTGTTTTTGATGACAGATTTTGTTTTAAAGAAAATATATGGTTTCAATTCTAAAATGTTGATTAACAACCTCAAAACTCAAAACTATCATCTATAACAAACTAGCAGATTCTGACCGCTAAGATTGCTTAGCATAGCAATGAGCCACCACAGATATCAAAATTCCTACCTCAAAATATATACTGAGAATATCTGCCCTACTACATTATAAGACCTGGAAATCTGCACAGCAGAGGATGAAAATTCTAAATAAGCCCTCTCCCTCCTTCAGAAAAAATCACTGCATTTTCCACTTTCCTTGAAAATTACCCCGGAGCAGACCCCCTCCCCCCACAGCAATCAGAACCCTCTAATATTCAAAAGTAGAGCCGAGGTGCTCAGATGCAATCACCCCCTCCCCATCAATAAAATCCAGGCTACGCCACTGTCCTCCTACGCATTTCAGTGTATAGCTTGGTAAAACTAACCATCAATAAGAATTCTTTTCTTATCAAAGCCAGTCATCACCAATCAAATATTTAAAAGTCACCAATATTTCTAGGAACATTTAGTTTTATTGTTCCCCACAGAGATAAAATCAGCTATATTCTACCATTCCAATAAATTTTATGATAGATAAAGCCATGTAAAGGAGAGAGAAAGGCTCAGTTTAAATGAAGAAAGAAAATAAAAAGAAAGAAAGCCATTACTTCATTATCTGAATCAAACCTCATAAATAAGGTTGGTGAGCTTGCCTAACAGCCCTTCTGGACCAGCTGGACATATAAGCTTATTACTTATATGAAATTTGTGGACCAAAAGTACAAGCAAATGTTTCAAGACAGAAGCATGGACAGGAGTTTAAGATGCCAAAAATCAGAATCTACAGATCAGCAACCAAATCTTTAGACTGTGAAACAGATAAATTGTCTTGTTCATAACTTTTGAACCCAAAGTACTGGACAACATCAAGTAGGCAAAAGTATCTACATTAGTTAGTACACACTATCAATAAAGGGTCAGGTTCAGATCTGTTGCAGCTGACATGAATGGCTGAAAAGATTCTTCAAGAAAGTTCAAGATGCTGTCAGTCACTGAAAGTCCACTTGCTTGAGATTCTGCCAGTTGCTTTGTGGAATTGAGCCACTAACGCACTCAAGAACATTTGATAAGATTTGTTTAACTAGTGCAAGAGAACGACTCCAAAACATATCTGGTACGCACACTAAAATATTAAATTAAGTGTTCCCCATACACATTCAAATGCTAAAAAGTCTCTTTCGAATCCTGTTTATATTATGGTTATGTTAAAACTAGAGTTTATAAGGCGAACCAAACAAACCATCATAAACTATGTTTCTATGAATAGTTCAGGTTAGAAAGAGAAAAGATAACATTCCAAGATCAATTTCTTTACATAAATCAAAGAAAAGATGGGGTCACAAGAAAAACCAGTGTTTTTATAAACTTTGTATTACAGAGTAACACACCTCACCCATCAAATCTCTCCATCTCTCTACCTCACAATCATCAATTCTATCTTGATAAGACAGTGTTCCCTTTTTGGTTGTGACTTATATATTAACTAACAAAAGGGTTATATTCTCGACTTTGGTGAGGACAAAAAGTTTATTCTTTCTTTAAGAACGAGGTTAAACCCAAAGTTTTGAGAAAAATATGATGTAAAACCCCATTCCTTTATATTTCATTATAAATTGTTATTTGGATTACAGGCTTGTCGTAAAAATGTCTTTAAGGTATCCTGAAAACCTTTTTATTTGTGGTTGTTACATTATATGTAAGATTAAAGAGGAAAAATTATTCATTACATTGGCAGGCTCAATCAAAGCGAAGTGACAGGTGTCCTGGAAGAGTGAGCAATTACAGCTACCCTGTTTATATAAATTAGACATAACTAATGAAAAGGAACAAAATTAATTAAACAAATTGTGTGTAATTTCAAGTTTAGAACAAGCAATGCATGTAATTTATTTAATGTGTGATATTATTATTGTATATTATTAAATGCATGTTATTGTTATGTTATGCTATTTAAAAGCATGTTATTACTGTGTTCCATCAAATCCATGCTGTAGAAACATGGTATATCTGAAGGGGCAATATAATGGGGTTGAGTATCACAAGGTGTCTTCTGTATACTCCAGTACATTATTGTGATGGGTGTACGTTATAACAATAAGAACACCTCAATAACGGCACACTTGCTTATCAACACAACTACCCTATATTCACCGGCGTATATTGCTCATAACGCACACTTGTCTTGGGCAGTATAACGTGTATATACACTGCTAAATAAACAGTTTATTGTCCTACCTGCATGATACGACCTTCGGCTCCAACAAGGGTTCCAGCCGGTGAAAAATAGCCGTACAACTGTTGGGAATTCGTCTTATAACCGCCATTCTCTGTCGTTTCATACAAAACGATCTCCAAAATAGCCGTATTCTTGCCCATAACAGAAAACAGGAGAGTACATACACCTATTAGAACAATTATCATCTTGTTACATTGTCTTTCCTTAGTCGAGGCATTATTCCCGATTTATTCCATGCGTTTCACAATACAAGTAATTTCCACACAACAAGAGAACAACATACGTGCCCCCTTAACACGGTTTAATACAAATGTGGCATGCATCAAAAGCTGAAAGCAGGTCACGTGTATTGAGGTTTCCCCGCCTACAATAACTAACCAATGAATAATGTATACAGACTTCTCATTCATTCTAACGGTATACCTCCAGTACTTGATATATGTCCAGTCGACAACAGAAGCAATGGCCGTGTTACATCACATCATGAGCAATACATTGATAATCATGTACTTTAAATAACTGTTGTTTGGTGCTCAAAGAAAATTATTCAATTTTTCATGTTGGATATATATGGAAATAAAATGCATTTACCGGTACCGGAGGAACAAAGTATATCAATAAAGCTCACAAATTCCTTACAGAATAAAATTTAAAAAATGAACAGAAAGAATGAATGGAATGAATGAACGAACGAACGCCCAAAGAATGAATGAAAATTGACAAAAAGTAAAAATATCTAGCAGTCAGATTGAATTATTTTGTTGAATTTTTTGTGATGGTTCGAACTTTTAAAATATCCGCAAAATTTTGTTTGGTTGTTTGAAAGAGGAAGGGATTGTAGAAGGTGTAGGAAGGGTACTGGTTTATTTTTACGTGTTTGTCCAAGCTTGCGTGGGAGCCTTTGGTCAATAATATAACTATGTGGTATTTACTAACCGTTCAAACCATGTACAGTACTCACAAATACAAATTTTAAATTTCCGTGAAATTGTTCGAACATCATCGTTGTTTTATATTAGCCAGATAGTTACAAGTTCATAAAAAGCCATAACTTAGAAAAAAAATCTTCTATTATAGACATGTGCTTAGAGCAATTTATAATAATTATATGAATTTCAATTAATTTCACTATGATTATATTGGGTTTAATGAAATTTTCAAAAGATTTGAAAGATCTTTTTATGAAAAATGATGAAGTGGAACGGGCTTATAAGGACGGGTAATACAACATTTTGTATGCTGGTCTCTTACTTGAAATACTGCAAGTAACATATTGGTATAAATTGTATCTATACAATAATTGACGTCGTGTCCCTTTAAATAACTCTAACTTGGAATCAGTGCAATATCAATATTAGAAGTATGAATTATAACTGATATACGCCTAGTCTCAATAGTATTAATATATCACTTCTCTTGTCATATATACAACTTAATCATCGCAGTTACAAAACAACGTATTCTTTATCAATAAGGACCATTTAAAGGGATTATAACATTTATCTTTTATGGCTTCTTGAAGTTTCTTTGTCAATCTTGGCAATTTATAACGTGTTCTCTTTGACTTGAGAATAGGCGAAATTCTCTTACAGTGAAAAGACTAAGGTATTTGTCAATAGATTTTTACCAAGACATTTTATATTAATACGGAGGAGGATTCCTGTACTGTATGTATGTGTGTCCGTGGCAGTTCAACACTTAAATAATCTTATTGCGTCATTCCAATTTTCTGTGGATCTTGTAAATTCAGAAAGACCTGACCATATGAAAACGTCACATCCGCAAGGCGAAGTTGTCTGTTGATATGGGGCCCCTTTCTGTCATCAAATGAGATCTGCAATCTACATAATTCGATTATTAGGTAATCTATCGAAATATTATGACAATTTGATAGGACTAATAGAGATTTAACAGCAGGGGCTTCCTTGGATTTATAGTGTTCATTAAGCACCATATCTACGAATCCAGTGATATAAATTGAAACGGGGCAGTTATTCCTGCCGATTAGAAATAATTTATAGCTCGGATGTCTTCCTGGTCAACCTTTTAGTAAAGAGAAAAACAGGCCCGTAGCCAGACTTGATTGTTTGGAGGGGCAAGAAACATATCCAATGTTGTATGGTACTGCAGTAATGTAATTGGTTGGTGATCGGTATTTTTTTTTTGCCCTCCTTAGGGCTACGGACCTGAGAACAATATACAGAATTTCATTCTTTTTTTTCTTTTTTTTTTTTTTTTTTTTTTTAATAATCTTGAAATGAGTTGGAATATAAAAATTCATGGACAATAACTCAAACCACTTCTTTCAATATCAAAGTTATGATTCATCTATTTGAACTCGTGACCGTCAAATCAAAAGAAACGGTTTATCAAATTCTGATCAAAGCTTGAATAAGTTGTTAAATTCAAAAATACAGTCCAAAAATATTGATACAGACAGGACAAAGGCATAGGATATTTTAGCTCAAGATGTTTGCATGTTTTAAATGTAAATCACCATTGTTACTCAATATTCTGACACACGGTAAAAATATCATGTGATGAAAGATTTATAGGAAAATGTGATTTACTGTCAAAATACCGAACATTCAAAATACTTAGATCGACTAGTAATATCTATAACAGATGACTTACTTTGATTCGAAAAATATCCATCCACACATCCAACGAGAATGTCCGTTGAAATCATCACGATTGGACTTTATATCGCAGAAAATATTACTTTTCAATATCAGGAAGAAGTGGGAACTTTACTTGCTAAAGGTTGTTTAGGGTTTTACTTTGGTTTGCAAGAAGTTTGATGCAAGGTTACGGTTATACTTGCTGACTCAACATAGCTTAAAAATCTCTGAACGGTTGACATTCGAGAAATTATGTGCATTTTGAAGGACCTTAATTTATATAACTTTAAACATTACGGGGATGACGTTTATTAAGAACAAAGCATAAAGCTTTTCTTCCGTCAAGGCTTTCGGAAGGTGTGAAAACCACATGTGGTACGTATAGGAGAATAATTTTGGATGATAAGGTTTTCCATAATAGATCTTAAAGGCTCTAATATTACCATGAATTCGAGAAGAGAAATATTACAGATGAAAGAATACCCCTATATATACCAATAATAGACAGGGTCATTGTTGACTCAGGTCAGTCTACGACGAAGAATAGGTATGTAATTATTGGCGGTGAGATCAAAGACTAATGCAAATATAGGTAAGTTTATTGGTGAATAGAGGGATTGTGCTTGAGTAAGTTTCACGCTAAATTAACTATGTTCTAACGGTAGATTGTCGACTATTTATCCACGGTTCTCACGAACATTCTAAATCATAGTTCAATATGAAAATAATATAAGGGATTTAATTTAGAGATAGTAATTTGAAAACTATATGAAGATATATCCTTCGACCTTCAATGAAGGTAATTGAATAGATAATAATATCATATAAATTTTGAGAAAACTGATCAGAAAACTCCAAAAAAATTTCACAATATCTCACGTAATCGTCCACAGAGGCAACACAATCATGGTTTTACAGACCTAAAACCTGTGAAAATGATCTCAAACGACGACACACAGTGATAAAAATCTCTAGATCAAACAGAGATACAGATCTCTAACAAGGTCAAACAGAGAAACAAATTTCAGCAAAGTCAAACAGAGAAACAGATCTCTTACAAGGTCTAACAGAGATACAGATGTCTAACAAGTTCAGAGATAAAAATCTCAAGCAAAGTCAAACAGAGATATAGATCTCTGACAAGGTCAAACAGAGATACAGATCGCTAAGAAGGTCAGACAGAAATACAGATCTTTAAGAAGGTCAAATAGAGATACAAACTCTAAGAAGGACAAAAAGAGATATAGATCTCTAACGAGGTCAAACAGAGAAACAGATCTCTAACAAGGACAAAAAGAGATACAGATCTCTTAACAAGACAAAACAGAGATACAGTCCGCTGACAAGGTCAAACAGAGAAACAGATCTCTAACAAGGTCAAACAGGGATACAGATTTCTAACAGTCACACAGTGAGATATAGATCTCTAACGAGGTCAAACAGAGAAACAGGTCTCTAACAAGGTCAAACAGAGATATAGATCTCAAACAAGATCAAACAGTGATACAGATCTCCAACAAGATCAAACTGGTATAGATCTCTAACAAGATCAAACAGAAAGAGCTCTGAGATAAAGTCAAACAGAGAAATAGATCATTCACAAAGTTTAAACAGATCTCTTACAAGGTCAATAGAGATATAGATCTTTAACAAAGTCAAACAGAGCTGCAAATCTTTAGAAATGTTCATAAGAAAAATTTGTTTTTATTAATGTATATTTCAAATAGATAAACAGGTGGATAAATATACAGGCTGTGGGAATTAGGCAAAAACATAACCACAAAGGTTGCATATGAATATATCAAAAAACCTTCTTCCAAAAAGAATTGGAACAGATGCATCATGTCCTTTTGCATTTCATGTTTTGAATAATGAACTGTGTAAATAAGGTAGGACAAAAAATACGGAATCAGACTAGAACTAATGGAAGTTTGTTCTTCAAAAAATTTGGTCTATATCAAATGCTGTTTGAAAGTTTTTGTTCCAAAACTTTAAAATTTCTTGAGAAACAAAAAAGGAAACAGGTGTTTTCCACTGAAAAATTGGATTCATTTTCAATTTGTATTCTGAATAAATAACTGTGTTGATAAAGTCAGACATGTAGACTAAGTAAAGTTAGAAAGAGACCCAGTGTGAGAACCAATGTTTGTAATCTCATCTCTTATTATCATATCACTTCTATCATAACATCATAACAATTTCTTTGTTGTCCAATTATTACTCTCACCTTTCTCAGATAAAGATATTCCCCTTGATCTTTATAAATAGATAAAGCAGGTTTATCAGATAATAAAATCTTTTTAAATTATTTTAATATTTCACTTATTTTAATTATTCTCTTGACTCATCATGTTTTCCTCATTATGTTTCTTATTACAAAGAAAAGGTTCATTAATATTTTTGGCTTTCCTGCTTTCATGTCTGCTTTTTTAACTCCTTTGTGAATTAGTCAAAATGTGTGAAAAATATACAAAATAAGCCATGAGCAATGGAGACTCTCTGTGATGGATGCTTAATTGACTTAACTCATTAACAGAGTATCAGGTCATTTCTAATAATACCAGCCAGAGGACTATTTCAGTAGAATTCAAATTTAATCATATCACAAAACATGAGAGTTCTTGACATTGACTCATTACACAAAATGGTTATTTGTACCCAAAATTTCCCACAATATGATCTAAAATGGTTCCATTTGATATTTAATATTCTTTGCTATGAAATGTACAGTCTTAAAGCTCACATTATCATTAATAAATCCTTATCTTTGACAAATTTAAGGCAACAGTCACAAGAAAAGTGAATATTATGACAAGGGAGGTAAATCTTGTTATCTACTTCAGACAACAATTACTATTACATTTTAACTTTATAATTTATTTCAGTGCTAGTTCATTAACAATAACAATGACTTTTCGACTTCATAGTTCTGTATAAAATTTATATATTCCACAGTACAATGTGTTCTTTAAAAACCTTTCAACCATAGCTTTTCTTTAAGTTGAGGAATTAAGATCGCCATCTACAATAATTAATAAACAGTTTATAAATTTTAGATTATCTATACATAGGAGCAAAATTATTGCATAAGGGGGTGAAATCAACCAAAATTGATGACTTTTTGGTGGGACAATTCACTACACTGTAGGCCCTACTTACATTTTAAGAACTTTATCTTTTCCACCACTGGCAACTCTTTGACCATCTGGACTCCAATCTACAGCATAAACCTACAATAAAATCAAACAATCAATGATATTAGAGAAATATTACTCTTAGAATGAACAGGAAAATTTAAGACTCAAACCTGGTCAATTTAAGTATACATTCATCAGTTTCAGCCTTCAAAATTACTTAAAATTTACTTATTGAAATTTTACTTAGTTTTATGGATTCGTGGGATTATAAAGGGATTCTGTAACACAAATTCTGTTGTGCAGCAGTGGCAGAGCCAAAGGGGCCCAAGAAAGAGTTTTTTGGAAAAAAAGTATGATAGAAATTCGGGCAATCTGATATTTCGCTCCCCTTCAGACGTAAACCTGGCTCCGCCACTGTTGTGTCGTTAATACACAAGGTAAGTCCACTGATAAAACAAACATTTAATTTGACTAAGTATAAAAATTTCAATTATTTGGTCATTCCCACAGGCAATATACCTTTTAAGGAATATAATAGTCAAATCATTCAAATCCTGATCATATTGGACCATCTTTTTAAAATGTTTTCGTTTCATATTTTTTGAGTGCCTCCGCTTGCCATCTATGATCTGATGAAATTATTATGTATATTATGTTCTGGGTCATATAATATTAATTCAATCAAATGGTCAGTGTGATTCTGGAACAATGTGAACATACCTCATCAGCATGGCCTGGTAAATCAAATAATAATTTCTTCTCTAAGATGTCCCAGACTTTCAGTGTAGAATCAGAACTTCCACTACATAATAATCTACTGTCAGCTGACCATGCTACTTGATAGACTCGATTAACATGACCTCTTAAACTGGCTAGAAATCTGGAAAAATAGATTCATGGAAAATCTCACTGAAAACTATTTTGCACAATATTTTGCATTAATCGCTTTTTCAAATACATATCTCTGCTTTTTTTACCTTCTTTTAAACAGTATTATAGAAACATCTAACAATGAATAGATAGACGGTGTTATTTTGATCAAATATCAAACTTAATCTTGAGATTGAGAATTCTCAAATTTGAAGACTAATGGGAGATAACTCAAGAAAAATGTGGAAAACTTAAAAACTGTTCTCTTCAAAATATCTTTTAAAAAAGGATTTTAAATTCTTTTACTTAGAAATTAGAGAAATAAAATCGACAACTACTTACTTTCCTGATCTTCCTTCCCATAATTTAACAGATTTATCAAAGGAAGCACTAGCTATAAGTCTGGTATCTGGTGAAAACTGAACTTCATTAATTAACTGTTGATGACCTGTCATCCTAGCAACAGATTTCTTCTCTGTTTCTGGTGTCCATAGAAACAAGGTAAAGTCATCAGAGCCTGATACCAACCGTTCCGGTTCGCTTCCCTGAAATAATAGTTACAGGTTAATATTTCTGCAATGGACATAAATAAACATAAGTTATAACTACAAAACAGAATCAACAAAATAGAATATTGAGAGTTCAATATGGCGATACACAAAGATGAAATCATTTCGTTTATAAAATTTGATTGAGAAACATTGTGGAAAAATAATTATCTTATTAAAACATGAAGTAGGCCTACAAGGTCTTTCTTTGGCACCTGACAAGTGACATGGATTGGAGAAGATTGTATAATATTCATGAGCTATCCTTATAAAAATAGTGTATACCTTGGCAGCATCATATCTGGCTTGAGCTTTCTTCCCTAACTCTTCAGCTGAAATTCAAAGTAAAATATTAATGATTGTTGATATCACAAGATTGTCATCTGTTTAGTAGGTTTTAACCCTAAATTCAATTGTATTCTGTATCAGGTAACAGGTTTAAAATCTATAATTTCAAGCTGATGGAAACCTTTTGCGATATATTCCATGTCATATATTATAATTGAAAGTGAAATAATTTGCTCAAATCTGCTATTCCGTAAAAATCATACTAATCTTTATACCCCTTGGACACATGCAGTGTGATGAATGAAAAGATATTTCTCTCAAAAAGATTATTTTATTTCAAATTCTATTTACTGGCAATACAATCAGAACAACATCCCTCCTTCATTCAAACCTTAATACAGTATACACTAAGGGCAAACAATTCACATCCTACTTCAAAATTTCAATAGGTTTGGTTGTCCAGTAAATAGATAAGGTCAATCTAGTCCTATATATTGAACTAAGCAAAAAGTAAATATAATCGCGAGGGATGTGTTTTGAAAAAACCATGTCAACGCAATCAGTATTTTTAGATTATAACACAGTATGATATATTGTACAATTGAAATTTAGGTAAACAGTCAACCATTTTGAAAATTTTGAGGGTTGTCATTGCAATTTAGTGTTTTGTTAAAGGATTTAAGGATATTTTGAAGTATACGAAAGGTAATATACATAATTTGTTGGTAACTTAGAGTAAAATTTGTTTATAACAGCAGCTTTAGACCTCTTAGATTTTAATTTCATAGGTTAAGGAGTCTAGCCTGCATATTATATGTTTCATTAAACAAGAAGACACTTTTTCCAATCAGACCTTTTAATTAATTTAATTTCCGAAGGTCTCATAAATAGGTTACCTTATGCTAGAGTCAAATCCTGAACCATACACCAAGTGCATGAAAACCTGAATTCCATCCATCTCATCTCCTGCCACGGTCAAATCCTAGACTTCTTATAGTTCTCAGTAAGTGAGAAAGTTTCAAAATAACTAAAAAATAGCGGCTCAAAAACATTGTCAGCAATATCACAAGTATGGTTAACAGACATTTTTTGGTACAATAGAAACATAAAAATGTTTGATAATTTCAAATCTGATATGACATATTGATCAACCTTGGTTTAAAGATTTGTGGTCTATATTCAAGATAAGGACAAGCTATAGGTTGTGTTTGAACTTCAGGGTGGAGCTTTATCTATTATCTCTATTCAGACCAATGACCTATATTTCATTTTTCTATAGTAAGTGCAAAATGTTGTCATTGAATAAGGGCTTTAGTACAAGTGTCTTCTCTATTCAATTGCTGTAAAAATCTAAAGAAAGTTAACAAGGACCTATCCAAGAAAGATTTGTGCATCTTGTGGTCTGTAGTAAGTATGATTGGGCAGGTCATCATTACACTTACTGATCACTGGTGATTTTCTTTAACATACACTATTTCTATTGTTTATTAAAGAGGTAAGACACAATTAATATAAGCGTTGAAAATAAATGTCTGATTAGATTGATCGCTATTAATATCTTTTTGTATCTAAATAGGAGATTTCATTTTTTTCCAGTATAGGTTTATGATTTACACACTGTCAGTACTGAAGTGTAACATTGACAACTTTTTAACCATTTTATAAAATATATCAACCAATTTGATTACATGAAATTGGGCTCGTCATATTTCTGATATACCAATTATCAAATGAATAGATTATTATTGAAATATCAGTTCAAAAGTTGATGTTGATAATGATGTTTAAAATAGTACATAATGTCATCATTTTGTTTACGAAATCAGCTATATAAATAAACAATTAGCGTTAACACAAACACCAACAAACTGAAACAATAATATAATAATATAAACAATAAGGATTTATAAGGGAGAACATTGTTATGTATGTATAGAGATTTTGGAGTATTTTCTCTACCAAATCGGCTAAATTATAAGGTAAGATCAGGAAAGGTGTCAAGTATGTAATAAATAAAGAGATTATCTATTATTTTTTTAAACCAAATCCACCAAATTTCATCCAATCCAAGCATGGACTTCCAACATTAATATTTCATATAAATTAGTCCTTAATCAGATTTCAACATACTTTTATGAAAAGATATATGATTACATATATTGGTGCTACAAAACCTGACAAAATATATCGTAAACTATTCAAAATATATATATCAATTGCTGTTTTGTCTGGATAAGCCCACCATAAAAAGAATTTCCATGTCATAACCATATTAACCTATATATGTGGACATAAAGGTATAATTTATACAGAAAACAAAGTTTAAGACAAGATTTGTAACAAGTAACAAGATTTCAAACAAGTATTTAACTACAAGTAAGTTTTCACTACTCATTATCATTTCTCCATTTTACAATAGCTATTACAATGGTCCTAATGTAAAGTACATATAGTAGAAATAAGTCTTATGGCAAAAAAAATATCAATGGTTAAACTAGGGGCCCCATTTCATGTCCTTATCATAATGCTGCTGTCCTGACAAAATTTCCCATTGCACAATGCATGGTATTGGCGTTCCTCGTAAACCCAATCAGGTGCAGAAAAGTAGTAATAAAACCATGATATCTTATCGTTTACAGCAAAAAAATTATAAAAAAAAGTCTACATTTGTATATCATTTAAACTACCTTGTATTTACTGTTATCAATAATATATTCAATATCTTTTATGTATTTAACCTACTTATAAATCAAATAAACTTCTCAATAGTGAATCATATCAATAATATAGGTTAGGGTACTTTACTGTCTTAGTGTTATTATCAACAAAAATTATACTGGAACAGTCAGGTGAGATTAGTCAATGGACAGGAATAAGGAATCTTGAATATAGACCACAAATCTTTAAACCAAGGTTGATCAATATGTCATATCAGATTTGAAATTATCAAACATTTTTATGATTCTATTGTACCAAAAAATGTCTGTTAACCACACTTATGATATTGCTGACAATATTTATGAGCCGCTATTTTTTAGTTATTTTGAAACTTTCTCACCTACTGAGAACTATGAGAAGTCTAGGATTTGACCACACTATCTGACATGTCAATTGTCTACCAGAAATCACAAGCTCAGTTGCAAAGAGGCATAAGGTGTTCTGGAGAGCTTCTATGTTGCGCTCAAATGAGCTCAAAGAAGCATCATGACCTCAAAGAATACACTTTATGCTAACTTGCTAAAGCCAAATGGCTTAAAAAGTTCGAAGTAATTACATCAAAATAGTAAACCATTTTTCCTTTTTATTTTCCAGGAAGTAAAAGAAAATGTCCAAAAGTATCCCAAGTACAATAGAGATGGAGAACCGCCATAAAGATGAAGGACTCTCAGAGGTTGATGGTGCCAAACTAAAAGCCATTAAAAACGAAGTCAAAATTTTGAGGAGGAATCGGATGTGTCAAGTTTTTATATTTCTTGTGATTTTTGCGTTGGATGTGGCAGATCTGCTGAGTGACTGGTTTCTCTATGTGGATGTGAGTTTAGCTAAGCCTGGATTAGTATATGGACCTCCAGATCAAGCATTAGTCAATGCCTTACTGGTTTTCTCAATCATTGGATCTATAACATTTATATTAGAGGCTATAAACATGGGAAAAGAAATCTTTACCTACGAGCCTTACATAGACTTAGATTTCGTATCAGCTTTGATCATTTGGATTGAGGATGTCCCTCAGATTGTGATTAACGTTTTAATTGCCTTATGTCGAGAAGATCCCATCAGTGTCTTTCAAACTATTAAAGCTGCAGTAATTTTAATAAGTATTGTTATTCGAATAATAACATCTATTATTCGGTATACTAATAAAAAGGCGTTGCGTCAGGCTAAAATGCATACAGCATACACCAACAGACATATATTCTATCATGTAATGATAATATTAGGTCTCTTAGTTAACGCAGCTTGTGCTATTGCTGTATTTATTTTCACCCAAACTACCAAAGATGCAAATGGTCATATTAATTTTGAAATCCCTGATTCTGTTTTTGAGGCTAAATATCATGATGAAAGATATTTCAAAAATGTCAGCATCTATTTTCATCATCCAACCTTCGACCTGATCAAACATATAGAGAATGACACAGAATACAAATGGATGCGATTAATGAAAATAAATACAATTCGGAATCAAAGGGATAAAAGAGCCATTTTCAATGTCCAGTTTGAGGAAAATTCCAATGTATTTAATATGGTTCTGTGGGAAAAGATTAACAACGGAAAATGGGATCCTGTAGAGTGTTATAGTGTTGATAAAACTACTAATATAATAACTAATGAAACTAACTGTGCCACATTTTTAACAGGAGAGACTACGTCTTATCTCTTCTTATTCTATTTTGTTTCACCAGATACGTTTTTTCACCAGCTAGTGTTCGGGGATATCAAATTCAATCTGAAGGTCAATAACTCTATTGGATGTATCGAAAATAATAAAATTGCGGAATCAATCAAAGAGGGTTTTGAAGAACAAATACCCATAATTCATTATTATCGTACACTATTGTCAGAAGACCATCATCTGCTGAATGATAATGGTGATGTCAGATTTTATGAAAATGTAAAAGATTTTGAAGATATAACGAAGGTTTGGGAAACAGGATGGTCTAAATGTGATACTACTGGGGTTTTAGCTCCTCATTATGATACAGAATTAGAAGCACCTTGTTATATGACACAGACATAATGATTACTATTGTTCAGAATTTACAAAAAGAAAGTTGAATGTCACAAAGACTGAACTATTATCTTTTTAAAATACATATCAAGATTACTTTGTTCTGTGTTTCTTCTGCAAGTACTGGCCTCACTATTTTTAAATGGTGTATGTATTCAGCACGTAAAAAAATACAATAAACTTGATCTGCATTGAATCAACATGACTTAAAACTGAACATTGGAAATTTTTTATTGTCACTCTCATTGGTGATATGTCATAAGACCCTAATTTATCTATTACCAAAAATAAACCTTTTTGTGAATATTAAATAATTAGCTCTTCTTAAACATTTGTTAAAAACTAAAACATGTCAGTTTATAATTTATTGGCTCAATATGCTTTAAGTGTATCTTATAGAGCTTAATTTGAAATATGACATCTAGTGAAGGAACTTTTATTGAAATCCTACCTATTAAGTTATATCTGTGATAGTGCTAAAAAATGTCCAAAGATACAAGGATTTTCATATATATATATTTTAATACAATTTATTTTTTGTAATCATCAGTAAATGCACCATATATCTTACAAGTGTCTCACATCATCAAGGGTAATTCTTTAATCTATAGGACGAGAAAAGAGGTTATTGCACAGCAATTTTTCCTGCATGTGATTGGGCAAAAGAAAAACACATAATGCCTTTTCACATGAGCACCATTTTACATATTGTGTTAGTAATAGTTAGGGCACACATTGGATGTTATATTTTTGTATGATAGTAGTAAATTTAAAAAATTTAGATTTTTGAACATTTTGGTCACTTCATTGTTTATTTTGTGATTGAAATCAGAAATCCAGAGATCTCAGGATAAAATGCTTTGTATAAAAGCAGTAAACCAATGATATTTCATAACATTAATTCATTATAATAAATGTATGTATTTGTATATTACCAAATAAAGTTATATTTATTCTCATGTTGTTTTATCACGATCACATGATGCCTACATTATGGCATGCAATGAACAGGAGTATTTATCTCTGCCATAGCTAATGTTCTCAGTCAATGCAATTCAAGGAGAATCACTGGCTATTCAATCTTGCCTTCATGGCAACTCATTCACTGTACCTAATCACTAAATTCACAATTTGTCAATAGATGTGATCCATAGTATAACTTGTAACTAACTTACTCACCGGAGTCTGTGATCAACTCTTTGACTATAGTAGCATTTTTAGGATCAAACCAGCCTGTTCTCATTGCATAATCTGTACTTAATGCCATTGTGTTCACCCAATGACCGTGACCTTGTAATGTCCGACATAACACACCCTAGAAGACACGAAATGTATAATACAGACATAACTATAGTTATTTCTACAAACTTTTTTCACATTTACGTATAGCTAGTAAGTTGGTTGTCCAAAAAATCAGACTATGTTTTCACCACTGCTAAAAGATGAACAACGGTTTTGGGGTATTTTGAATTATAAAGAAGGTAGTCATAGGAAAAATAACCAAACAGATAGAAAACGACACGGTTACTTGAATTGTTATGAGCTTTGGAAATTTGTTTGGTTTAATATAACATAATAGAGAAATAACCTTTTCCTAGCATTCAATTATCAAAATTGAGAGTTCTTAACACTATTTGAAAATATTCTGGAGTTTGAATCTAATACATTTTGCAGAAAAAAGCAATTGTTAACAACTACAATAGTATATAGCTTTACTTACATCTTCAGCTCTATAGACTTTAATAGTTCTATCTTGTGATGATGTATAAATTAAATTACTGCCTCCCCATTTGACACACGATATACATTGTAGATGTCCTGACAGTGTCAAGTGACATTCACTCTTTAATGTATCCCATATCCTTACTGTTGAATCCTATATCAGAGAAAAGAGAAACATATTTAAGGGATCTTCAAGGGATCAACAGGCTTCCAAAATTACTGGGCATGCCACTTGCCAAAACAAAGCTTTATTAAATTCAGTGTAGGAATCTATGACCCAACTTCCACCTAATGCTGGAGTGATGATTGTAATGATAAGCTAGTTTGAAATCCAAGTCAGTTGCAAGAAAACATCCGCATCAAATCAGTCTATATGGATTATGGAGATCCATCAAACCATAGCCTTCTCTATTAGCATACCAATAGACAGAAATAAACTCATACAAATATCTGAATGTAATATAAATCAAGGGCATAACTTACTTTTGAGGCACTAGCTAAATATCTACATTCTGGATCTCTGAAATCAAAAGAGAAACTATGTTATTTTGTAAGCTGTACAGAATATGAAACATGTAGAATGAAAATCCCCAAAGCAAGAAAAGTCTTAAGGCTACTGAAAAATGAATGATACTTACAAATGCAAAGGTTTCCATGCTAACCAAGTTATCCATTGTTTATGACCAATTAAAGATTTCCCAATCTGCTGCCCACTTTTTGGATCCCAAATACACACCTACAAATAATAGATGATATCAAAATGATAAATCTCAAAAATTCAACTTTACTTTGTAAATATATGTGGAGCTATGCTTTTCAAACCAATCATTCCTCATGTATATTGGACAATTCATACAATCATGCACAACACAGAGATTTTCATAATCATTTCATAAATCAATGCAAGTTTTCTTTGCAAACACTCTCTTAGTATAAAAAGACACTGAGGTGGGACTATACCTGACTATTTTTACAACCAGAAGCTAATTTTAACCCATCAGGTGACCAGGCTATACATAATATCCAATGTTTATGACCTGTAATTATAAAAAAAATTTACATTAAGAATAATTATCAAAGGATCTGGAAATATAACGTATGAGGGCCATAACCATACTTAGGGGAACATGAGAATTCTACAATACTATTGACAAAAGTTTCACTCACCTTTACAAGTAAACTGTGGTGTCTCTGTATTTACATCCCAAAATCTTACTGTTGTATCTCCTGAACCACTGGCTAAATATCTGATAAAATAAAAATTAATTCCGTTATTAATATAGTAGGATTAATCATTAGAATCTTTTCTGACACATATTTAAAAAGAAAACAAAATACAGAAGACAACCTCAGCCAACAAATGAGGTGATAAATGTGATACATAACACTTATCAATCTGAAGAATTCAAATGCTGTCACTTCTTCTGGAAACATCCATTCATTTATACATTTATTTCCTTTTCCAAATGTTTATCTGAGTATAATTGATATTTAACAAAAAAAAAAGGTTTGAAAAAAATAGTAATTTTTAAGAAGAAATGAAATCAGAAAATATCTTTATTCTTACCTGCCATCTGGACTAAAAGCAACTGAAATGACAGCATCAGCATGTCCCTCTATAGTACCAGTACATCTTGTTACAGCTCGTACTTTAAATACTGACTGTGGTTGATAGATAATATCTAATACTTTCTCAGTATTCTCTAGTTGATCTTTATCTAACGTCTTCTCTAAACTCTCAGTTATTTCTATATCATTTACAAAGAATGAATATGGTGTTGGTTCTTCCTAGAAAACAAATTGTAGGGTTCAAGGTTATTAAGTCAATGTCCAGTAGAAGCTGATATCCAGACAGATAAAAGGAATAAGTAAAGAGTGCCACTTTGCTAAACATGATTATTCTTGGACAAATTTTCAAAATTACTTTCAATCTAGACATACAAACAAATAAAACAATCAATATGCTATATTTCAATCTGCGAATTAGGAATATCTGTATCTGGAAATACAGCAAAACTTAGTGAAAATGTTCTCACATGAAATTTAGCAATTCACTTTAAATATAACAGAAAATTATATGTATTACCTTTTGTAATATAGCATTACAAATCAGTTCTAATTTGTGAACATTGATATTAACTGGAAGATCAAAAGGTGAACCAGTTACTTCCCCTGCTTCTGATTTAAACTGAACCAGTAACCTTTGACCCAATCCATCTTCACTCACACTGTCCCCATCACCACTGTAAAATAAAGTAAACTAACAGTTATTTGTTTCATGACATGAGTTCTCCTGAAGTGGCAGTGTGTGCATATATTTAAAAAAAAATGAAATAGCTCAAATGTTTTGATGTTTTCAGAAAGTGTACAAGCGAAGCGAATGAAGAACTCGTTTAAACAATTATGGAAATATAACAATCTCAACACAATCCCCTTATCGGGCTCCAATCAATGTTGTCGAGGTGATAATCTGGTATGAACACATACAGATGGATTTAATATCATAGTAAAAACCCTGTAAACTAACTGGGCTGGAGTGAAGTACATTATTAGTCCTTGGGATTTTAAACAAGAATGTCCAAACATGCAGAATATATTGAAAAATATATCTGGCGACACACTTAATCTACAGGTTTATTCAATACAATATTGAAGGAGATTCAAAACATTATCCTTAATATTCTTTACCTTCCAAAAGACTTGAAAATCTGTCCTTACAGTTTGAAAACTAGAACCTGACTGACAACAGGGTTGTCGGCCAAAACACTAATTAGCAGAGCTCAGGTTAAAATTAGAACCTCTGAAGTGATGAAAGTTCAGAGAAAGATTTTGAAAAGAAATAGAGGCAGTGAAATGTGACTTAAACTGGCTGTTAGTTTAAAACTGTGAATGTCTCTGACTGAAAATAACTAATTACAATTAAACACATTTAATTTCACTCTCAACATTATGTTACTGGTGCATAACAACATGAATTTCTGCTTTTAAAGTAAATTTAATTGAGGATAACATGAAAGACCTCATTGGCTTTGAGACCAAAATATTCAATGTAAATTTCATAAAATAAAGAAACACCAATCTTAAGCACATAATTATGACACATACCATGGGCATAATATGCAGATAAAAATTCTCATGGTTGATAATGCTAAGTCTGGTATTTTAGTATGAACTTATTTACTGCTGAATCCGATTTTTAGTGAATACGCTACAATGTGAAACCTTGGCAAAACAGAGACACCATGCTAAAACTTCTTCTAGTGGAAATTTTAAAGAGTTTGAATCCATTAATTTCTATCAAGACCTGCATCATCGAAAAATCAAGTCTTATGAAATATTAATGTTTTAAATTACCTCATTTTTGTTATGATCAAAATAATATTCAGCACAACAATATTTGTAAACAAACGCACGTGTGAATTTGACAGCGGAAGTGCAATTGAATTGCGTCCCTTCCTTGTGATCTTCAATGTCAGGAGATAGAAATGGTCCTAATAATTGTATACGAAGTCAACAAGTAAATTGAACATTCGCAATGAATCAAATATTTCGATTTCATTGATGTGTCAAAGACATCGACATTGATTACCTCTTAGCTTTTTGATATGTCTTCCCAGGAAATCGGCACTGCACTGAAATATGTGTCGAGTTCCTCTGAAAAACATATTTACAATGGACTAGTTTCCATTCGCAAGAAACTGATGAAAAGTAAATATGCAGAGAAACAGCTGAGAAATAAAGGCATCATCAGTAAATTGTTGCACATTCTCCATACTCAAGATCTAACACAGAAAGAGAACAAACTATTAGATATTACACTTAGTATATTGGGTAATTTCTGTATGGAAGAAGAGGCTCGATCTGATGTAAGTTTGAGGTCTAAGTTAGACCGCACAGTAAAAGTTAAACATTTGAATAGACAAGAGCTATGTTTCAGAGGCATGTAGTGGTTTCCTCCCTTTACACTAGGATGGAAATTGTAAAGGGGGGGAAACCAATATGGAAGGAACTTGTAGGGGGGAAACCACTGTAGGCCGTTACAGATACAACAAGTTAAGAGGCAATACTCCTTACAATGTCAACGAAACAAGAGCTAGCACTTTCATTATTATTATTCTTTTTGGATTAATTGCTATACCATAATTGTTTTTCATGATAGAACTATTTTAGAAAATGTTCATTCATAGAATTTTGTTTGTAATTTCAGGTCCTGAAAATCGGTTATGGAATAACATGCATTGGTAATATATATTGAACATTTTTTGAATAATATGATCTATCCTTTTATGGCTTTGAAATCACACAATGAGTTATTTCATCTTGGTATCCAAGATTTGGATGTTTATGAAAAATATAAATAAGAATGTCCAATGATATCAGAAAATATTTTTTTTCCATTGAGATGTATTTTTTATTTATACAGCTGATTGTGTGTTAGAGTCACCATGTAGCAGTATACAGAACAGAGCAGCTAGAACTCTGGCTAATCTAGCTTTAAGTCCACTGTCTATTAAACGTATTGTACAGTCTGAAGTTCTACCTCAACTAGTTAAATTATTATTAGAATGTAAAGTTAAAGAATCTCAACTTGTGTATTGTAGAACTCTAAGGTTTGTGTTTCTTATTGATTTTTATCTATTTATCACTTGAATTAATAAATTTCTATCAATTACTCTTTGATGTCCAAATCATTTCCATATTAACTGATTTAATACTGCTTTCTATGGAAGTGTTTGATATTTTAATACAACTTTGAAAGTTTTAGCTCATGGGCTCTACCACTGTGGTGTTAAGTTGACCAACAGAGTTTGATAAGTAAGCTTATAATGATAAGATCATTAATTGAAATAAATGTCTTATATTTTCAGATTGATAGGTAGTAATTTGTATGGTAAAGAGAAAGTATTAGATGAAAATGGATTATTTGCTGTAGCTAAGTTAATGTCTAGTGATGATGATGAGGTTGTAAAGAATAGTTTGAGAACTGTGGCTGATTTATCTGTATCAGGGTAAGATTGAGGGAATTATGTGCTACTGTTGAACCATGAAAATGAAATGCTGTATGCTATAAGATCCTCTTACCTCTGAAAACTATAGTTGATGAAACTAATGTTATCTTACTTCATGTGGTCAAAGTGTTCAAAGGCCTTAATCAATATATTGAGGCTAATAAGCACAGTTTGATATTGTTGATAATCTAAGATGGTTTTGTGTTTCCTCTACATGGCAAGAAACATTTTGATTAAAATAATAATTGCTCTGAAAAGTCAGTCCAGTATAAACTATTTTGTCATTTGTTTCAGATGTTCCTTCAAGTTTGCTCGTCAGATTTTGGCAGCAGGAATTGTTAATGTGATGACAGATAAAGTGATGAATGACAACAATACAGTATCCCATAATGCTTTATCAACTCTAATTCGATTGGCCGAATATGAATATATCCGTCCTGTGATTGGTTCAGCTGGGGGAATTCTTTTATTCATCAATTTACTGACTGATACTCGTCAACATGTAGACCATATTAAGATATTGAATGTCCTCTGTTTGTGTGGTAAGGAGTCTGTCAACAGAGTCAAAATTCGTGAAAATGGAGCTTTGGAGATTCTGTTGTCAGCTTTAGAGGGTGAGAAATATGCTCGAATACATGACAGAATTATCAGCTGTTTTCTAAGCTATTTATATGATGAATCAAGTCTGAATTTACTCCTGGACAATAAACTTATTAATATTTTACTCAAGCATTTACAGCGCTGCACAGAATTCAAATCCAGGACCATCACAATAACTTTTGATGAGAAAATGGCTGTCACTGAAGAAATGATTATGGAAACCAAATCTGACTTGATTTTAGCAAGACCAAAACAGATTCCTAAAAGATCAAAAACAAGAGGGAAAAGGAAATGTGAACTGGAAATCAATAAGGACAAACTATTGTCATCCCCAGTGTCTTCAAAGTCCCAAAATATGGAGGACAGTAGTAAGGGATTTGTGTCGATGCCAGTTCCAACTGCTGAGTTAATAAGTTCAACCATTACCATGAGACCAGAGGAGGCATCTTTTACTGTTACTGCCTCATCTGAGGTTGATTCAATGACTGATATTAGTGATATACCAAGCTCTAGCAGTATTTCTATTGAAATTCCCTCAACTAAAGACAATAGAGTATATAGTATAGATAGTCCCACTTATTGCAATCATTTATGGGAACCATCTCCATTAAGTAAAGGTGTAACTTGCAAGAGAAGCTTCTCTCCAGTTCCAAGTTCTTCAAGAGGTTCCTCTCCAACTGCAGTGTCTTCTAGAAGTGGCTCCTACAGTCCTTTAAGTAATGAATCGTACTATTCACCAGGTGTGTCATCTCCTTCTTACAGCATTCCCTCCCCAGATAGTCCTAATATGCCTTACTCCACTGTATGGAGTCAACCTTACCAGAGTGACAGTAGTGATGAGTTATCTTCCTTGGGTACTGGTGTTGCAGCTGCATCCTATTGGACTTTCTCTTCTTCAGAGGAAGAAGAAGCATCAAATGAAGACTCCAATGGTAGTGCAGCTGTTACTGCTGCTGAAGTAGAACTAAAATCCGAAGGTAATGATCAATTACTGGAAGAGACCATGGTAGAATCGGATCACTCTGATGAGATGTCCACATTTAGTGATGCATGTAGCTCTTTAAGTCTCAGTGAAAAGAAACCAGAAAGTCCCTGTGATACACAAGTTAAAAGATGTGGAAAACATAAAAGGACTTCAACATCTGATAATTCTGACACTAACCTAGAAACTAAACGATGCAAAACAACCTCTAAGAGATTACCAGCTTCTAAAATTACTGAATCGAACATATTAATCTTACTTTCCAGAGTCTCAGTTAAAAATGACCCCTCACCTTATTTGGCTCTGCCATCTGTTTTGTGCTGTATGTTAGATTATATTCGAGATGTTCCAAGTGCACAGTCAAGATGTGTGAGGACAATTTCTAGAATTTTACGCGATCCTATGTGTTTGGACAGCTTACTAAATATTGGAGCACCTGTTTTGATTTACCAGAAACTGGTGTTGAATGGCAAAGGAGTGGATTCTTCTGATGTGAGATCATTGCTCTCTAAATCTAAAGTCAGGTTATCAATAGACTCTAATTCCTCATGGACCAGCCCATTCTCATCCCCTCGACAAACCAGTAGCGACTTCTCTCCTGATCCCACAGGCAAACCTTGGAACTTCCCTACAGATCCTGGTTCACCAACTAGTCCTGGCTCCAGTTCAGATTATTCTGTAGCTAGTCCTCATTTTAAAAAGGAAGAAAAAGAAGAGCCTCCTATTGATTATGAACAAGCTGGTCTTGAATTACTACGAGACCTCAGTTTCACTGCAGAATCTCCTTTTGGACAAGGGGCAATAACTCATACATTACTGAGGAAATCTAAAGCTGAGAGATTGTCCTGTTGTTTATCACTACAGTTCCTCTGCTGGTAAGTTTCATTCCAATTATATGTGAGTTAACATCCATGAACTGTTTGGGGTCCATTTATTGTCTGTCAAAAATGGCTGCAAATCTGTTGAAACACTTTTCCTTTGAATTGTTTGTACCATCAACTAAGATCTATGGTTTGCAATTTCTACAAGATCAAATTTTATTGCTACTTATCGTTAAAATTGTATATTTTCAGGAGTTCTAGTATGCAGGATCATTTCTTGGTGAAACATTTCACACTGTCATCATTGTTAGAGGTGATCAAGGAAAAACATAACCACACCATGTTACCTTATATAGTCAGTGGACTCAATTTTCTCGCAAGGATTTCCAATATGAAGCGGAAACTAACAAAAGAGAGCCCAGTTAAATTTCCTAAGTTAGTAACTGATGGAGAAGAGAAGTGCTGGTATTGGAATTGTAATCATGATGTATTTTTTCAAGTCTGTGATGTTCAGCTTGGTGGAAATCGTGAAATTTTGGTCAAACAGTCACCCGTCTTTGCTGCGATGTTGGAAGGACATTATTGTGAATCCAACCAATCAGAGATTAGTATTCAAGACACATCCCATGATGCATTTCTATTTATTCTACATTATTTACACGGATGTGGCTTGGACTGTCCTATGCTAATGAAATATTACAATGATAGTCCAGATGTTGAATTCTGGGAAAATGCGCTCAGTCTGTGTGATCGTTATTTGTGCCAGTCGCTAACTAACTTCCTTATTTGGGTATTAGCCTCTCGATATTTAACCTTTGACCTTTTTTTCCATGTGTTTATGTATTCAGCCTTTCACGGGTTCCATCCTTTAACCAATGAATGTGTAAGGATGTTGTTCAGTGCTGAAAAGCCAGTCATATTAAAAGTGGGAATTTTTAAGAACATTGTTCAGAATAAAGGAGCTGATTTCTTATGTACTGCCATTAAATCTGTTTTCAGTGAATTTATCGGTAAAAATTTCAAGTGATATTATTAGTATTTATTTGTTATATGAAATAAATTATCTATTTAAATGTGTTTGAAGTTTCTTAAAAGGGCATCTTCCTGGGAAAGATAGCTTGCCAGGCAAGGTAATATACACCCACTGGCAGCTTTGATTTTAGATGAAAAATATTTGGCAGTACAGTAACAATTACCAGTATGAAATATTCAACCTTCAGTCTTACAGATCTTTTATACTTTTTGGTATAACATTACAAAGTTTCGTCAAAATCCGTCATATGGGCGTATAAAAAAGACGTTTTGATAACTAGGTCAGGAGTGAAGTTTCATGTTCCTGAACATCTTCCCTTTAAAGATGCATGTAAAAATCACAAGGGATGTCAAGTGGAAACAAATAGAAACATCCTTTTTGATTAGGGTTGCTAATAGCATTATCCTTACAATATTCTGTTGTAAAGAGATATTCTACTTTCTAGAATTCTATTTTAATCCAAGACAATCATAGCTTCCATTTGCACCATCCCCTTTTACTTACTGATCTGTCTTTATCAACTTCAGCCTTAAAGTGACGCATCATTGTTATTTCTTGGTTTATATCACAATGAAGGGACCTATATATGATTTCTAAAACTATTAAGCTCAACATGGCAGAACTAGTAAACTTAAAATTGTGTTATCTCAGATGAAATATTAAAGAGTAATGATTGATACACAAGGGTCTCAAGTGTTCAAAGGGAAGTCAGCAGCAGATCTGTTGTGTTGATGGAATAAACATTTATAAATAGAACACACTAATTTCATCTTAAGTATATTTTATGCATACATTATTACACAAAACAAATTTTTTACTTTACAAAGAAATTTGAACAACTTGATTTCTCCATTAAAAATGTTTCAGCTTTAAGAAATTTTGGGAATGTGAAATTATCAGCAAACAAAGAAGCTAGTTCTTGAAATCAAGCAAGATTAGAGAGGTTTTTTAATAGCAGCCCTGCTGCAGTTTCTAATATCCATGGCTTACATTTCTAAGCTGGATTAAATGTCATCTCAATAGTTGTCACTGTCATTTACAAAAATAATGGTGATTCTGAGTCTGAGGTAGGCATCATTTGATGATCATGGTTCCATAGGTCAATTCTGCATGACAAATATTAAGGCCCATGATTAATCAACTGGGTGGATCAACTTTTCAATGCTAAGAATCCACTAGAAGGTGCCAATCTCGTTTGAAACAACTAGACAAGTGATGACCTGGTTTTATAGAAATCTTAAGTTTTCATCACAAAACAGATTTCAAAAATTTCCATAATATGGCACCCAAGACCTTATTTTTTTATAACATAATGACAATACAACAATTCAGTTTTAAACAGTAGAGATGAAATGTTGATGCCAATACCAAGATTTAATCATACTAACAATCTAAAGTGATTACTCATTGAAATCTAATGGTGCATTAAGGAAAACAAAACTTATATTTTAGTCGATTCATTTTGGACAAATTCGCTTTCATGTTTTAAACATTAAGATTACATAATTTCTAATGCCCTTGTTCCTATTGCTGGAGATATTTGTCTAATTTTGTCCTTGACGTTTAAAACAAGCCACACATGAATTTGTATTAACAGTTATCATTAACTTACAACTAAAGCTATGTACAATTATAGTTGATGCAGGAAACATTCTACATTGTGTGATGTAAATGAAATATACTACAAACACCCTGCATCATGGTATCTTCAGCAATTACTTTACATATAATTCAAATCTCTTTACATTTTTGTATTCTTTTACTCATTTTGTGAGTCACATTAAACTATTTATCTTTTTAGCATTTGCTGATGTTCAATAAAAGCTTAATTTATACGGTAATTTAGATCCTAATTTGAAATCTTCTATTTATAGCTACAGCAGTTTTGTTGCATCAACATGAGATGATAATAGCGTTCTACTGTAATTATACCTTTATTGAATTGCAGAAGAACTACACTTCAAATTTTGTCATTCTTACAAATACTATGGATAGGATTAACCTTTATTAGCTGATAGACAAATAAATCCAATTAAAGACCTAAATCATGTTTGTTCCATGGTAACGTCAGTCTAACAGATCTCCTGAGAACCACACAGAAAATACACATCAAGAATATTCTAGGGTGGACGAAATTACTTTATCAAATTACTAGAATATACATAAAGAGCTCAATTATCAAAACTAAAGAAGAATTCTTCCAGTGCAATATAACAAGCAGTACTGATCTAAATGAATGAATATATTCACTGAGTAGGGGCAATGGAGGGGATATATAGTCATAATTTTGTCATGGAAAATCAGAACCGTGCACCAAGTTAAGTATTTTTGACCAGTGTACATCAAAGTCTATTCATTCAAGTGTATAACATATTAGGAAAGGGCAGACTATAAGAAAACCAAACATAGCAAATAATTAATGTTTAAATTAATAAATTTCAAATGGATAAGCTCTCATCTTTTTTTTAAAAGTGGGAATTCACAACTATTTGTTTTATAATATATATAAAGATTAGTATCCCATTAATAAATAGAAATAGCACTATTTCTTGCCATTCAAATCTTGGAGACAATTCTATCTAAATAGTCAACTATCTTTACATTCTTAAACGTTTTCTTCCATAATAAGTCAAAAATCACTACTATTAATCGAATTACATAAATAATAATGAATCACATTACCCTAATGTTCTTAAATATAATAGCTTCAACAAGGTATACATTATCATGTATACTTCTCTCAAATTACTTATTTCATTTATTTAAACTACAGGGTTAATCAATAATCAAATTTAACAAAACAAGACAGCAACACAAAATAGCTTCACAACAATAAGTTTCTATAAATTTCCTTCATGATTTGCATAAACAGAGAAGTATTACAGAAAGAACACATTACAAATGCCTGCGATTTCAAAGGGAGAGAACTGTTAAAATAAAAATATTATCACAGTAGCAAAACAAAATGAAAAGAGAGTGACCACATCACTGTTTCTTTCTCTTACAGATATAATGCAAATAAATATGGTCTGAAAGGCCAAACATACAACAAAAATTGTTTGTGTGAGGTATTTGCCTTATGCCATGTTATGTTGAGACTTTGATCCATGCAATAAATTGCAAATCTGAAGTTAAAAATCGACTTTGAATTTTACCAAATATTTTGCACGCGTCTGAGAGAAAGTAACAGGAGTGTCAAACTAAGACTTGAAGCAGTAACACAAAGATAATAAAGCTGTGATGAGGTCTATTTTCAAATCCAATTTGAGACACAACTAATCCAGTCAAATTTGACATTAATGGTGAAGAGCAACATCTACAAATTGCTTCAGAGACAAGTTAACAATATGGAAGCTTGATCCCACCAAAATACTGCATGTCTGATGTTAATGATAAGCTAATAAGAAAATATTTGGCAGGATTAGTTGTTCTTAGAATTGAATTTCAAGATTGTTTAGTATAAATATGCTATCAAACTAAAGCTAATGTTGTTGTCAGTCAGTCAAGATGAAATCTATTATAATATATAAATTACAGATATAAACCTAGTTCCTAGTCATCAATCCTTCACTACCATCCCTTTCACTTCACCATGTACACGAGCCTACAAAATACAAACATATTCAACCTGTAATTAATTGTCCTATGTTATGCTCTATCATCTATCAGTTTCCGAAAATCCCAAATTATGATAATTCTAATGTACAAGTCAACTGATTGGTCAATTACTAAAATCTATCTAAAAGCAAGCCAATGAAATTGATGCATATCCTTAATCTTATCTAAAATTTTGTGGAACAAGGCCCTAAGAGAACAGCAACCTACCTGATCTAATTCTTCTTTCGTTTTTTCTTCTAATTCCCGAATATCATTCATTGTCAATGGATACCATTTATCAGTCCAGCAGAAAACTTGACGATGGAAATTGGTAAACAAACGCTCCTCTTGCTGTAAATATAATGATCATTGTTTTAAATTAACAAAGCAATCAGAGATTGATCTATAAGAAGAAAATAATTAGGCAATTGAATGACCCACAAAGATATATAGCAGGGCAATTCAAATAAGTATTCTGACCAGTAGTATCGCCAATAATTGAACCAATGCTCTACTAAAGTAAACACTGAGAGGATAGCCAAGCAGGTTCTCCCTTCCAGATCCACATTAACCAAAATATGAACCTGGCAGTCCACACAGCTCAATCAACCAATATTTAGATTTTTTACTTTCCATTCCTGGTAATGATAAACGTTTCACTAAGTCACTTACCTTTTGTATTAATTTTTCTACTTTATTTTGGAGACCCCACCATTTAAAATGAACGCGAACTAATTTATAAGCACACATGACAGGTTTGACTGTATCCTTGAATATAAAATCATGATTAAATCACTCTAAAAGTCAGTATGTAGAAATATTGTGTTTTTATGCTAATTTTATATGCTATTAACAGTTTTATTATCCTCAAGAGTATGTCTTCATTCCATGGCTTATTTCTAGCATTGCATTCTTTTTCTATGTGAGAGATTATATCATTTTATTAATGAAGCACAGGCAAATAATATGGTTCTTTTTTAATAAACAGTAATTTATTTATAATACCAGTACTGAATAAGAATAAGGAACAGGCCTGTGCCTATATAAATCCACAAATAATACATCAATACGTCAAGATAATATCAGAAAGACATGAAAGGAGACAGACTACATATTTTGATAGCCTTACTTCCTTTCAATGCAACTTTTAGGCATGAAATTCAGTAACAATGCTCTAAATGAAATGGAATTTCTTTCATCCAAAATGAGAAAGCAACATACAAAATGTCACTATCAAATAAACAGTTGGCTAATTGGCTTACCTTCCAGTTGGGAGCATTTAAAGGACCACGACCTGTTAAAGAGGATTTATATAATTTAGGATCCCACTCCTCTTTATAATCCTACAAAAGGAAAATTAAAGCAATAAACATTTACATACTTTTACTTTCCATGCATGCTCAAAGTACAAAGCCACAAGTCAGTCAGTTGGCTCATTTGGTGTTTACTGTTTATTGTGCTTCAATACTCAAATTGTTAATCTTCATTCCAAATAACAAAAATAATCCAAGTTAGAAAACCAGTTTTTAAGATGACAAAAAGAATGTAATGTCGTGTTTGAGGTTACGGTCCTACATGTCTAACATCTGGAAACTTTTTTGATCAACAATTTGAATGTTAAATTGTTATACAATGTAAATGCTCTTACCGATCTGCTAACATCTGCTGCTATATCTATATTTACTACCTGACGTATTGCTAAATCTTTTTCACTTAGATTATGAACCTACAAATACAAGCCATTTTCAATATATTGTGTTATTAATTGTATATGACATAACAAGTAGGTCAATGGCTCTGCTGGTAGACAAGACTGTCATTAAGCTTAGCTCCTAACTCCAAAGTTGTAATATTAATCAAGAACTAAATAAAGGTCACAAAGAAAAAAGACAATGCAATAATTTCAACATGATATACTTGAACAGAGGGGAAATATCCTACTTACATTTTCTGAGTGACCATTATCTGCTATATGCATTGATTCAATGACAATATAGAAATTTTCTTTCATATACTCAGGATTCTGAAATATAGAAAAAAGATCTGACATGTTTGATATATAAATTATCTTTGAACTCATCATACAATGAAGATTTTTGTAAGCAATGCTTACTTTTCAGCATTAAAAACTTCTGATGCTACTTTGCAATGGTTTGGATTTCTGACACACCATTCAAAATCCACAAAGCCCATTCATATAAGCTTTATTTTGACATCATCTTTTACAAATTTTTTGTTAAATGTAACAATTAGCAAGGGAAGTAAAAGATACTCACACTAATTAAAGTTCTACAGTAAGGATAGGCATTCCATGCCTTCTCATTAATCTCAAGGGCACCTTTAGGAGCTAAAATTCTTATAAATCTTGGTACTTTACTGAAATCAAAGGTATGTAGGATTAGCATTACAAACAACAACTTTTTTTAATGAATTTTATTAAAGATTGTTCAAAAGCTCCCATTTTTCAAAATTAATATCATGGCTTACTCGAACAAAGATATTTCTGTTGGTACGGGGTCTGATTCAAAACATAAACACGAGCAGTTCACTATATTTTTAGGTAGAATAAATAGTAATAGATACTATACAGACTAGACTTTATTGATTTTCTTCTTAAAGGGACATTCCTCATTTTTTATAGGTCAAAATCTTTTTTTGTACAAATTTGTGAAAACTTTACATTAAAATCTAGAGAAATTTGTCCTTTAACGTATCTGAAAGTTTCAACTAAAAAAATCTAGCCGTTCATCTTTTAGCATGAAAACTATTTAAGATTACATATAAATAAATAAATAAATACATAAAGTATTGTAAGCATTTTGGAGCTGTTAAAAACTACTGTGCGAGTTTAAGTAAAATAAAGGCCTAATTGTAGAGAAATATGTCACCTACATATTTCAAAGGTTTCAACTAATAATATCGAGCCATTATCAAACCAGACACCAAAACTAGATCAAATTGCTTCATTAACAATTACTACTCTACGTTTTTAATTAACCTTTTTAAAACAAATTCAGTTTGATCAAGAAGATCAACAGACAAAGTATTAATTTGAGCAATGAGTCAAATTGGACAACTTCCACTTGAAGTTGGGGACCAATACTTCCGTTATTTCAGAATGGGTTTTGAAAGCATTTGATTTTTCAAATTTAAAATTTTGGCATCAAATCACCAAATTTAAAAATCAACTTCAAATATTTGCTCTAAACCTATTTCACATTAATGAACATTGCTTTAAACCTGTGCCCTGGTTCCCAACCTGAAGTGTATTCACCCGCTGGTGGTGTGTCAGGGCCAGGGGTATGACTAACTGGTGTAGGAGGAGAATTATTTTGAATTGAGTGAGCATCTCACATCATTACATGCTGGAAATGTGGATGAAACAATTTTTTTGGGGTGTGAAGGCTGAAAAAGGTTGAGAACCACTGAACTAGTGCCTTCTGTTGAATAACCTTTCAACCAACCTAACCCTTGTTTTACAATATTGGAATATAAGCTGATAATAATGATAGTAATGAAAATCTTATAGGCTCAAATCAATGGAGATTAGCTGTAATAGTCAGTAGGAGAAATCAATTGATGAACTATAATGAAACAAGACATATAAATCATATAGAGAAATGAAGCCTAGGGCTAGGCTGTACTAGTGTAATCAGACAAGAGCTTTATAATACCTCAGCATGATACCAGTACCACTCTTTCTTTGTAACTGAAGTGATAACTTCAAGACAGTAATGATAGCCTTGGACTTTATTGAACTTATATGGAATGTTTTTAACCCAATTGATTTCCAAGAGATAATTTTCAAGGTATATTTACCGCATATATTTAGATGATTGTGTGTCTTTAAAAGTCTACATACCTTGCTAAATGGTACGTTTTATTGGTAAATTGACCTGTTTTAAATGTCTTTCCAGCAGCACTTAAATCTTGATAAGCTTCATCCCCTTCTTTCAAACCAGTCATATCAAATGGTTCATTTTGCATCACTTCAATTCCTTCACCACCACCCGTCTCATTTTTACTGGCTTCTGCTACTGAATATAACTGAGCTCTTTGGTACTAAAACAGAAATAACCACAACAACATTATAAGCTTTGTGGTTTCAAAATTTAAGTTGATAATTTTCCTCCATGGTGTTCCTCAAGAAATCTGATTAAAATTTCTTGGTGTTTTTATGACAGTGACTCCAATTGCCATTCATGATCTGACAAAATTGTTAAGCATTTCATGTTCGAGGCATCAAGTGTTCATCCAATCAAATGTTCTGTTCCATGAAATATTTCATTACCATGACAGGATATGAAGAGACAACCATTACAAGAATAACAGCCCAAGTTCATGGGGGAAATTTTGCCAGGACAGCTGCATTAGTTTACTTTTTTTCTATATCTGACAGTCATGGAATTTTTTGACTTTTTCATTGTCAAACAATGACTTATACTAACTGCCCACTTTTTTGATTGCTTAATGTAACCTAACTTTTCCCAAATTTGAAGAAAACAACAGAGAATAATTTCAAAATAATAAATTATTTCCAGTCAGATCAGTTTATATCAGATGACTTTACTGATTATTGGCATTTTAATAAATAATTATAAATGCTCATTGTAGCATAGCATGTAGAAATTAGTAATTTTTATTCATGCTTATTACATAGTCATAATGCAAAAGATTTCCGCTCAATTTCTACATATTGTTTCAAATAACATAAATTCCACAATAATTTGACCTATTTGAACCAAGAAAAGTATGCCTGGCCTACACAAATAATTTATCAGCCTGCTTACCAATACAATACCTTAGTCTTAAACGGTCAAAATATATTTTTATTTTAATTTTCAGACAATGCAATAAAGAATCATGTCAATTCATAATATTCCATTCTCAATTCCAAGATAACTCCGTCTGAATTGAATTTTGAATTTCAAATTTGACCGATTTCATATCATTCAGAAATGATATATTTATACTTCTATAAAATTCAAGTGTTGTTCAATCTGAGATCATTTTTCAACTCATTGATTCACCTAGTTCAATGTTTATCTTATTTTGATCAAAGCAAATAAAACAAAGGTCACTCACCTCTTCTACTTCCATGGGCAGTACCACCCGACTGAAAAATAAAATTGATTAACATTATAATGCTATTTTCATTATTACAAAAGGAGTGTTTGATTGTTGTTTGCTAGGCTATGAGTTACAACCAGAGGGTAAGAACAACACTTTAACACTGATGCCAAGGCCAGTGCTCAGAATTATCCAGGTGCTGACCTTCAAATCTTTCCCTGTATACCACAATTCATAATTAATATGAATACATAAATATCTAATTACTTTGAAACAAAGTCAAAAGGTAAGGAGATCTTAAAGACAACTGATATTTTAAGTATTTCCAGTTGCAGTATCAGTAAAAGACTTTAAATTTTATGACATTTTTTTAACCTATGTTCTTGTATAAAGAAAACATTAATCTTTTGTCTGCTTCGTTTACATTCCATGTGTAGAGGAAACAATACACAACAGATTGATACTTACACATAATAACACATTTAGTCTCATATTGATTTTCATATTTCAGAGGCACAGTTTGACAGTGTCAATGGCTTACTAATTTGAATAATTACAAATTTATTAGCTCTTTAAGATATAACATCTTTAAATTTTGCCAAAATGAGTCTGTGTTTATCAGTGGACTTACAGTGGTGTCAAAACCATACGAATGAATCCCTTTATAATCCAAGAAATCCACAAAACTAAGTACTAAATCCATTAAAGTAATTTTGAAACATGCTTAGAAGTGTTTTTCAATAATCATTTAGTTTAATGGATATAATGTGTGATATATTTTATTCTTTAGTCATGGATTATGGTATGTCCAACTGATGATTATTGACTAAGTTGGAAATGAAATGGAGTTTTACGTCCTACTTTTCTGCTTGACTAAGTTGGAGACTTTGAATTTTATGTCCATTGTTATATTTCTTTAAAACATCCACATTTCAAATCTCATTAATTAAAATTTGGCTTATTCTGACCAAAAAATCATTCAGATCTCATTTTGTAGCTTTGAACCAGACATGATTGATTAATACAACCAAATCAACCATCAATGAATTAGGCCTTGAAGTGTTGAATTTTTCACAATTTGATTAATTCCACTGTTGAATGGAAAGCAATCAGTTTCAATCTTCCTAATGTTATTGCTTTAAATAATAAATAAAGCTAATGAATTGAGAATTATATAAGATATTTAGTGTGTATTTAGACAAAGATTGGTGATCAATATGGGCAAAATCAATAATAAATCTCATTTACTTCATCATTAAATACAATATCTTCTAGTAGATTGGTGGAGGGAAAAAGGAAACTTGTTTCATTAACTAGTGTGAATTGCTCTAGACAACTATACATGAAATTCCTATTTCTTCAGACAATGCATTTAAAATACAGATCTACATTGTCTGCTTTATAATTTAATATAATCATAAAGGTGAATCCTATCATAGCTATCTATGATCCGAGGAAATTATTACCACAGGATTGTTTCTAGGTCCTATTGTGTCCTATCAAAATAGTTATCCAATCAAATGCTCAAATAAGTAATGCTTTCCCTAAATATCATTTTGATCAACCTGGATTATTCTGAAAGGGGTTATTAAAAAAACTGAGTGTATTAATTGTAAGAGCAGTTTAACCTAGTTTTGGTGTTGGGCCTCATAACAGCTCAATATTTTAAGTTTCAGAAGAAGTAAGAAACTTTTCTACTGAGCATATTAAAATCTGGTGATATCAAAACATGCCATAAAATTCAGCCAATATATACTCTTTTTTAAAATAATTCAATTAACCAATTTCAATATAAGTATAATTGACAATAAATGTAGGTGTAATACAATTAAAACTCAGAATTTATTTACATATTTAGTCAATATAGTCTTACAGAACAAAAATCTCGCCTCCCACATAAATAAATTTATTTACAAGGTGACACAGGTTTAATACATTCTATTATTATTGACTATTTCTCACCTGAACTTCTACTGTTTATATTATTGATTTATATTCAAGTGCCTATAGCTACTTATTGCAAATATTGTGATGGTATCTACATTTACTGTTTCACAATCTTAATTCCAATTGCATCATGAATTGTTTGTTCCTTATCTATTTTCTATTTTTCAAGTAATTGCACTAAAAAGTATCAATTTTAATGTTATTCTAATTTCTATGTTTTAAAGTTTAAATTCAGTAAGATTATTTATGACATTTTATATGTTTATAGACTGAATAAAAAGACAAGTCAAGGACATTGTCAGTCACAATGAAATGGATTTTAATAGATTATTTATATTCATATTAAACTATAGCATGTTTATGAACTTGTTATGACCATATTTAGTATTTTATTCTTAGTCCATTCTCAACATTATTTACAATAAACTATCAAAATTCAAAAACAAACTTATTTTTTTTTGCAAGCAACTGCAAGCCATTCTGATCACAAATACTTTCATTATGCCAAATTAAGGTCCCTAAAGTTTTGAGCATAACAATAGTACGAAATAAACAATAGAAGCTATGTGATCTGTCCAAAAATGATGTTGAGCTCTTAAACCCAGTTGCAGAGTAAGCTTGCCCTGCTACCATAGTATCTTTTAAAGTTGAGCTAAAATTCTGTAAAGGTAGTTGACATGTAGAGAGGATCTTTTATCAACTTTATCATTTACGGGCTTTGCTATTTTAAAAATGAGCTTCTACAAAATTTTGTCCAATTGACTGCTAATAATTGTAATTTAATAGTTCATTGGTTTATATTGAAATTTATAAAAAAAAACATTGTGTTTGAGCTGTTTTTTACGGAGCCCCTAAGGCGCAATTGTAAACATATTTATTTATTATTTCGTTAAAACGAAATAATTATTTCGTTTAAACGAATCAATTATTTCATTTAAACGAAATAATTAATTCGTTTAAACGAAATATTATTTCGTTTAAACGAAATATATGATTTTATTTCGTTTAAACGAATTAATTATTTCGTTTAAACGAAATATATATTTATTTCGTTTAAATGAAATAATAAATAAATATGTTTACAATTGCGCCATAGGGGCTCCATAGTTTTTAGAATACTGGTATTGAGCAAAAAATTCACATTCTTTGAGAGTCTTTAGACAAAATAAGCCTGCTAATCTTATATTTCAGATCAATGGTTGATCATTACTATTGTTTCACTACTTACCGGTATTAGCCTGTTGACCAGTTTCATCAAGAAACAAAGTAAGAAAGACTCTGGTTGAGGCACTCTACTTATATTAACCATCAAATAAAGATCATTTGTGACAAAAGTCATATTTCAATTATTATTAAGCCTCGCAATCTTGCATTAAGAGTTATGGTACCGGTAGTGTATTTACTTATAATTGACAATGTCTTGGTCTTTGATTCGAACTACAGAATTATTGATTTTGTTTAATCAATAACCTTGAAAATAGCTACATTTACAATAGACACAACAAAAACATAAAACATGAGAATGTTTGATTCTAGTCATAGCTCAAAACTGACAGCATTGATGCCATTTCTCAACATTATTTTATTTTCTATTTTGATTTTAGCTTCCATGAAATTTGACAAATTAAATCATTTTTAAAACAATATGAAAGTCGTGTTTAGTTGATACCTGGTCTTGTTTGCTAGTAGGCTATGATGCTTATATCGTAGCCAAACCTTACAAACTCACAGGTCTTTACATTTTAACCACACTGAATATTTCACACTCTCACTCAAAAAGTTTCAAATGAATTATTGGAACACTAAAAATATATCTGTTGAATAACATGTGTCAGAAATAAATAAATGACACTAAAATACAATGGCCCCAGCATGTGAAATAGAGGTGACAGTGTCATCCAACAGTAACAATGTCGTACTGAGAAGGCGATAGCTGAATTACTCTCAATTTTAAAAAATACATAGATCTAGATAATACACATGCCCATAAGGATAATTTTTCAAACGACTCAGCACATTTTTATACGATAACTTCAAAAAGAATGGTAGGACTGAGTATGACTGAATATTGTGTCTTTAAAGCCACCATAAAAATAAGTTCTGAGGTCTCCCGACAAACTATACATTCCTTATGAATTGTCAGGTCAGTGACTCGATCTAAATCCTGAGCAATATAAGCTATCAAATGTAACTCTATGAGTCAATGACTTGAAAATAGTAGGGAAAATGTGTCTTGTATTTTGCTTGTTGATTTGATTTGATATCAAAACACGCCCTCTCTAGACTCTTCGTGAACCAATTTCTAAAATACACGTAAAATATTGAAGAACAGAAAATAAGAAATATCCTTACAATTCGTACAGTAGCATGTTGTCTTCTTAGAAACCAAAATAATATTTATTTCTTCTTTATTCACTTCCAACACGGGGAGGTAACGGAGGTATTAACCATGACGTCACACCGGCACGGTGCTCGTAACAAATCTTATTTCCGGCTAATAAAATTAACTAAAAAAATAGTTTTTGATACATCGATGTCAAAACACGATATAAAACTGTTGTAACAATCATTGAAATTATCATGAAATTGTTTTAAAATATTTTGGGAAAGATTTGATCAAACTGAGTTCAGCAGAAAAATTATAATTTATAAAAGAGTTGTCTCCCATAGACCATAAAATTATCTCTTGTGACAACCACAGGCGGTCGGAGGACTTAAACACGATCTAGTAATGGATAATTTGTCCAAACGTTGTCAAAAAAGAACTTCTACAAGAAATTGTCTGTTAAATAAAAATCCTGTACTTTTACAAAAATAAAGAAAATAGCACGAGATTAGATTCAAACGTAGCTTGTGGAACTTTCCACTTGTTAGTTGTTTTAGGACGGTTTTAACCAGAAAGTTGGTTGTTATAACGTTTCTGTTAAAAATAGTATCCCATTTTGGTATTTAAGAAAACGCGTAACTTTCCGGCTTTAATCAGCAACTTGGCAGTTATAACTAGGAACTTTTCTGTTTTAACCAGTAAGTTAATTGCTATAACGAGGAATTTTAATGTTTAAATGTTTAAAAACGAGGAACTTTCTAGTTTTAACCAGCAAGCTGGTTGTTATAACGAGGACTTTTACAGTTTGAACCCGTAAGTCAGATGCTATAAAGAAGAACTTGCCTATTTCGATCAGTCAGTCGGCTGTTATAACACAGAACCTGCCCGTTTTAACCAATAAGTCGGTTGTTCTTACACGGTATTACCCGTTTTAATCAGAAAGTTGGTTGTTATAACACAGAACTTGCCTGTTTTAACCAGTAAGTCGGTTGTTATCACAAAGGACTTTCCTGTTTTAATCAGTAAGTTGGTTGTTATAATAGAGAACTTTTCTGTTTTAACCAGTAAGTTGGTTGTTATCACAAAGAACTTTCCTGTTTTAATCAGTAAGTCGGTTGTTATAACTAAGTACTTTCCTGTTTTAACCAGTAAGTTGGTTGTTATCACAAAGGGCTTTCCTGTTTTAATCAGTAAGTTGGTTGTTATAATAGAGAACTTTCCTGTTTTAATCAGTAAGTCGGTTGTTATAACTCAGTACTTGCCTGTTTTAACCAGTAAGTTGGTTGTTATCACAAAGGGCTTTCCTGTTTTAATCAGTAAGTTGGTTGTTATAATAGAGAACTTTCCTGTTTTAATCAGTAAGTCGGTTGTTATAACTCAGTACTTGCCTGTTTTAACCAGTAAGTTGGTCTTTAAAACGAGATACTTTCCTAATGATGAGAGTTATTTGTTATTACTCGGATATTTTTTATATTTTTGCAACCTTGAACATTACAGATAATAAATTAAACTCTATAGAGAGGGAGGGGGAATTTTAAAGTTTAAAGTAGAGCTCAAAGCCATCCTAAGATCAGAGAGTAATAAGTATGAAGGCCTTTCATATTGCTAGTATACTAAAAGCGTATGTTTTAAATCGAAATTTTTCTCCAATAGTAAATTGTTGCTTTTTAATCACTCTTATCCTCAATGAACTTTAATCAAGATATCAAATTATTACGCGTGTATCGGACCTTTAACCTGACCTAAATTCATATTAGGATTATAACCAGGTCGCCACTGGGGTATAATATTGATATACTTTGAATATGGCGTGTGCATTCAGTTTCTCCAAACGTATTTTATTACGTAGATGTTCATATTCTGTTCTTTATCAGAATTGGCATGGTAAGTGCATTGACTTGGTTTGATGTTTACCATCTATATATACGCACGCACGTAGTCCGAAGCTCTTATCTATAGGAGAGTACAGTAGTTTAAGACATACATTTATAGACGATTGGAACTATTTAATAATACCTGAAAATATTTGTCTTTTATCTTCCACCACTACCCGAAAGATACGAAATCGAAATATATTCATTCTTTTGGTTTGTCCAGTTTAGGTGTATTTCATATGGATGTAGATGCATGAAGCCGAGAACGCATACGACCATTGGAAGGAAATCTGAATTTCACTTACAGTCTTGAAAATCTAATAAGCACGAATGATTGAATGTGAATTTTAACTTTCAGACGCGGATAATTATAGACGCACATGGATTTGAAAGCTCAAATTCACGATGAGCTGTGAATACTATTACTGGTTTAACTAAAAAAAAAGTTCCGTTTCTGAGACTAAGGTACGATTGGTCAAAAGGATGGCGAAGCTATCCCTTAAAACTACTGTGACCAATTTTCTTTTTCATTCCACAATAGGTCTTCATGGTAAGGTAGCTCTGGTAACTGGTTCAACAAGTGGTATTGGTAGAGGTATTGCTGAAGGATTAGCTAGTCGAGGATGTAACATTATTCTAAATGGATTTGGTGCTCCTAATGAGATTAAAGATTTAGAGGCAGATATCATAAAGTAAGTTTTGTGCTTACTGCTTACTATATATTTACTTTCTTTGATAGTTGAAGATTTTATAAAGACATTATTTTTGATATTTGAGCTTTTATCCCTTTTTAATTAAAAGCCAAATCAATACTTTTATCTCTGACAAACCTGTTATATAATTATTAAAACAGAACTTAAAATATTTTTATGTAACTATTCAAATAGATAATTGTAATTTCAGAAAATATGACACTAAAGTTCATCATTTCCAAGGAGACTTGTCTAGAAGTAATGATGTCCAACGATTGATAGATGATGCTTTTAAAATATACCCGGGTGGTGTTGATATACTTATTAATAATGCAGGTATGGTACATCATCTACACCGAAACTGGCGTTCTCTTGCCATTAGGGTAGTATATTTCACGGTTGTGCAAGGTTGTATGATGTGCACTGTAATGTAATTTGCCAATGTAAAGGTTTATTTTATGAAGACAAATGTTCTCTAAATATATTGAGAAAAACCTGTAACTCTCGTTAATTTGTAGTGTAGTTACAATACATTAAGTTTATTTTAATAACTCGCCCAGATCAAATATCGGATGATTCATATCCTTGCAATATATATAATGGTACAAAGGATGTTGATGCGAACTGGAAATGCGGCTGATATCCACGGATAGTGTCGACTCTTATATTACCTTTCTATACCTAAAATCACAGGAACGCATGATCTTGCGGGCATGACATGTTATTGATGATGGGAAACTAAAACTCTCCAAAGCTTTTGATGGAATATATCATGGTTCTGTTGTCTCATAGGTCTTCAATACGTGTCTCCCGTGGAATCATTCCCTGCTGAAAAATGGAATTTACTTCTCAGTATTATGTTAACAGCACCTTTCCTACTTACTCAAAGATGTATACCAACAATGAAATCTAAAGGTATTCCTTATTATATTTTGCAGTCTTTTATTCCTCAATTGGTACCTTCTCAAATGTTTGGCTGAACCCACATAATGATTTGTGCAGCCCACGTCGTTCTTTAATAAGTCTTAAAAGCTCTTAACCTCAGACAAAGCTGCTCCTTGCTTCTCATATATCTCATTGATGTCCTATCTTTCGTCTCGAAGCCCATTATCGTCTTGTAAAAATCCACATGTTAATAAGCGCACTAATTGTATCACTGTTAAATATCTTTTAAGGCTGGGGAAGAATCATCAACATATCTTCTGCTCACGGTTTAGTAGCATCACCATATAAGGCAGCTTACGTTTCGGCTAAACACGGAATAATGGGACTAACAAAGGTATCACTCTTTTTATCTGAATCTATCATACCGGTACTTATAAAATTTACGTCTGGTGAATCCGAGATTGGCCAGCATCAGGATACGAATTGATATCTGGGGAATCGATAAAGACATAATAGATATTATTAATACGATATTTTTCTCAGGTTGTTGCTCTGGAAATGGCTGGCAGTGGAATAACCTGTAATACAGTCTGTCCGGGTTATGTTGAAACACCACGTAAGTTTTTAAGTTAGATCAACATCCTGTGGACATTTGGTTATACATGTACTGGTTACATATTTTTGTGGCAACATCCCATATCTTCCACAAAAACGATATTAAGTATTAACTTTTCATGGATTTTGGGTGGCTGCACTTTTAATAGTGAATCAGCAAGATAAGTACACAATTTAAAAGCCATCTCTTAAATCATGAGCAGTTTTGTATTTTTGTCATCTATTTCAGTGTTTATCAATCAAGCAAAAGACAAGGCTGTTGAAAAGGGTATATCAGTGGATGATGCCAAGGTATAGACTTAGATTATTTGTGAAAATAGAGAATATTTTTTTTTTAATCACATGGAAAGGAGAGTTCAGTGGTTCACCAAACAGTCTCAAGGTTTAACTTTTCTACATTTGTGTAAATTCTTACCACCATTCTCAAATTTTAATTTGGGTCTTTCTTAAAGTTAGCAGAAACTATTTTGCCTGTACACATGTCTTTTTATTTTGCAGAAAGATATAGTCAAAGTCCATCCTTCTGGAGAACCAGTAAAAGTTGAAGAGGTAAGTGAATCTATTAAGAAGGTAAAAATTAAGAAGTAAAACTACAATAAGTGATGTATGTAGTAAATCATTTGGTAAAAATGGTATAGACATAAACCTATATCTAGTGATGTCTGTAATAAATCAATAAGTAAGAAGGATGTAGTAGTAAACCTATAATAATTGATGTATGTAGTTAATCATTTAGAAAAAATGATACAGAAATAAACCTATACCTAGTGATGTCTGTAGTAAATTAATTAATAAGTAAGAATGATATATAAGTTAACCTATAATTAGTGATGTCTGTAGTAAATCATAAAGTAAAACTGACATATAAGTAAAGCCATAATGTCAGATGTTTGTAGTAAATCAGAAAGTTACAATGATAACGAAATAAATGTATAAAAAGTGATGTCTGTAGTAAATCATAAAGTAAAACTGATATATAAGTAAAGCCATAATGTCTGATGTCTGTAGTAAATCAGAAAGTTATGATAAAGAAGTAAATGTATAATAAGTGATGTATGTAGTAAATCATTAAGTAAGTCTGATATACATGTAGAAGTAATTCTATATATTGTGATGTCTGTAATAAATCAATGCAGGAATGATATTTTTTCATATTCAAGTAACTTCGTGTTTTCCAGATCAGTGAAACAGTGTGTTTTCTGTGTTCATCATCAGCCAATCAAATCACAGGAACTAATATAACAATGGATGGAGGTTGGACAGCAAACTAGTCAACAAATTCATGTAGATTGTAAATGGTGACGATATGTGCAGCTTTTAAGTGAAACGTCTGAAAGTCATATTGATAGAAAGGATATCCATCATTCCTATGAAATGAAAAGTGCTTTGTACTAACAATAAAGATGATTGGAATACTAAACTTATCAAAAGTTATGTTTTCAGAAAACTGGCCCTAGACTACACTGCTGCAAGATAAAATATTTTGTATTGTACTTAATCCTTTAGCTACATAAGTGGAAGAGATCACATTAATGGAACACAATTTTATGATATACTACTCCTGAGATGAGATCAATGTAAATAGTTAAAGTGTCTGTACAGTAAAAGATTATTATATACCATAAACTTGCGTTCCATTATCTAATCCAATCTAAGACACATTTTCTTATGAATGATCCAGCGAAAGGGTGTATATAAATTATAGAAAACAATGTTTTATATTAAATGTTTGGAGCTATTTATAGATATTTTATAACTATATATGCATGATTAATATACAAAACGTAACAAAATATACAATAAATAAATGAACAGTAACAATAAGGACGGAGTTAATCTATTTTAAAGACCCAAAAATTAAGTCAATTTCTTGAATATCCTGCATCTAACTTTGAAGGAAGAAGGCACAATGTCAATCTTATTGTTATTGGATTTCTATTTAGGAGACACCATCGTATTGAAATCAGAAGTATATCACAGTATAGCAGAATGATCTTGTGGACTTGATTAACCATTCATCTTTATAACAATCTACGTAAAAATCTAACAACAGTGTCTAAAGACCTGGATAATATTTTCTACAGAATCGTTGGCTACAAATGTTATTAACCTCTCAAATAAGGAAGAAGACATCAATAATGGGCAACACCAGAAGATATCAAATTTGTAGATGGCATGAGACAGCCACTCAAATCACTGATGACCTTTAGGAAAATGGCACAGAAGATATTTTGCATATTTAAGTGATCCAATAACATCCCCTTCCAATCATATGTATAGTAATATATAACAGAATGAACACGTGCACTCTCCAAATTATTCATCTTTATCATATTTATAATTCTGATGATATGGATCTTCTATTTGGTCTAATTCTGTAAATTGTCGAAGGTGGAATTTAGTCACTTGATAATTCACCATGATTCTAATAGCAAAATATCCACAGATAACTTCAAACACTATAAATAATGCTTTAATGATATGTACTGCTCTCTCTAATGGCAGAATAATAGAATCCTCATTTAACAACAAGAAAAATATCAAAGGAAACTGTAATAATAATGTTAATAACCAAAATCCTGCTAACTCTGGAACCTGAAAAACATTAACACAACATTGGATTATTGAGGTTTATAACAAAGAAATTGGGTACACATAGCAATATGCCCAAATACTGTGAGTGTGATGATGAAAATGATAAATAGTCTGCACAAGAAAAGAGCAATATAATTGACACAACTTCGGAGTAAATGCTAGAAGATCATAACAATGTTAATGTTCTGTTGCCTATTGAGTGTAGGCTTAAACACTTAAAATCTTTGAAAAAGGACCAAGTTGTCTTGCCCAAAACTAATACTATTTGTCACACGTGCAATCACTTCTTCAATTCTATATTACAAATGAGGATTTTTTGAGAAAAAAATTTAAAATATTTACTGATTAACAAGGGTATAACAGTAGAAAAGTACAGTTTTCAACGTTTAATTCATAAAGATATTAGAATAAAATACATACCCTCTCCATAAGGTTACCCACATAACCTAAATATAACCTTATAACCTCTATAATTGTATATACACCATAGGTAGCTATTAATATTATCTTATATAAAATATCTAATGACTCAAACTGAAATTAGACAATATTCAATTTAATATCAATATAATATGATATTCTAAATTCACATATTTCCGAAAAAGGTTCAGTACAATAACTTTTAAATTACTGTGACAGAAGATTGCTAACAAGTTTCACCTTCATATTAATATTAGGTGAGCTATTAAAAAGTATTGTTGCTTGAATTTGTACCTTTGCTTCTAAAACTACCATACTTGTAATAAACCAAACAGGTGAGAAAAAAACATTAAAATATAAAGCCATTTGAAGTGGAAGATTCGTAACGTAATCATTTCCTGCAATAAATAGAACAGATCATGTTAGATGAGAGCATCAAATTCTCAATAAAAAATTCCACAGGCACTACAAATTTTTATCATTTTTATCGAATATCATAAGATTCTTTTAGGACACCGCCCTGGATCTGAACCGGCAGCCTATATGAACTGAAGTGAAAGATTTAATTCAGGGTTATTAAAAATATCATATAGTTCACTATGCTCAGTAAACTAGCGTTTTTTCCATATTCGACAATTGACTGTGTGTGAACTAGCAGGTATCTCTCCCTTCATTTTTTTAAATTTTGTTATTTTCATTTTTCACAAATAAGGAATGCTCAATTCGTTACACTCGAGCAATTCAAGTGAAAGATATCTCAGTGATTTGGATCGTGAGATTACCGGAATTCAGAATCTCCTGACGTTGTGGATCTTTGCCTGTTTTGTTCACTGGAAACAAGAGATCAGTGACAGATGTCATAGTTTTCCTAAAAGTTGCGTCCATCTTGTTTATTGACATCGACCGCCAAATGTCACGTGATGTAAACATGTCTCAGCTTGAAAATGTCAAAAAAGATAATAAATATATTTCGATTTTATCTTAATGATTAATCACATCTTTCAACATTATGAGCAAAGGCATGATCTAATTGAATTATTTGTAAAAAATATCCTCGGTGGAAAATCGAGTCTCTCCGACTCTCTTCCGAGAGTTCGACCAATCACTGTTAAGTTGACCTTCAAAATGGCGGTGGTAGAAGCTGAGCGGTGATTTCAAGAAAATGAATACAAGAAAATGATATGGTAAAAATTGTATATTTTTAATTCCATTGGTGCAAATGGGTCTTTCTTCGTTGGAGAGTCCGATGATATCAGAAGTCAAGCGAATCAATCAATTAAACTGCTGAAATTGACTAATTGTTTGGCTAGTAAAAACAAAGACAAAAATTTAAAATTTGTAAATATAGGTCAGAATGAAGTCACGCCCACTATCTCTTTGATTGACATCTCTAACCATAACATCCCACAGGCATTCGTATATATTTATACCACTACTTGTTACAGGTGATTATCTCAAACTATCAAATTATTGCTACTAGATAAAATTGTGAAATATCTTCTCCATGGCTTAAAATGTGTACAGAATAGAATTTTGCCAATCATTTTCATTGGAATAGAATTATATACGACAACAAAATACTACAGTGAGAGACTAATAATATGGCCTTTGGGTTGATGAAAATGCAACCGCTGGAAAAGTTATGAATGTACAGAGGGGAATTTTCAGTCTGAAAACTAATAAATTTTTATGTGAATTTGCTGGGTGGAAAGTACTATGTGTTAATTTCAAAAGTAAAATCATTGAAGCTTAATTCTTTCGATCCGAAGACAATGTAAGACAATATCTGAATATTTCAGTTGAGTTGAAAATTGAATTTATTGTCGCAGGGTATCAAATTTAGATTTATATTTTATATTTTCAGATTAAAAGAGTATAATAAGCTTATATTAGAAAGTTGATATTTAACAAAGATTTAAAATGGAAAGTATTCCATGTGATAAAGAAAATCTTCCCCTACTTTCAGGAAAGGTTGGTACCACCATCTTGACATCTTGTTAAATCTTGACAAACTAGACAATTTTCATGGTATCTATTTTATTTTCTGGGGATTTTAATTACACTTGGTGGATCACATCCACTACAGTATGCTTTATGCCACATAAAGCATTATGATAACCTATAATTATTTCATACAAGAGTTTCACTATGTAAAAACTAATCAAGCTAATGATATTGTGTTTAATTTTCAGTCTGATAAGTTAAAATTGAGTAAAAGTCCTGCTAAAACGCCCCTAGGTGATGTTAGTAGTAAATCTGGTAAGGTACCATTGTCAGCTCGGCGTGTTTTAGGAGATATAAATACTCCTCAAAAAGATAGTAAAAGGTAAGCATAAAAAATAAAGAACAAGCTTTTTTACATTTACATTATATTGACACAGCAACAACAGTACCTAGTTGAAGGGGATTGTAAAGATGTTTTTCTAAAAATGTTATGTGTATAGAGGACACTGCTAGCATCAATGTGCCCTAGTTCCTGTGATGAATTGGTTTTGTTATTTATTTCAGTGGATTTGGAAGAGTGAAAAAGGCAGACAGATTGTCTACTCCAATTAGACTCAGTACACCCAAATCATTGGTAGGTTGAGATTGTAGCTTTTAATGAAGACTTTCTACGTTAGAGGCTGCTTGATTTTCCATTAGGTATATTTGTTAATGTGTGTAAAGTTTCTGCTCCATAGTCCGTCACTTTTCTCTCAAAATATTACTATTTATCTGTACTTTAGTAGAAAAAGGTAAAATACTGTGTCAGTTCATAAGATATTGGTTGGGACTTTAAATAATCACCTATTACTATTCAGTTAATGGCATATTTCCTCTCTTCAAGCATCTCTGTTTAGTCCATGATTAATATTATATAAATTGTTTATGTTTTATGAATCTGTGATCATAATTTTGATTATTTCATCTATTTATTACTAGGTTTCATCTGGTGTGAAGAAAGCTCTTTTATCAAGAAGATCAGATGTGACTCCAAGAAAGTTTCCATTTTCTATCAGAACTGATAGTCCTGAGGAGAAGCCTGTAGCTGAATCAAATGTAGCTCCAAATGGAAATAAGAGCAGCAGTCTGCAAAATGAGGCTTGTTTGGAGAATTTGACATCTGAAAAATCATGTCAAGAAATGGAGAAAAAAGTTGAAGATGCAACCCTTGAAAATCAAATTTCGAAAGATTTGAAATTAGAAAATGAGCCTCATATAGATAGATTTGAAGAATTTCTTCAAAGAGGAGCTAAAGCTACCATCAAAAAATCAAACGTGGACTTGAAACAACCGACCATTACTAGAGCATTGCCACAGGAAGTTAAAGATAGTGCTATATCAGAATTTGTGGATGAAGTTTTAGAAAGATGTCTGCTGGAAGTCATTGAAAACAAGGTTAGAACATCAATTGTTTGTATGATACTATAGTCTGAAACTTGACATCCCCATTTACAAATTAGCTGTTTTAAGGATAAGGCTGGATATAACTGTCAAACTTTTCTACTCATATATACTATGTTGAATTGGAAAGCTCATTGATCAGTGAAATTTGTGATGTCTGTCAAGTTATATCTAGCATTGTGATGTTTTGACACATGTCAAATTGTCAATTTATGATGAAAATATTTTATGATTGATTTAGGAGATACTGAATTCAATGAAATTATGTTGCTTATTTTGTATCTTACTGATTTTTTTTACTTATGTTTTTATTTCAGACTCCCATCGAAGATGATGTGCCCTCTATTCACATTATTCCGCCTACTCCACTGGATGTCACTGTTACAGCAGCAGAAACTGTAAAATCTTTAACCTCTACACCAGCTCTCAATTTATCAAAAAGCAACACTATACACTCAGACCCTGATGATCCTGATATTTCAGCTGTAGAAACATCATCTAGACAATATTTTCAAACTCATCCTCAGTTTGATTTGAACAAGGATTGCCATGAAATATTCTGTGATACATGTCCAATGAGTGACTCACATCTTGAGGAAATCGGTGAACAACTTTCTGATACAAGTGCCTGTGATATTGTCATTTTAAATAATAATTCATTTGAGTGTGGGAACTATGATAAGGAGAACATTAGCCCTGACAAAATTACCTCCTTTAGCTCTTTACATGTTGACTGCAATGCTTCTTACACTCCAACAGACTCTGTAAATAATTCCAAGAAGGAAATTTCTAAAGAATTCAGTCCAAGCTCTGTTTGCTCCCCAATGTGTTACAAAAACTTCCAGTCTCAACCAAATAGAAAAGCATTAGCTCCCTTGCCTTTGCCTTTTGCTGATGAGGATGAATTGGGTAATTTCTCTGGACTGTCGTTTGGTGATGATTCAGAATATTCCAGTGTATTTATTGATAAAGATATCACTACTGTATTTGATGTGGAAAACACTGATGTTGTTACTACAGAGACTATAACCGTTTACAAAGACACCAAAATTTCAGGAGAATCAGTGGGCTTCCAGGTCTATTCTACTGAAACACCTCTTAAATGTGCAACACAAAATTCAGGATGTTCACCTATGCGTCTTATTCAAACATCCACAGAGACTAACACAGAACAACCAACTTATGCCAATGTTTCTTTGAACACAGAATCAGTGAGTACTAACAGTATAGCTTTGTCCCCATTAAAACCAAGCGCTAAAGACTGTGACATGATGACGGAATCAAGTGAAATGTTAAACAGATCAATGATGACAGAAGCAGTAGATGTTTTAGACCGTAGTATGATGACCACAGTATCAGAGTCTGTTGATAATAGTATGATGACAGACACCACAGTCACAAGTAGTGTTCATACTGATATGACACCATTAAAATTACTCAATAAAAGGGGAAAGAGGTAAGGATTAAAGCCCTTATGTATTGTATTCATTGATATTTTTGTTCCTTCACTAACTAAGGACTAGATTATCATGTTGGCAGTACTATTCAATTATAAATGACATCATCCAAGACATCAGATTAGTCTTTCTGCCCCTAATGAACCAACTGATATATATTTCGAAATATGTCGAAATAAGCTCATGCCGATTGGATGTGATCTGCAGAATGTAGACTTTTCCAGAATCATGGAATTTCTGATAAAATAAACTGTGCTAATTCCTTGTAGGTTTTCAGCAGAAGAAGTTAGAAAACAACATCCCAGAACAATAGCTAACTATGTCGATACTACTTTAGTTTCTAATGAAAAGTTACAAGCAGAAATTAAAACCATGAATAAAGAAAAGACGAAGTTACAGACCACAATTAAAGATTTAAAAACAAGTTTATCATCTGCTAATAAACACTTAGAAGATTATGATAAAACACAAAATACCAAAAAACAAGAATTAAAGGTAACTATGAATACAATCTTTATTTCTCCCCTCATTTATGTTGGCCTTTGTGATTCTATTATCAAGAGGCATCTGTAACAAAAAATCAAAATCAAATTGTCTCAATTTTTCTCATTGTACTGTGATAATGCACTGTTTTTTTTGAGTGACTCTGCTGGAAAAGTTCATATTTCCTTTCTATGTTACTAACTACATCACCACTTTGTTTCCAACTTAGTCTGAGTACAAAGAAGAAATAGACAAATTAAAAAATGAGATAAAAGATAAAGACAGAATTTTAATACAGAAAACGAAAGATTGTGAAGAGCTACAACAGAAATATGAGAAGATGGAAAAAGAGTCACAAGTCAATTCAGATATTTTAGAAAATCAACTTCAACAACAGAGTTTACACTATGAAAAACAGGTAAGCTGTTTCACAAAACCTGAACCACTTAGTTACTGCCCTTGTTCTTTGAAACAAGTGGGTTTTTTAGGTTTTAACATTCAACAAGGCAACTGTTTTTGTTTTTTTTTTTATAAAAACATAAATCATCAATTATCATCTAAGGAAGAGAGCCCTTTCGAAAATCAAAATTTCTGAAAGAAATGTATAACTAATGTTTTAATATTTCATGGTTCATGTTCTTATTCAATAAAAGATTTCAGTAGGTGTATTTTACTTTGCCTTGTAAGCTGTCTTTCTTATATGTCCAGTAAACATATTAAAATATTGAAAATATGTTTTATTTTTGAATTATAGATAGAAGATTTAAAGAAAACTATAACAACATCAGAATCCAACTATAAACAATCAGAATTATTATTAAAAGATCAAGAAGAACAGATTCAACTATTATCACATGTTGTAGAGGAAGGGGAGGTTTTAGTCACTAAACAGGTGGGGTTCAATAGCTCTCTATGTTTTTTGCTCTAACATTGGCAGTGGAATAGCTCATTCAAGCAATTAGAAGCTTGGGTTTAAAACCTCATGGTAAGAAAGATGTTAATGCCACAGACAGTGGTTTAGAGAATAATATAAAAAAAACTTATTTATTTTGAAATACTGCAAGACAAGTCTGAAGTAAACAAAGGCATGTAGTTTTATGTGATAGATACTGCAAACTAATCGTTCTTTGTTTTTTTTTTACAGAGTCAGCTAAAATCAACGTTAAACTATTTATTAAATAAAGTTAAGAGTATTGTTGAAGATAATTATAGTGCTAAACAACAAGTTCAACTACAGGTATGCTCTCCCTTGATGGCCAGTGTTATCTTTCTACATTCTACATGCTAAAACTCATTTTTCGGATAAATCTTACTTATATTTATAGGCTTTAACTGCAAGGACATGAGTAATCTTCCTTTTCAATGACAAATTCCCAAGTTGACTAGAATGATAATGAAAGATGACTAGGTTAGGTAGCTTCTGATATTGGTTGGGCTCAATTGGTCAGTTCTGAGTTGGTCAATTCTGGCCTCAATTGAACAGTATGAAACTGGATATGTCACATTCAAAATTTTCCCTTTTATTCCTTTCAAGCTATTTTGAATTTTGGTTACACCAACTACATTTTCAGCTCACGTTGAACACATTGTGAGCCTTGTTCTAACATGTTTTATGGAAGGTCTGGTTAATTCTACAAATCTTAAACATGCAGAATTCACCAATCGAGAACTCAGGATATCTGCACACTATATTTTTATACATATGAATTATATATTTTATTTTGACTGTTATATGTTTCAGTGGGACTATCTAGAAGATAAAAGAGGTCGTATTAATGTAGAAATAGAAGCCTGTAAAATGAATAATAAGTTATTATTAGAAGAATGTGAAGAACTAAAAGAATCACTGAATAATGCTGAATCTACTGTACAAGAGGTAGACTATGTTTAATTCATATTATTTGTTCACATGTAAATTTTTATTATCTGAAATTACATTTTGTTCACCTAATTAATGGTTTGTTTTGAGAAGCATATTGTGAAGATGTAAATTTACCAATGCCTTGTTTTTTTGAAATTTAGTGTAAATGTAATGAAATATGTATAAGTCAAGATGATAATAGTGATATTGTCCGTTTATATATTTATAGTTAGAAATGAAGTATCTGGATGCTGAGAAAGATTTGTTATCTGCTACATCTAAACTCGATATGGCAAAACGGGAATTAGACTTCTCTAGAACTAGTAAGTACTTCTTTATTTAGAAATCATGTAGTAATGTATGTATCCTCCATGGTTGAAATAATATTTCTTCTCAGTTATACATTTCTACCATAAAATATGTTTATTATTCAGCTATAGAAGAATTAGGAAGTTTAGAAGATGATTTATCTACAGCCTATACTGAGATACAGATGTTACAATCAACATTAAAACAAACAGAAGATACAGTTCAACATGAACAATATAGGTAATGTCTCTACGTATGCTTGTACCCATATTATAAAATCAATAGTAGATTGACAAATTGTCCAAAAATGAAAGAATGAAAGATATTCCGAAGACCTTCAATGTCAAGGAATTTGAATAATAGTTTAGCGAAGCTTGTTGTGAGGGTGTTCTTTTGCTAGCGCAAATAAATAGTTCTAAAAACTTTGTGCATTAGTTTTTTAAATGTTTTCAAATCTTATGTGATATCAGAGTGAATATGATTGAAAGTGGATCTATAACTTTATGTTCAGGTTTTCCAGTTTACAAGAAGAGTATACAGGGGTCAAAACAGATTTAGAGAATCAGTTAAAACAGTAAGTAATGATCACTTTATTTTCAATTATTCAAGACTTCAAGAAGCTGACTTATTATAAACATGTATCTTTTTAAAATGTGACTTATTAACGTGTATATCTTTTTAAAATGTGACTTATTATTAACATGTATCTTTTTAAAATGACTTATTAACATGTATCTTTTTAAAATGACTTATTATTAACATGTATCTTTTTAAAATGACTTATTATTGACATGTATCTTTTTAAAATGTGACTTATTATTAACATGTAACTTTCTAAAAACTGACTTATTATTAACATGTAACTTTTTAAAAGCTGACTTATTATTAACATGTATCTTTTTAAAAGCTGACTTATTATTAACATGTATCTTTTTAAAAGCTGACTTATTATTAACATGTAGCTTTTTAAAAGCTGACTTATTATTAACATGTATCTTTTTAAAATGTGACTTATTATTAACATGTAGCTTTTTAAAAGCTGACTTATTATTAACATGTAGCTTTTTAAAAGCTGACTTATTATTAACATGTATCTTTTTAAAAGCTGACTTATTATTAACATGTATCTTTTTAAAAGCTGACTTATTATTAACATGTATCTTTTTAAAAGCTGACTTATTATTAACATGTATATCTTTTTAAAAGCTGACTTATTATTAATATGTATCTTTTTAAAATGTGACTTACTATTAACGTGTATATCTTTTTAAAATGTGACTTATTATTAACATGTATCTTTTTAAAATGACTTATTATTAACATGTGTCTTTTTAAAAGCTGACTTATGTATCTGTTAAATCATATTTATAACATGTATCCTTATAAAATCTGTTTATTTCAGATCTGAGAGTTTAGTACTAAACTTACAGCGTACAGTAGATTTTAGAGAGACTGATATAGAGAAATTAGAACAGAAGTTACTAGCTAATTATAATTATATAGAACAACAGAAAGACACTCTAGAGAGTCTAGAAGAACAGTTGTTTACTTGTCAGGAACAGATGGAACAAAAAGATGTAGAAATTGCAACATTTAAGGTTGGTTAAGTTGTGATAGAGTATTAGATATTATATATCATATTAACAAATAATATAATTATCATGTATTTGCTGTACTGTTCAAGCAAATTCCATGTTCACAAAGTTAATTATTGATAGCCTTCTACCCCAAAATCTATTGTCTTTCCTTTAGTTATCTATTTATGACATGTTTAGTTCAGTAGAAAGTAACAAACGATACAAAGCCTTTTGAAACATTTTTCTTAATTTTATGCTTTTCAGATGGTCTAGAATGTTGATTTGACAAATGTTGTGTGTGTCTATATTTTTTTTCGGAGGCTTGTTGAGACAAAAACAAGGCTTTATGTTTGATCTCTCCTGTCATTGATACATATATGACTGATGAAAATTAAAACAACTATCTCTATATTTGACAGGAAAACGGAGATGTATTATTAGGAGAAAGAAACATCTGTTTACAATCAGCTTTAGAATTAGAAGAAAAAGTCAAAAATTTGGAATCTACTGCAGAAACATTAAATATTATCAAAACTGATCAGGAAGAAAAATATTCTAAACTTCAAGTTTCCTTTAAACAATTAGAGTAAGTATTTTTTACTTAATATGTTTGTCCTATGTCTTACGCAAACGACAAAGGTTGTTTCAAGGAAAATCTTTCTGAAAATCAATCTTCAATTCAGAAACATTTGTTCAGGAACAAATAGTAATGAAAAAGCATTTTTTATCACGCATTTTCTGTCTTCACGCAATCAACAATTTCATGTGACAAAGCAGTATAAATCATTTTTCTATTGAACTATGTCGGTCATTTGCAGCTAACAAAAACTTGAACACATGTTGTTATGACTGGATGGAAGTCTACAGTATATTTCATGGTAAATGAAGAGGACTGTTGGTGTATAACAATGTTGAGACTAGTAGATGTGTTCAATGGAAGCCTATATTTCGTTAAATGATTTTAAAAGCCTATGATCTACACTTGATAAAATTGAAGATTTAAATTTGATCTTTCAGACAAGATTATCTAGCCTCACGTCAAACATTAAAAGATAAAACTGATGAATATCAGTCAGTAATTCAAGATAAAACAGAGGAGATACAGAATACACAGGAAAGTCTTCAACAGTTTGATCACAAACTTACCAGTTACGTTCAGAAATTACATCGGCAATTTTCACAAAAGGTAAATATTTTATGAGAGAAATATTTTTTGTAAGATTTTATTCAAATAACTCAGTTACGTAAATAATGAGATAGTGATCTTGTATGACAAAAACAGTTAAGAGATTTTAACATATTTTGCTCATAACCTTTGAGTTTCCCAAGAATAATATATAACTCAGCCTTATCACAATTTTTTCACAACATCTATGTCTCTGGGGCCTTACTCTCGGTTATAATCCAGGTTATAAGAAATACAGTAATTTGATTGGATCATAAAACTATATTTAATTTTAATGATCTACCAATCAAATGATTGCATCACTAAAATCATCTAAAGTTGAGTTTTCCAGAATAAGACCCATGGTCATCTGAGAAGATTTTTTAAAGAAATGCGTAAACATGTTGGACATCATTAAATATTTAACACTTCTTTGTATTTTTAGGAATTTAGTAGATGTCAACAAGTTCTCAATGGATTATCAAGCTCATTAGAACAGCTAGATGGTGACCATATTGCCAGAAATAGTAGCAGTCTGGGTCCTAGTGCTAAAACCCATCGAGTAGTCTCAAATCAAATTACCATGAAATCAGCATTCCAGCCAATCAAATCAAGCCATTTGACATCGTCTGCTGTTGATTTGAAATCACAGACATCCACTCCAGCTAAAATGTCTTCACCTAATACTGAAAGTTACCTACAATCCTGTAAAAAGCTAAAAGCTTTTATGGATGGGGAAAGTGCTGATAATAGCCCTGCGGTAAAACATGGCCGGAAGTTAAATTTCAACCAGTCCTACACTGCTGGCAATATGTCTTTAGATCATGTCAAAGATTGTGCAGCTCTAGATCAGTCAATCAACATGTCACTTAGTAACTCTCTAGCTAGTCGTGATACCAGTCCCAGGTTTGAAAGTCTATCTGGTCTCTTGGTTAATATTGATAAAAATTTTGAAGAACTAATGAAATTGGTATTGATGTTCGAAAAATCATCTTTGAAGACCACAGAAGAGTTGATCTCTGACAAGTAAGCATGTTTTCTCTTATCATCAAGTCTCAATTGATGTGGACTGTATTTTTGACTGAGTATAAACTCGGATTAGTTTTTGTTTAAGACAAAAACCATATAAACCAGAAAGATTTCTGGACATTATTTAAGACCAGAATCACAATGAAGTTATGGATTTTAATTACTGATTCATGGAAAGAGAATCTGTATAATTTTAATTGAATTTTGTTACAGAGAAGAACTAGAGGGTATACGCTATAAACTTGAGAATCGTATCCATCAGTTAAAATCAGAACTAGCGAATAAAGCTGAAGCTATCAGTCAGGCTAATCAAGATATATGTAAATTAGAGAGAAAATTACAAGAGTTAAATAACTGTATGGTGAAATATTCTGATCAACAAGAACAAATAAAGGTGAGTTAAATAAAGGGCAAAATTGTTTATCTAACATGGTGGTAATGGAAAAGAAATAGGCACACAAAGGAATACAACAGAAATACATTCAATTCCCAACTGTTCAAATATGCATCACTTTCAAATTTTTTACATTTTTCAATTAATGAACTGCAATGTATTTAATATTCAATGTGAGCCAATTTATCTGAGCGCTGAATAATCCTTTTAAAAAATGTCAAGTATTGAAGGGATAAATATCCCACAACTAGCTATGTAGTTATCTATTCTGTCATGTATCAAAAGATTGATGTGCAACTGTTCTGTAAATTAAAGTATAGATTGTGTGTTTTCAAAGTATGTCCTCAATTCTGTTTATGGATCACCTGATAGATTGTTAAGACAATGGACATTACCGGTATTTATGGAGATCCCATTAAAGTGGTTGTGATGTGTTAAATTCATCATATCACAGCCAGCTTTGATGAGTTCTTTATAAACAAAATCAGCTAAGAAATGCAGAAGATGTATGGTACAAATGGATCTGTTGGAAATCCGCAATGAGTAATGCCATAATGTGTGTTCTGTCTATTTTTGATTGTGACATCAATTATGATTTATGCGCATATATTATTAATTCAAAATGGGGTAAGAGTTGTTTGATTGGTGGTGAACTTTTAGGTATGTAAATAAACAGTATTGAGTAATGCCATAGTGTGTATTCTCTCTATTATAATAATGATTATAATTTATGCGCATATTTTATTGATAATTATAGAGATATGTAAGAGAAAATAAGAAATTATCATCATCTATAGAGAATCAACAAGATGATATAAAATTATTAACTGAAGAACTAGAACTGTTGTTCAGTAGAACTAGTAAACTCAATGATACCGGTATAGATGATAGGCAAGAAGTCTTAGAATTAAAACGAAAGGTTTGTCAGCCATTTCACCATTTAAATCGTTTAAATTACATCCTGAATGCTGAGCCTTGTTTCTTGTACTCAAAGGGATTGTAAAGAATTTTTTGTAGTCTTGCATGAGCATTAATACAGAAACTACCATTTGCATCATTCCAGTATTGCTTTTGACGATTCAAGTCCTGGAATTCTTGAAAAATATGATGTAACTATCTCTAAAATGCTGTTTTGCTCAAATTGTATATACAAGATATTGATACAATAACGTAATTTTTCGTTGCCAAACCACAAAAAGTCAGAGGGGAAATCATCTTGGTGCAAATTGCAAATAGAAAACCTAATTTCGATCCTTAAATAAGTTTCAAACTAATTTAAAATAAGTATGATTGTGTGATTGATTGAAATAATTTATTTCACTGTCAATATTACAGAATCAACATTTACGTATGAAGATAATAGAAGATTATAATAGTTATTCTGAATCAGAGAATAAAACTAGAAACAAGGTTAGTGTCTTAATCTGTTTTAGTTATTATTTCTTATTGTTGAAGACTTATTGCACCAGAAGAAACTCAAGTTATTTTTGATATTTAGATTCAAGTTTCCTTTCCATATCTCAAGGATATATATAATAATCCTATGAATTTAAACAATATTTACTTTGTATTTACTAATTAGGGCAGGGGGATATAGAGGTGTTGAGATATATACCAGTTTAGGAACTTTTATCGTTAGTTAAATCGCCTGATTAAAAGATACTGAAATATGGCCATATCGTGATATATGGTAGTTATAATGGTATATCAGCAATTGTTTTTTATATCATGATATATTAATATATATATATATATATATTTTGTGATATCCACTATCCAATATCGCCCAGCCCTACCTAAAAGCTATCTTCATTAGCTCGATAAGGAATAGAATGAGCAGGTTGAGTTGCCTTCATCTAAAAGTAATATTAATTAACCAGGAAGTTGTTAAAATATAATTATTGTTTTGTTTATAGTTAAAGACAGCAGAAGACAATTTATTACAATCTAAAGCTGAAGTTTGTCATTACACAGAACTAGTTGATAGTATAAAAGAGGTAAAATTATACTTAATAGCTTTTCATTTCATTTCTTCAGTTCCATCATACAAACACTTCAGTTTACTATAGCCTCGCCGTATTGTCATGGTATCCAACTTAAAGAGTTGAAATGCAAAAGAACTTGTGCTGAATTATAATTCTGAGAAGTACCATACTATAGCGCCCAAATTTAAGGTATTGAAGCTATAAAAGCCAGCATATCAGCTTTTTAGTCCCACAAAAATGATATATATAACGAAATACCAATATTTATAGCTCATTATAAAATGTTCAAATGGAATGATAGTGAATTGTAAAGTAATATGTGGATTTATATTTTTAGACATTGGTAAAGAACAAGGGTAAATTGGAAGAAATCCCAGGGTTAAATAGATTATTAAATGTTATAAATGGTTCAGATGTTTATACTGCTACACCAGCAAAAAATAGTCTCCATTCCTTTTATGACACCTTTATTTTTTAATTAATTAATTCATGCGAAAGATGAAAATCAATTAATGTCTAAGAAATGCAGAAACTTTTGAATTTTTTTTATGCTTACATAAGGAAATGTGTGTACTAAGTTTTCAATTTGTCAAATAGGAAAGAAATTTCACAATTTTATTTAGTCGATATTTATTAATGATGATGACTTGCTTATTTGTGGTCTGTGCCTACTGAAACAATTATCATAGTGCCTTTGTATCCTTCAATGTAAAATAGCAAAACTATTTATGTGAAATTATTTATGTTTTGTACTTGCATGATAACATTCTGTATTTCATGTTAATAATAATCATTTATACACTGCCAAATTATCATTCATAAAGTTTTCATATTTATTTTCTTACAATTTATCATTAAATATATCAAAAAATTCAGAATTGTGTTCATTCAACATGTTACTTGTCACTATTAGGCCTTACTCTACAAGCTTAGCAGGGCAGCGGCATTAGTGTCTAGTTAGTTTGTAGACACCCTTAACTCTCCAAATGAGACATGTAGTTATCAATGCAGGAAAGATACACTGATTTCCAAACGGAACAATCAATGCAAAATATAGGCCTATAAGCACTCAAAAATCATAAACATTCACTTTTGAGGGACAAAGTTTATTGTATTAAAAATAAAATAAAATAATTTAATAATTAGTAATATAGTACATTATATCTTGGAAAACATTAACAAAACAAATATTTAGACAGGAAAATACAGAATCTAAAGTTTTAATCTCAAAGTAAAATATTCTGATCATACCACAGCATGCACATTAGGTGGAAATGGCAATTTGGTTTATTGAATGGATTGTAAAGAGGTTTCTAAATGTTATGTGTATGCGGACACTGATGTCAAAAATTTTCGCCATTACATTTTTCAACCAGACATCTGCAATTCCTCCAAAGGTAAGTGTTTGATGTCACGAAGGGCCTTAATCGCTAAGGGCCTTATGTGATAAAGCAAATTTTGCAATTAGTCATCAACACTTATTTTATGTTTAATTGCAGGAACCACAGACTGATTACAAATTGGAATAGAGCAACTTGATGTTATCAGTGTCCATGATACAGTATAAAACTTGGAAATCTCTTTGTAATCCCTTTAAGATAAATTTAAGTTCAATATATCAATTTAGATTTAAAATATTCAATAAAAGACTAAGCCACAAAGTTTTTTTTATTTTAGGTGAATTAATTCTATTAAGCATGCATCATTGCACATGGCACAGGTTTAAACCAACAATGTTGATTGACATATTATGACGAAAAAGTTGTTGAATTATGACTGGCTGGCTGCTTTACTAACATCCAGTTATAGATGAACATCACAATCTCACTTGTATATATCATAAATATTTGTGTTTGTGAAGACTCCTCACATTTGAATGTCGTTTGAATATCTGACTGGTATCACCTCTACTTCATTGTTTAGGTGATTTACTGAATAAACTTTTCTTGACAGGTTTATCTTGTCCAGCCTACAAAAATAGAAGAAATATTCAGCTACATTAGATGCCAAAATGCATATCTGATATATCTTCTAATACCCAGAATGGTGAGATTTATTCTTACAGGCATCTAATTTTGAAGATTTTCTGTCAAAAGTAAAGTTGTATATTCTCATTTTTTCAATAGTATTTTTGATATAATAAACACCATCGCTAATTGCAGATTCGACATACATGTAATTTCTTGTATATTAAGTATAAATTATCTATCGACATCTTTGAAGAGTTGATTAATTACTCTTGGTCGTAAAAGGAAGATTAACCTACCAATAATTTAGCACCAAGTAACATTTTAGCTTTATCTTCTTCTTGTTGAACATCTGTCAATGGTGGTTCTTCTGTTCTAGCTTTCATATGTAACTTTTGTTTGATAGCCTAATAAATCATACAATATCAAAAATTATTAAAGATGCCGTGTTTATTTTTAATGAACATTCCTTTTAATAATCAATGGGACACTGCAATAATGAGCTGATACACTCAGTTGCAGAATTGGATCGGGCATTTTCTGAAAGGTAAGTATGCCCTGCCTCAAAACCTTTGAATCTTCAAAATCAGAATTCAGAAATATTGACTGGCAAACCTGAAAAATCAAGGAATTTTGATCTATATTCGAAACTTGACTTCAAAATTAAGCTAAGCATGAACTTAATTTGAAAACAATTTGCTATTTTTTTTTGATAACATAAAACTGACCTGAGATAAAAGGGTTCGTTTACTGTGGTTTTTGGCAGCCATTAAAACATCAAACCAAGTCCAGATTCTATTATGGTGTTCCATGGTGGGTAAAACAAAACTAAAATCATGTACATCTTCTATATTCTTCTCTTTCATTCCCTTTAAAACATTTTAACAGACATAAAACATGGAATAAATTAGGGTTCCACATCATATCATTCAGTAATTCTTGGGGTAATATGGACAACATGAAATTCTTTACTAAGAAATTGTCATCAATTTTCTTTTCAACTTTCTCTCACTACATGTTTTCTTTTGTGGGTTCTCTGTATCTCAAGCAATTGACTAATAAGCAAACATCTCTTTTACCTTATAACTGACTTTAACAGATAATTCTGGTATTTTGATGTACAGAAATGAATTATTACTAGCTGCTCTCATCTGGAAGTAAAAATTACACACTTAGCACAATGATTGCATTAGATTAAGACAAAATTCCACTTTAAATTGTTATTGTAAACTTGAAGTCTTTGAACCTTACAACAAAATTTGCATGCCAAAAAAAATTTATTTGATATAAAACTTCTCTGATTTCTTTGAAATCTCTGACTTCTACAGTTTTCATATCATATAGAAATGATCAAACCTTCATAATATCTATTTTATCAGTGCTGGTAAATGATGGGCTTTTCTTCATGGCTGACTCTCTTTCTTTCCTCTCTTTTTCTTTCAGACTGTCTTTCTTCTTGTCAATCTTTCTCTTCTGACCTTCCATTTCATCTTCTACTTAGAATATAGGAATTGGAATTGAGAATTGGACAGACAGTAATATGAAAGGATGTTATAATAATGATGATAATGGATCCCATGGTAGAATTCCCTTAGTATGTATCTCTCCTGAAGTATCCAGACAAGTTAACTTCTGAGTTCAGTGAAATAATGAGAGGTAGTTTGGTTTGTTGAAGGATGCCAGATTTCCATCCACTGATCCAGATTTGAACTAAAATTACTTTTATCATTAAGAATATAAAGACAAACCTTGATCATCAGTTTCTATATTTTTGTCAGGAAAGAAGAACGCCATTACAGCTTTATAGAAATGATAAGTTAATTGTAACTGCATAGGAACAACATTGACTTCAAAATGTTCTTTAACAGCTATACCACCAACTGTAATCAAATATTACATATATATGTATGTACAGTGTACTCTGTGATATCCGATATCTAAGTATTCCCACATTCTGCGTAATCCGACATCATTTTCTAGTCCCGATTGATTTCCTTCTTAGGCTAGTTTAAAAAACTCTGAGTACTAAGACACTCTGTGTATTCCAAATTACAACACTATTCAGTGGTCCTAACACTCAGAAAAATCTGTATAATCCGACATCTACTCGTCTTAATCACTTATCGTCAATTAGATAATCCCTTATTTTATTGATAATCTGGATCAAATCACATTAAAACAAAAGATCGCTGACCTAAATGTTTATTTTTCTTTTAGGTCAAATGTCAATGCCTGCTGACTTTTGCTGTTAAATAATAGCGAATATTGTGTGCACCCATTTTTATTCTCTATTTAATCTTTCATGATGTAAATAATCAAATCTCATATGCTGATGTTTTCATCTATGTTAGTCAAATACATCACCAAAAAAGAGAGAAAAGTCAACGATTTGGTGGACAATAAGCTGAAAACTATCAGCACCCGGATCTAAACTTCTGAATGCAACAAAGATTTCCTATAATTAAGCTTACCTGGAGGTCTTTCACTACACAGTATTCTGATAGTCATCTGTCTGTTCTCTTTTTCTATAGGATCTCTAGGTATTAACACATCTTTATAAATAGAATTAGGTAGAAGGTTAGCCATCTTCACCCATCCTATCTCTAATAGATGAGTCCATGTATCATCATCTCTATTAACTTTCGTATAGCTGGAAAAAATATGTCAAAATCAACAATGGATAAGTCTGTCATAACTGCCTGTTGTAATCCATTTTGAGACATTTCTGAGAAGGTGATACTTTGAGGCCCTTATGTTAAATTCTTCCCTACCAATTTGTATCGAGAAGAGGCGCAATGTGTGCTTTCATTTCACATGTGGAAGTCATATCTTTGAACAAGCTATAACCTTTCCTGAACTAACCTGATTTTGTAGCATTACTTACTGCCAGGTTACCAAAAATTCCCAGATTGCTTTGATTGAAATTACATTAAGATTACTATAAATAGCAGCAAGTATTGAAAAGGCCTATTTTGATTATAAAAAATCTGACACTTGGATTATAATCTTAGAAGAACTTACACAAAATTTCTGAGAGTAATATCAGTTATTCCAAGTTGACCATCTTCTTCTGTTAATCTCCATTTAGCAAATTTAAAACATACTTCATTTCTTCTTACAACATCAACTTGTTGGGCTGTAATGGGTAAAAATACAAATTTCAGCTTTTCAGCTATAAAAACTTTGTATTAACTTTTCAATTCTTAAGGAGATTCCACATCCTACTGGTATGTGATGTTTCTTATATATTTTCATTATACTACAACAAATACTAATATTACTCACTTATAATGTGCATAGTAAAGAAAGAAGAGTTTTATAAGGATAACAACAAAAGTTAATGTGGATCCTGTCTACCAGCTGGTCATTGGCCAAACCTCTTGTCATTGATCTCCCTAGATTATCCATACCCATTTACAGCTAGGTCGACTGGATTAATGAGGCTTTCACACACTGATTGAGAATAAACAAGAGCTGAAAGAACTAAAACATTGACTAACCTTTTTCCATTTTCATTTGTTGTTTAACTTGAAGTTGACTTTCTTTGTAACAACTGATTCTTATTGATAATTCTTCATTTAGTTTATAGACATCTGATTTACAACTGTTTAACTGTTCCTGTAGATCTTTACCAAAATCTAACAATCTACAATACAATAATAAATAGATTACCCATCACACTCTTACTTTCTGAATAGGCTTTTTCTGATAATACTGGTGAAATTTAAATTGGTAATTTAGTGTTCTAGAACATCAAATTTTTTCCATTATTTGAGAGATGAGGGGTGTTCACTAAAAATCTATGTTCTGTTATAAAATGCATAGTTTTAGTTAAATTGCAAGACTTACTGACAGAAAATTTGACTGGTGCGATAAGATGATATCTGTGTCCTTGATACACAAAAAACCTCTTTACATCTTCTGTAAGGGCGAGAATGGTGGTAATAGCTTTCATACATATTATTTCCTAATAAAGTCAAATTCATATTAAAGTGCCAAAAAACAATTCTTTCTACTTACTGAAAGTCTGAAGCTGAATCATCTGAAATTTCTTTCTGTAATTTATGTAATTCTTTCTCATGTTTACGTAATTCAAGAGCTTTTGATCTGACCTTCTCTTGTAGTTGAAGAATTGGTGTTTTCTGATCTTCAACTCTGGAGAGTTCTAAACGGAATCTCATACTCTGCAAATTCTCTTTGGCTTCCTGGAAAGGAAGAAAATTTGAATAACATTGGAAAAAAGTTATTTCATTTTACATTTGGACCAATATTTGCACAATCACATTTTACTGCATTAAAATTTAACATTTTGTTCATTGTTAAAAACACTTCTTACCTTTTCCTTTGGTTCAACATACAACAACAAATTATTAACTATATCTAATATAATAGTGTATTGTAACTGAAACAACAAATCATAGCTTTAAAATGTATGTCTTTCAAATCATTCAGAATTCAAGAAATATTGAAATTTGTTCAGAATGTGAGGTACATTTACTACATAACTGGGTTCAATATTTAAAGGATGTCACAGACTTTAACCATAACCTTGTTAGTCAAGCCACTTTAATTAAATGAGCACATGTACGCACAATACAAATAAAGGTAACCAGTGGTTAATCAGTAATCAGTTTACAAAGATATAAACATATTTCATTAATATTGCCTTAACTCTTCCATAGTGACATTGAAGTCTTGTTGAGTGTACTAATCAACTTACTGGGTTAGAACACATATTTAAATCATGATGTAAAATCGTAAAGGCATCAATTCCTTCTTCCATTTCCATTACATCACTGTCTTCTGTTCTCTGTAAAATTTGAATCACCCATCAAATTAGTATATAATAAGGACTGTCAAACATTAAACATCATGTTTTTAAAGAAAATTCAGTAATCAGGTGAGAATTTGAATTCAGATAAATGTTCACACTGCTGACCCATCAAAATTGACAAATGTGTCTATTTCACTAGTACATCGAATGAACTTACAGGTAAAGGAACTTCTGGAAGTTGATTGGGTTTAACATCACCATAATTAGCATAGAAAAACTGACATTTACATCTTGATATGATACGTTGTAGTTGGATAGTTCCTGCTGATTTCTGAAATAATGACCAAAATTAAAACAGTACTGTGAAATCCACATTAGTTTTCATTATCTCATAAATCAATGACAACTCCTAATGTAGAATAAGGGTTTAAAACTGCGGGCTCTGTATTGATTACCAAATCTTTTAGGAAGTGGAAATGATGCCTACAGTACTTGGAAGATTCAACTAAGAAACCTTAAAAAAAACATATAAAATAACACATCTTTACTTAATTAGACTTCAAATCAGGCTATTGGCATTTAATATTAAAATCTACATACAATGATACACCAATTACATATTTTTATGATAATCATCTAACATCATCTTGATAGTTAGTTTTAAGATTAATTTTTGAAATAGTACAGTAACATACCTTATCTGAAGGTCCAACAGTATTACTAATAACACCACCAACACTATGGCCACTACCAACCATTTCTGGTACACCAGACAAATCAGGTTCAAATCTATCTTCTACATTTTCTTTAGATAACCAGGGTATATCATCATCTTCAAAATCATCTCCAGGATCTACTGTGGCATAGTACTAAAAATGAAAAGAAATGGTATTAACGTTCTGCACATTGTGAGAAATGAGGGCAATTTAGACCCTATTTAACTGTCTACTGATCTTGAATGTGAACCATCTGTAGCACATGGGGCCTCGCTTTAGTATCTCATCTGAACGACTTGATGCATTTTTATTTGAGCTGCTCAATATCAGCCTGTAATATCTAAAATACTTAAAAATAGTGGGAGTATTTTGTCCATAAAAGTAAGTAGTTTAACTAAAATAACCAAACATGAAATAGTATTTACTTAATGTCAAAAGATCTAAACCATATTATCGACCACCTTATCTAAAAATATGGATGAGCATATATTTCATATACCTGCATACATTCAACTGAACCAACCCAAGTAGTTTTACTTCGTAGTTGAGTGTTTCTCCACACTGGATGATGACGGCATGATAAAATCTGAGCTTTAGCAGCACTAACAATAACATAACCTGGTGTTTCACAACCTTTTAATATAATCTGACTATTGTCCAACTCAACTGAAATCAACATAATCAGAGAAATTGAACACAACATTTGGTGGAATTGATCATTACAATACCACAAAGCAAGTTTTTAATTCAAAAAAATTCTGAATTTCAAAATCACAAAACGTATTGTACAGATAAAAGCTGGATGAATAATTTCCAAGAAACAGTGTAATGAAATGAATAGAATTTTAACTCCTACTTTTCTGCACCATCAAGACACAGTCTAGAAGTTACTTGTTTCAGATGCTGTTTGTACTCATTTTGTTTTATTTTCATCACATACAAGTACATGAAGACAATATCAAGCCAATATATTAATATCAAGGAATATTAGAACTTACTGAGCCAATTTTTCTGAATGACATCATCCGTTTGACAAGCTCTAACACCATGTAACTGTTCCATATTAGAACTGGACGGCTGAAAGAGAACAAACAAATTAGAAATTATACAGCTGCTAGTTAACTAAGTACTTATATTCTTGTGTTCTGGTATCAACTAGGATGAGGGTGAAGAAATGAAGGGCTTAACTTTGGTAACTGTGATCGTTTCAAAATTCATTTCAAAATGATTGATTAGATGAGAACGTCTGTTGGATCAACCAACCTTACCCTCCAAATTTCTAGAGCCATGTCAGAAGTGTTTAAAGGATTCTACATGACCCTGACATACCTCTTCAGTAAAGGCAACAGATTTACTATCAGATTCTGATACCAGTTTCATTAACATTGATAAGGCATGGCCTGCTTGTAATTTAGATAGAGGACTAGTTGCTACTACAGGACTTCCTGGTGGTCCTGATACTAGAGATGACATTGATGTTGCTTTCTGAAAATATAATTCTTATTAACGCTGTCATTAATAATAAATTTGACAACCATTTTTGATATTCTGGCTTTTACATAACCTTCTCATGTTTACAAATATTCAATGTAAATCACACAGATCAATTTCAAAATCAGGCTTTAATATCTCACCTGATATATACAAAACAAATAATATCAGCCATATGAATTCTTTAAAAGAGATTGAGTAAGGGAAAGAGATATGGTGGAACATGTGAAATATGTGCTTGCTAATCAAAATAAAAATATTACTGACAACTTACATTGCCTTGATCTTTTCCCTCAACTTTAAATCCTTTCAGAGCCTCAGATGATAAGTTTCTTCTCAGTGACTGAGCCTTCTGATAACTATCATAAATACCAATCAACACCGTACGATTCTTTTTAGTCCATGATCCTCTCATTTCATTCACATGAACACTGTGAGTTGGTGTGATCTGAAACATATATACATTGAACATTTAATCAATGATAAAAATAATGAAAACACACTTGATGCCACTCTCGACTCGGTTACTCTTTTGGAGACTTTTCTCAGCTAATTTGTACATTGCATAAAAATGATTTATTACACATATTTTGAAGTCTAATTGATTGATTTGAGACTTACCTGGTCTCCTTCAGCTTCTTTAGTTTCATTTTTCTTTGATTTCTCTCCTCTTTTATATGACACACTGAAACACAATAAAATGTAATCTGAAAACTGTGTGTAATGCCCCAATGCCCAAACATATTTTAAACGAATTCCCTTCAGTATGTAAGCATCAACATATCAGAACTATAAAATACTATTGGAATATAAGAAATATCAAGAAAAATAAGCCTACCTGTTCACACTAAGGAAGAAACTTTTATCTGCAGGTACCCTTATAGACATGTTTAACTGAAAATAATAGAAACATAAAGAGCCACATATATAACACAGTACATAAAAAAATATTGTTTACAATCACAAGTAATACAACGGTACAGATATCTATGTACATGCAGACAGTCTATATTTTGTTTCATGATAATAATAAGAAAACTATTATCTCATTTCTCTTGGAACAACCTCTTTAATCTTAGACTATGTCAACAAAAATTTCTTCATGTTAAAGATTATCAGGTAAAAATAAGAAATTACCACATTATCTTCACCATCTTGAGGCATAGCTTGACACAACCATGTTTTAGTTTTACCCAGATTACAGATAAGATGATGAACATTCCAGTCAGATGCAGGTCGGTGTATCATTCCATCTTCTATTGGTACCAATGTTAATTTATTGCACATATTTAATGTAAAGGAGTCAGACAGGACTTCAAATCCATGTTGTTTAGCAAACGACATCCAATATCGAATCAAAAACTGATGATAATTTACTGACATCTTTATTTTTCTGTAAAACAACAATAATCATTTCATGAAATCAAAGATCTAACAACAAATCTAGAATCTAAAAAAGAAGGAGGAAATACAAGATCGAACTTGTTAGATCAACAGCTTTGAAAATTAAATCTAGTATTTATCCATTCATACTTATCTGTAATAAAACTTACTTGTAATGTCTACTAAGTTGAAGTTTACGTTTTGATGTTGTGTTAAAATATTTTCCACGTCTTATAGGTCTAGTGGTACTCAATAAACAATTCTGAAATAATAGATAGAAAGATATCAGTAGTTGACAATATAATATAATACAACCAATTCAAATAAACAATTGCTAGTCTTTAGTTAAAACACAAACTTGTTAAAAGGTCAGGCCTTAATTTCACTCTAATAAAGATTAATTATTAAACATGTCAGCTGAATTCACTCCATTTACATATTACCATGAACATATTAAAAATAATTTAGAAATTGAAGCCAACATTATTTTGTGTTTAGGTTGAGTGTGAAGTTAAACAGTAACATATACTAACGCAATTCCAACACTGACTACATGAAATTACAACAAATTACACCATACCTTTATTTTCTCCATAAATCTTAAAGTACTGGCATAAAAATAACAACTGGGAATATTTTCAGGATTTTCCTTTGATTTCTGTGTTTCTAAACTAATATCTAGATTCAATTTCTCAGATCTAAAGGCTCGGAATGAATCATGTGCCTGTAATAAAAACAAATCTTGGTGTTATTTCACTGACAAAGAAATAAGTTTAAAACTAAAACCATTTGATTGCAGTTTCTAAATTTTTTGAATAATTTGACTGAGAATAAAGCTTCCCCTTACACCTAGCCTTGCCAATGGTTGTTATTGCAAATAGAAGTGGTTTAGGTCAATATAATACTTATTTCATAGTCTTCAATTGTTTTGTTACAATTGGTAAATGACAAATCTAGTAGCTTTACCTCCATGGAATAATCAGGAACTTTATCAGGAGCACAAGGCATCACGGAATGATGATCATTAGGATTACCTGGACACAACCATTCCAATCTGACACTAAAATATACAGTTTGCCATTAATGCCAAAATATTCATTAGGTTATCAAATGAAATGAAATGAAGACAGATAAATTAATCAAGAAATAAATCGTAGAAAAGGTAGTAATGTACTATAACGTGATTCAATAAGCATTGAGACAGACACTTTAAGCCATACTAGTCCAATAAAGTTTGTCATGCATAATTTCATCTTTGTCAATCCAAGTCGTTGATGTGCACCAAAAGCAAAATCAAATAAGATTCTGTGTAGATTACAAAAGAACAACCCCATAAAACATGTAGACATTTGATAAAACAACAAAATTAAATGACACTATAATCTAACACTGATATGATTAAATTTTCTTCTTTTGATCTCAAATTTGGATTTTGGCAATTAACTATGAAAACTTACCAAAACCTAAGATTAGGTAAATGAAACATTTTACAATCATCATATTTAGATTCCGTTTTAGCAGAAATATCTAAGTCACCCTTTAACAAAAATTTACCTGCAAAAGATGAACATAGATTGCATGAACAATGTCCAATAAAAATAATTTCATTCAATGAAAATAACCCATTTTTTTGTATGGAATGATGTCTTGAGATTTTAATGTTCTTTGTTTCTTTATATAAATAATAAGGATTTTTAATTACAATTATCAATTATAAGAAGTTACAAAAGCATACCATTTGTCCAATCTAAAACCACATTAGTCCACGTCCATTCCATTAATTCATTTTTATTGAAAGGATCTAATTGGGCATGATATAACCAGTTCATTTTTCCAATGGACATGGTCCACCGTCCATGAAATAGGAGCCTTATTTTATCCCAGAATGGTAAAGGTTGACTAGGATCTATGGATGGTTTATTCACCATGTCTAAACATATATTATACTGGGCAAACGCTGCCTCCCAACACACACCATATGCCATCGTCCAACTCTTCATATCTGCAACAAATATTCATAGTTCATGTACTTCAATTCTGGTCTATGTATAGAACAATTCAAAGTGGCGAAAAGAAAGAAGGGAACAACTAGGATCTTTCTACCAGTTGGTCCTTGGCAAAAAGAATGGAAATATGCCAAGTAGTGATCTGATAAAGGAAAAGTGCACCCTCAAACACGTTTGTGAAGGAGATACTTATATTTCAAGATTTTGTATCGGAAACGTGTGCAATTCCTCCAAACTAAACTGATTGATATTGAAGTCTGATTTTTCTTACCACAGCTAAAATCATGAAAAAATTTCAGAGGAGGTAAACTTCTTTCAACTTTCATATCACCCCATGGTTTATTGACCTCCACCACACAAGTTCTTTTGGCACGTTTTGTGGCTTCTTGTTCAGCACCAATAAATCTACCCCAAACATGCATATTCTGTACATTTAACATCGGTAAGGGATAGTCTCTTAATCTCACAGTCCATAATTTAACACTAAAACTTACAGATCTACACCATAGAGTTGAGAATTCTAATCCTTCAGCAGGGTATGGACTGCAATTATAATTTATCAAAAATTTAACACAAAAAAGTTCAATTTGAAACACGGTACTGACAGGATAGACAAAATAACTATTAAAAAAAAATGTGTTTAAAAAAGGAAATATAAATGTTAATCTAATTCAATTAAATTTCAATATTATTCAAATAAATACAACTCTTATAAGGAAATACCAGAGTAAAAGCATTAGCTCTGTAGATACATAGGATTACTAAGTTGACCAACCCAGCTGCAGATCGACAACAAATTTTCTGGGAGGGACAGTATACTCTGCATGCAAGGGGAACTTGCTAAAAGATTTCTTGCAACCAATTTTAATCAGTTCTTACCTATCAGAGTCTATCTCTTTCATATGTTTAACAACATTGTCTTTACCATGAAATGAGAGGTCAGCTAGAGCTGTTATGTCCACCTCTTCCATAGTCCATGTAAATAACTTGGTACGTATTGAAGCTGTATTGTAATATTGTTTTGATCTCTGTACGTATATATCAGCACTCTTTCTAGATAGTGATGTATATAGATCTTCTACTCTACTGGCTACAACATAAATAAAATAAAGTAAACAGATAATTTAGGAAAGCTCAATATCGTGTGGATTTTCCGTGGACCGCAGGTAGAAAGGAATCTGGTGAAACTACATTGTTACCCTGGAAAAAATTGTTGTTTATTTGTTCCACCCTTAAGTACTAACACTTAAAACTTGTGTTTATCCAGTAAGATTGTGTGACTTACTACTAACTCATAGTCCTCTCTCGTATCCAAATAATTTGTAGAGATAATAATTTTTTAGTTTAAACTTAGGGGTTAGGGCACATTTTCTTCCAAAATGTACTTAACCTGAAAGCAGACATGGAGAAACTATGTATCTTACCTGGTATGCGGCCATGTTGTCTTTGTAATTCAGCAATTTTACCATCTAATACATCTTTTCTATTGATACTTTCATAATATTCATCTTTTAACAACTATAAAATGAAATTAAGTTTGTTCTTATGTTATTATATTAATTCAAAAAGGATTGGACTGGGGAAGAGAGCAAAAACCGCCTTACAGCCCTGAATATCCTGAAGAGCACCAGCTCATGGATTATTATCCAAATTATCAAAGGTGATCATCAAGCTGAAAATAACAAGGAACTTTCAATGGTAATCTGCATTTAAACCTTAAAAAAAAAAAACTTACTACTTACTTCAAAATTATCACCAAGTTTAACCTCAAATGGATCATCTGATAACTGAACACAAAATAACTAGAAAAATAATTTAGATATTACCATCTTGGAATATACTATTCTAAATACTAATACTTCATCTAGGTACTGATTGTTAATTCTTTATTCAGTCCATTTTCAAGAGAAATAATTCTGTTGTTACATAATTCAAATTATTAATATATGAAGTGTCTTACCTTGACTAATATACGTAGATCAGGAGGTAATTTACTATCCACTGTAAAGGGCTTCCTCTGTATTTTATGTACAAGTTTCAACCATTTAAATGTATTTACAACCTGAAATGTAACAATATAAGCATTATATACATTTGAAGATTGTAAGGTGTTTTGTACCTAATAAGAAAATAAAGTGTCTACATCAATTCTTTACCTAATCCAAAAGTTTATCAATACTATTGAAATGGAATCTTGGAGGAAAAACTTTATTTTCAAAAAAGTAAGAAAAGATAATACTTGCTATTGGATAAGCTAATTATGTGCATTTGCCAAATCAATCAGGCTAAATAATGGTAAGAAAAGTTAAATTATTTTAGACTATTTTATTAAAAACATCTTACCTCTTCAAAACAAGCTGCAAAGTCATAATCGTAGGGAAAAATTATACTAAAGTTTTCTATAGAAATTCCCCTACAAAAAAAATATAGATCTGAATTACATCTTTGAACATTTTTAATGATGAAAATATATGAAAATTTAGTTCTATGCTTTATGAGTGTGCAATGTTTGAGCAACACACTAGAATAAGGACAATTTGCAAAGAATTGCTTGTTCTCTCCTTTATTATCTAACAGTTATACTTTTTTGCAAGTCAACTTTGGAGAACAGGTTTGTTCAGAAATATGAAGACACTAAGACAAAACTATTTTTACAAGAAGAAACATACCATGTTCTATTTGTTGGTAGTTGTAGATTACCTACAGCTTGTCTTTCTCGTTGTAAAATACTAGGAGATAGAGTTTCAAATACCAGATTCTGAAATTAAGGTCAAATTTAAATGGTAAAGATAATGCATATTGTGTGTACTATTTAGATTAAGGTCTAATAAAACTTGATGGTTCTTTTCTTACACTTGCTTTTGTAAGCTGATTGCTAAAGCAAATCTTAAAATGCTTTGGTCCTGGTAAGGGTCAATGGAAATATATACATCAAGTAAGACAAATATACCCAATATAGACAACTTACTTTCAATTTGAATATTTCATTAGTATCAAAAGATACAGTCAGATGGTTTATTTCCATCAAACAACTTGGTAATTTACCAGTTAATAATAGACTATTAGTGTGTAGAGTTACTCTGAAATATATTACATACTTTTTATCAAGGGATAAAAATACATTCAACTTCTCCTCTTCAATGTGTCCTTGTTATACACAAAAATAATTAAAGATGTAGATTTTGCATAGATTAAATGAATTTTACTAACTAACTGTAAGAAGTATATGCATGACCATGGATAACATGTAGAAGCATAAGTTTATTATCTACCACACTGATTAACAATTAGGTTGACCTTAGAGGTGGATATTGGCAAATAAACATGCAGTTTTGTACATACAGGGCCATCTTAAAGAAAGAGGGTAATTTAAACAGAAATATTCAATTCTGGATTATCAATGGTCCCAAGCGCAACGGTCAGTTCAAACATATTTAAAGATAAAAGAAATATAACTTACTGATGTTGTTTAGAAAGTTTAGCTGTAAGATTTATATCAGCATGTATCAATATATTTAATTGAAGTTTTCTGGGTGCTTTGTTACTGACTTTCACTTCTGATACATCTTTATGCGCAAATCCTAATAAAGAAAAAAAAATACCAATACATACTATTAAGTACATGACAATATCTAATAAATAACTATGGTTAGGTCGAAGATCAACTGATTGACAAAATCATCGTTATATATAAATGCTAGATTTTCATTTTCTTTTGAAAAGTTGTAGACCACTAGTGTAGAACTGAACTACTTTTCAAATTAAATATCTTACCTTTTAACCTGTTTAAAAGAATCTTTAAGTCTTGAAGACCTTGATCAAAACACATGTGAGCATGGGTTGTCCAGACCACTAAAACTTCCTTCATTAGTTGAACTGTTAATTCCTGAAGACAAAAAAGAGCCAAAGAATGGTTGTAGCTGGCTAATGCACTATTTTTTTTTGGCCGTATCTTTATGGCTAGTTAAATCATTTTAAAAGTAAAATATCAAAATATAAAGGATTAAATAATAACCTTATGAATAATAATATAGAGGGTATTGCAGAATCATTTTCTAAAAAAACGAAAAAATAGAACATACCATTTCTGTATGTTTATAAACCAGTCTAATTTCTTTCATACTGGCTACTGGTTTCTGTAAATCTACAGATCGGCTTAAACTCTGATACTAAAACAGACAAGCAGAAAGTATAAGATTTGATGACTTGGAGTGTTTTTTATTTAGTATTCCAATCCTTTCTACTCTAAATTCCATTTTTGGAGAAATTTTCGCTAGACCTTATTTCCACTCTGATTGTTTGACACAAATTTAATGAAGTATGTGGAATGTAATTCCATTATACTACATATTTCCTTGTTTCAACTGATAATGACAATGTAAATTGTTGAAACGTTATGTACAATTAAACCCAGGAGTTATCTAAGATCTCTTGGCCTAAATGTAGCTAAAGGATCATCTGCTTGAACAATTGTTTATATTTTATACAGACATAGCTTAATCTCAACTTGTGTCATGTGATTTAAAGGGATCTTTACTCATCAATGATTTCACAAAATTTAAAAAAAATAATTACTTACTGGCTCTTGTTGATGTAAATAAACTAATTTTAAACCAGTTAATGATACTGATGATTTACATTGTTGATAATCTGTACTGATAGAGTCTGTTCTTAACATTAAACATACTGAAATTACAATTCAAATATCTTTTTTCAGACAACAATTTTGATGAAAAGATAGAATAATTCCCCACTTTCTCTTTGCACTCCATCAGCTTTAATATTCTTTGCACAAAAAACAAGGATGGTGACTGATGTGGTTATAAAGCTCATAACATTATAAGGAACAGTGTTTACCTGCAACTTTAAAGTGATTTATTGACTGAAATTTTATCTTCTGGGTTCATTGATATTAGCCAATGTGAAAGGTATTATAAAACTCATCCAGAATGTCCTACCTTTAAAATCATTCAACAAGAAGAAATTAACATTTGTTAGTTCAAACTTAATAGTCAATAGCTCTTGAGATATACAAGACATCACATCAGTATTGGAACTCTTCTCAGGTGAAGGTAAATCTACATGATTGGAACTCTCATCTGTTGGAGGTATATTTAGTGGTAGTTGTTGTTTTAATTTAAAGATTGAATTCAGGAGCTGTAGTAGTGTATTGAGGGTTGTAGTTGACCATTCTAACTGTAGATTATCTTTCATTCCTTCTATCTTTAAATTTCGGTTGAGTTTCTTTACCTATTGTATAATGTATCCTATATTATAAACATAACTGAGAGCCTAATGAGTCTTAATTATATAACAACTTTTCCATTTATCATAGATAATGTGTGCATTTGCTTCATATGTCAAGAAGTATGTTAAATAAATGCACACAAACAATATGTAGATCTGTAATTAATGTAATGGTTTGTTGCCTCTGTTAGATTCTGTGTTGGCTTTAGAGAATAAAAAATCATATTAAACTCCATGAATGATTTTTTGAGATCAGGGTTTCTTCAATCAGAGTTTCAAATTATCAAATCAATTGATTTTTCACATTCGACTTCAAAAATGGATACTGGCTTTTATCACAATGAAGTGCTCCATTCACTTTACAAAATTGTTCTTACAGACATTTCAAAATAAACAAAGAAATGAAAATAAAATCAATATAATTATAATGTTCTTTAAAATGTTCTTACAGACAAAATTTGTGACTTCAAAATAGGATATTGGCAATGTTTATGTAGAAAAACAATAAGTGTCATTACTTTACATTCTAAACCATTCTTGGCTTACCATGCATACACTGTGCATTACTATTTGCACATGTTTATAGTCAAAAATGAAAAGGACAACTTTTACCAATAAATTTGTCCTTGTGCACTGTGCAATCAAAGAGTTTTCAAAGACCTGTTAACCTATTAAATCAACTTACCTTTATCATCATCATTTCAAGATACAATAAATGATTCCAATGATGTTTCTTCTTTCCTAGTATAGTGACAGCTACACCAGAATCAATATGCCAACAGTAAACACAATTCACTTCAGTTTCAAATATAACATCATGACTAGCTAAATAACTACTACCAACTTCATGACCTGTAATAAAATTAGGTTCATGACAAATGTAACAAATATTATTTGAATTTTTTTTTCAAAACTCATTTCGAAAAAAACAATCCCTCAAAAAATATATGTAGCAAACTCTAATCTGACCTAATATCAACATAATCAGCCAAAGATACATTTATGCAGTAAAAGTAAAGACATTGTAACGTATATTGTTCAACAGTTGACTTTCCAAAAATAGTATTATTTTTATACATCTCATGTTACATGTATAATATAGGTACCAAAACAAGTAACATGCTGATTATGACAGGGATATTCCCCATGAGAGATTGATTGAGAGCCTGAATAAAGATGGTGTATAAAATTTCATTTTGTTTTATCTTGAATCCATGCCATCCTTGAAAACTTAGTCCCAAACAGAACACAGGCTTCAATATATATTAACATACTTACCAAAGGTGGGTTTAATAGTGCCTGATGTTTTAAATAATGACACGCCTCCGTGTAAACCTGAACAGGATGCTGATGATATAGTCGTTGACAATTCAGATAATTTCATCTCATAATTTATCTTCTTGCTACTGAGCCATTCTATCATACTGGATCTAAAACACAGAGTTAAATGTAAGAGCTCAAAAAATGATTGCCATGGGTTCTTAGGTCTGGTTAACTCGAAAATGTCATCTTTTCTCAATATTCCAGTCAACCCAAATGTCCTTGGGGTCTAAATTTCACTTCATTCAATTTGGCATGCTGCATTTCAATAGTTTCCCTACAGCTAAATCTACCTCAGCAATGAATGGGACAAAACCTAGTGTATTCTGGAGCATGGCTCTTTAAATCAAACACTGTGGTGTGCTATGATGCAGATTGCTAGCAGAATTTTCACATTGTCCGTTTGGTATGTAGGTGGTTGAACCATTAAATTCAGATGTTGTTTTCAAGTATTCAAGATTTCATAACTTACTTCAAAGTTGCTGGTGGTCGTCTGGTTGCTGACAATCTACGATATGATGTATTTGATGTTTGATTGTCAAGTATATTGTTTAGAACTGTCATCCAGTACTGTATTTCATCATGATGATAATGAAAGAAACCACCACGTACCACAGATATAGTTGTTATATGATCGAGTATAACCTACCAGAAAAAAATACTCATAGGGTTCCTGTCAACACACAGATTTTCATTTTATTTCATACAGTAAAATCATTATTATTTTGAGGTTGAATTTTCTCTTAGATCAGCCAATATCAATGGCTTACTGATAAAATCAACCAATATTCCAGACAAAATAACAATTTATGAATTTATATCCTCAAGAATATGCTTCAAATCCATTAATCTTGGTTGAGATCCAAATAATTAATTTCAAAGTTAGTTCTTTTATTAGTATTCAAGAAAGGTTTGTCAGGATTTAAAGAGGTTATTAAGTTCAAGTTTAATTACCTGTATTTTATGTTCAACTTTAGTGACTCCAGCAAATCTGGCTTGAGAAGAACTGGTTTGAAAATCTATAAAAGAAACATCATATAATAACGACCTGTTGCCATAAACATTCAAACTTTCATTTCTTTACAGAATCTGATATTGATATCTAATGAATGGTGGACGTAGATATCTAAACATGTCAAAATTTGGGAATATCAAAAAAGTATCAGAAAGTTAATAAAGCTTATGTGTGCCATAAAGTAAGAGTAAGAGTTATAAGTTACTGTCATTCTCAAGGCAATCAGTGAGTGGTGTCTTCAAAGCACATATATGACAGAAATCAACTACTCACCATCTAAGACTATATTACAAGATAAATCTAGAGTATTTCTACTTTCATTGTGAAATCCTAGATGAAATAATGATAAACCAATAGATAGACTCCTGAAACAAACATAACATAATATAATCATATAAATATAACTGAAATTCAATAAAACATGACCTGTTTTGGACAATACAAAACAAATTGTAAAACAGTTAATTGTTTCAAGGTCTGAAGGTGGAAGTTGACAGAACAACTGTTAAAAGCACTGGTTGTGTTACCGTGAGAAAATTCGGACCAAAGTATTATCTGTAGTAAGCTTTATATTCTGTGAGTCTATGAGTCATATTATTTACACTAGTATACCATCTAGCCATGGTTTTACACTCCATTCAACATACCTTTGTTTTGTTTCCCTTAATATCTTCATATTTAAATCAGAGCAGTCAAAACTTATTTCTTTCTGTAAAAAATAGAATAATAATTATATAATAACTGAATCAGAATATGTTTTAGAGGCAGACTTCTTATTTTCACCAACAGTTTTTAACAGGTTCAAAAGAATTTATACATTGAATAATACTACTATTTATTACCTTTCAAACTATATTACTTACCAAACTTTTAAACCTTGATAAATTCAGAGGCTTGCTCTCTTCACCTATAAAACAGTGAAAATTCTGGTAACAATTAATAAGATAAAACCCTCATAACAACAAAGAAAAGCAACAAAGTTATCTGAAGATGGTACTAAGAAAAATATCTTATTCTGTATATTTTGACAAGTATTTGGAAAAGGATCTCCTGATAAGCATTCAATTGATATTCACAGACAAGTTCGTACAGAGTAAATCTCTTATACTAATCAGAAAGTGATTTTTTATACTGACTTGTTTCTGGTCCTTGATTAGATGATGATTCACCAAAATTTATCAGCTGAAGACTTTGTAAAAATCCTGAAAATATATCGATTTTCAACATCAAAATTTTCTTTAATTATAATATTTCAACAACTTTCATATGTTTTCTTACATCCAAATTTGTCATATGAATTTCTGAAACGGACTTAATATACTACTGATTAATTTGGATGTAAAAACACTTTTTACCTTTAATAAATATTTCACAAAATCTACTATTGAGGTAGTTTTTATTGAAAATTAATTAACCCTTACCTTCAGTCATCATCATTTGTGGTTTGGAAACTAAAAATCTAACAACCTGAAATCAAATTCAGAGATTCAGATATCATGATAATATTTATATGGGTTATCTATAATAATCAAACAAATGATGTCTGTAAGCCAAATACCAAGACAACTAATGTGTTACAGTGCTTTAATTGGCAGATCCTCATCCTTCCTAGAAAGAATTTCAACCAGTCAAAATCCTTGAGATTCAAAAGTCATAAGCTATTTTGCCAGAAACTGTCTTAGTACTACCTGTAATTGTTTAGGATCTAAAACATTAACTCCTATCTCTGTAAATAAACTAACACCTATTTCAGCTAAACACTGCTGACTAGTGGAATCTTCATCCTGCAAAAACATGAGACAATTAACATGACAAACTTATGGTAGTGACCAACCAATGATTGACTCAAAAATCAAACTTACAATGTTGATATATTTTTGAAGAAACTGAATTAACAGAGTTTTAGATCTGATTCTAGATAGACTCTCTATGATTTTGAGAAGGAAATTAATTTTGCTTTTCGGCTTACTTACTGGAATTCCTTCATGGGATTTTAAAGCTTTACACATAACACCAGATAAATGTATTGCTAAGTTCAAACTGTAAAAAAAAAAAAAATATAAAAAATCATATTTGAAAATTGTCATTTTTCGTTAAATGTCTGTGGTCATTGTTATTCTACTATTTCTCAGTGTTGGCATGAACCACAAGACATCTGACAAAAAATTTGAATGGTGCAAATTGATGCTATCAGTGTCCCGGTACACATAAAAAGTTTAGAAAACTTCTTTAAAAAGCTATGATGAGTTATAAAGCTATATTTCATTAACTTGAAATGGTGCAAATTAATGTTATACGTGTGCCTTCTTTACATCTTCATAATCCTTTACAGCTTTGTATATGAAGCTATATTACTCTGATAATAATTCAAAAGGATCTGTGTAAATTACAAATTACCTATCATCAGTGACAGTAGAATCTATACTGATATCTTGTCCTTCAATATGTATCAAACTATCTGGTAACATAGTCTTTAATAACATCATAGTTAGGTTTTCCACTCGAATTCCAATAAACTGGGCATAGTGTAACCATTTAGGAATTGTCTCCCTTTGTTCAGCTGAAGCAGCAGACCTGTCATCAGGCTGTGGTGAATCTCTTTCTCTCCCAGTTTCAACATTTTCTATATTAGCTTGTATTCTTACTTCCTGAATACGCAGGACCAGTGGTTTTCTGAAAGTAAGAATGACATTCTCATCCATAAGAAGTCTATTAAAATCTGTAGGTCTACAGACCAAATTGATGGTCTCTTCTGGATTTCTAACTATTTCCATAATCCTTATAATTTTTCAGAATAAAGATCTATTCAGTCTAGTTCAACTATAATTCCTTAAAATCAATTTGTTGAAGTAACACACACCAGAAAAATAGCAACCAAACTTCAAACGTTTAATTTACAAATTCTTACCTGATTTCTGGATTAACAAAACAACTTGACAACCATACTTGACCTATTTCCTGAAAAATATAACAGAAGTGAATAAAGATGCCCATAAAAACAACTTTTAAACCCCAGCATAAAATCTGCTATATCTCAAAGATCTGCAATTTGTATTGTCGTCTTCACAGGCTGATGCCTTGCCAACAGACTGAAGAGCATTAAAAAAAGCCAAGTCAATCAACTGAGGTTGCAAGCAAAATGATCTAGTCAAGATATAGGTTTTCTTTGGACTAAACATTTTGCTTCTCATCAATATAGCAAAGGCTTTAAACTATAATCTAAAACATCTCTTTACATGACTGCAAACTCTTGTGATTTTGCAGTAGGCTTACTTTGTTACATAAATCAATATTGAGAATGTGTATGGCTCATATCAATGCACTCTAGCGTTCTATATTACTTCATGTCTATTATTACATGAACATAATACTTACCACATTCAATCCACGTTTAATAACAGCTTGTACATTAGAAAATCTAAATAAACCAATCTGTCCAACCTTAACTTGAACATCTAAATAACGTTTTAAACACCACTGAATCAACCATGCTATTAATCTGAAACCAGAGGTGAATCATTTGATTTAATTCTTAAAGAGATAACCTGAACACAAATTAAAAGAACATGTACATCTTAAATTCGTCTTCATCGTCATTGCACCAATCTGAACAGGGGTGAATTTATCTTTATGCTTTACTCCGTATCTCTAAGGCTGTTCACTTGGAGTTCAAATTGGAAATTAGAAGCTTCAAATAAATCTTTACAGGTGAAAATTCAACTTCAATACACCTGTTTTTCAGTGATGAAATGACAATTATCATCAGCTACTGAGTGCTTTTAAAAGGCATCTCCAAAAGTCTTTTGAGGATGTGAGAGTTTGAGGAAAGGGGGATATATGATGAAATGGAATTGATTTACAGATCATCTACAGGCTACCTTGCTACTGTCTTTATAATCAAAACAAAGTTAAAGTTCAAGTTAAAAGGGACAGATGAGCCATTTTTTTTACAAATCATATTTTAGTCTAAGAAACATTAAATTTTTTAGCTAAGCCAATCAGTTATAGTGTTCACAGCTCACCGTCGAAATATGAGCCTACAAATCCATGTGTGTCCAGAATTATAGTCAATTTAAGATACTCTGTGATATATAGGAAAGATTTATATATAGAAATAGTAAGTAAATTTCTTAGTTCGAAGTATCTTTAAAGGAATTATGCGATATTCATACATTTCAAGTACTTCTGAAGACTATTTACATATATTCAAGACTAAATTCAACCCCCAAAATGGGACACCTGTCCCTTTCATTCATTCGATCTAACTCAATTTCAACACAAAGCCTCTTGATCCCAATAAGCTTTTCAAAAGATACTTTTTGAGAAACTAAGAGTTGTATTTGCAATCTTAACAGTACAATGATGCCTACAGGCAATTGAAAATATACTTCTATCTTCTCATATTAGGATAGAAGACTGCTTCTTTAAAATCAAAACATAATAAAATACAACAAAGTGAAAGTAGAATAATGTTCTGATAAAAAATATAATCAACATAAAAATCTGCAAGATTTTATTATACAATTAACATCTGCTTCAATTTAAGCAGAAAAACTCTTCCTAATTCTGTTAGGGAAAAATGTTGTTCTATGGATTTTTCCTCCCACATTGACCCCCTTTAGTATCTCAGTACATTTCCAATCCCAAACTTGGCACTGCATGACATAGTGACATGACAGTCACTGTCAAAACATAACGGTACCTGGTTAAAGCCCACAGTGCCACAATCAGATAGATCAAAGTCCAGATAAAATTTGGCATTATCTTTCAGGAACAGAAACATATGATTGTGACAGTCAATTGAAACTCATAATACAATATTCTAAAGTGAAAATTTCAAACTGATCAAAACTACATCTTCAGTCTGCCATGATGGAAAATGTAGGTCAGTGCCCGTCACGTGACAATAATCAACCAATGAAATTTTGTTAACCTTGCCGCTTCCCGTCTTTTACCCAGTACTAACATCAGATAGAGATTTCTAACGTCGCCATCTTAGTTGCCGAGTAATTTGTCAAATTTAGTGGAATTTTATGTAAGCTGGCATCGAAGCTTCTAATTTGGATATAATTGGTTTGTTTTAGAATATGGAGTGACCATGAGTCACCCAAATCCTTCAGGAAACGGCTGTTCGCTGGAGGACTGCTACACGAACCTCTTCGCTTTGGTGAGTTTTTAGGTTTAAATTTTGAAGTAGGCTATGATCTATTATGCTAGTCTATTGTTTGTAAAATGGCCATCGTTTTATCTAGATTCATCTATAAGTAATTAGTATCGAATGTCTAACATCTACATTCGAAAGAACATTTCCTTAAAGGTATAGATTCAGTATGTAAACAATCAAAACATGACAAAATTCAGGAAATGCCGAATTAATTTTTCAGGTCAAGAAACTCGACTTACTGTCTGTTGACCGCTTTGTAAACATAAAAACAACAAACATACCATATCATCTTTTCGATCTTCTATCCAATCGTTTACAATTAAAACTGCTTGCTTATCATGATTTCTGGATATTTTCATAGTTAGCCAGCAGGCTAATATTCTAAACTGCCTTTATTTTAATCTTTATTCTTTCATTTTCAGACGGATTTATGTGGCATCCGCTGGCGAAAGTTAATCCCAGATCCAGATTCGCATAGTATTGACCCTTTAGGAGATCCAGTATTAGTAGCATATTCCAAATGCATCCGGTCAGATATATTATGTGTTTGGAGAAGGGTTCCTGTAGCGCCTCGCATGTCCGATGGACATCCAGGTCATCCGGGACATCATCATGGCATAGATCATATGTCCTATGGGAAAGAATTATGGATTTTCTGGTATGGAGATGAACCAAAGGTCCTTGCAGAGTTCCTTAAGCATGGCCTGCATGGTAAGATACTTACATACATTATTTTTGGAAGAATATATTTTGGTAATTCTTAGATACAGTGATGTTGATGGTTTCCTTCGTACTATGATTATGGAAATCTGAAACGAAACCATCAAATGTTCATTCAGAATGTTCCATAGACCATTAATATTAGGATTGTACTGAGTTATATTTCGAGTTCCAGCACATCTATAGAAATTTGAATTCATAGGCTTACTAAACTGGTTTTCATAGTGGATAAGTAAGAGCCCATATAATGTGTATTCATGGCCTAAATGAAGAGATTGTATGTATACCTAAGGAATCTGATCTTTGAGGACTGGGGTAGGAATTATCAAATTTAGTCTGAATAAGCTGTAGGAATAAATTCCTTTGACTGATAATGGTCTGCTGGTATAATTTCATTCTTTTCCTCTCAATTAATAGTACACATGCTTATCTTTGATAATCTTTGTTTCAGAGAGAGATATTGGGTCATGGGATAAAGATAAGGATAAAGATAGTGGATTATCTTATGAATGCAGAACTCTGTTATTTAAAGCTTTACATAATCTTATTGAAAGGTAAGCAATCACTTCTTCTGATTATTTATATCACTGACCTATTGATTAAGAGGGATTTAGCTGTCTAAATATTTACTGGTACTGTACAAGAGCTATTAGTAGCACTATTTAGAATTAGAATCTGCCGCTTTCCTTCTATTTATCTTATAAGTACTGGTAAACAGTGTGGTAAGTTTAAACTGTCATTGCTTTCAGGCTGATGGATATAAATGATTTTACAAAAACAAGTTATGGATAGCAGCGCTCATCTGATAGATAGGGAAACTATTAAGGCCTCAAATAATTTTGATAAATGCTTCAATTAAGTAACAAGTTACAAGCAACTAGAGCACCAGTAGATTTCTGTAAATAAATTCCAATTGAACTTTGATCTAAACTTATATCTATTTAATTATTGATGCTATAATTATGCTAATATTTTCTTTTGGTAAGACTAGGTCTTCTATAAGCTAATGTCTTACAAAGATTAAGACTAGGAATATTTAATATTGCCTGCTGCAACTAAATGAGCATGCAGTTGTCAATCTTATAAGATATTCAAATAAATTTTCTTTTGAGTATTAAGGGGAATTTACTCTTGTCTACATCTTGTACATATCTAAATTAAAGATATTCATGCGATGTTAGTGGACTTATTTGGGTATGTTCTTTAATGTTAGTTAGCAATCACAAAGAGACGTACTGGTATCTAGCTTGATTGATTCACTATCCAATAGTTATTTATGCAAAAAAGGAACGTATAATTCTTTGTCACTGGTAGTGCATATGTTGATTCATGTTTTATGCAAGATAAGTTAGTTTGCAACAGTTATTGCACCAATTGTAAGTCCAATTGGAAATGTGCTAATAGAAGCTATAAAGTTTATTTGTGTCCCTGATGTACATTAAAAGCCTGTCCTGTATTGAAACTTACAATGTAAATGGCATTGTACTGTAAGATCACATTTAGAAAACTCATAAACAATCAGATCTGTCTGAGCTCCTGCATAAAAAGATAATATTGACTTTATAAATATTTATATGTATTTCATTAGCAATTTATGGACTTCAATTCCATATATCATACTGGTACTTAATTCTGGGTTTTGATGTTTTGTTTTTTCCTAATTTCTAATTGTTCGATATTAAGTAAATATATCCGAAGACTACATTTAAGGCAATTCCAAATCTGAAGAAATAAAGTGATGTCAAAAAAAAAAATTATTTAGGTTTAAATAATGAAATTGATACAAATATTTTGAACTCACTTCTATTAAGATAAAAAAATAGCACACTCATAGAAATTAAGGAGTTATTTATTAATTTTTCACTGAGCTGTGTTGGGTTAGCTGAAGTTCCAGGGTTCAATCCAGCATTTAAGGTCGAGATAATACCTGGTGTTATCTGTCTTCATTAGCCCATAAGGTGCAGAAAAGTAGTACATAATTTTCTGAACATTTCATTTCATTTTTCAATGAATTAATAACTAGCTAATTCAATTGAGTAAGATAGTAATGTTCAATTACAATGTACTTATTAATTAAGGAAACTGGTAAAGCAGAACTATGCCCCAATTTATTTGCATTATGTTTTGAAATGTATTATCAGTTAAAACTAAATGTTACGGTAAAAGAGAAATATAAAATCAGGCTTCTTTTTGAAAGAAAACAAGCATATGATTACCCCCTTTATTGACAATGGAGAAAGCAATAAGAATGATTTCAAGATGTAAGTTTATAACAGAAAAATTAAATCTATAAGCTTATAGCTAAATGGAAACTTAATTGGTTAACAATCCTTAATATTTTGTACCTTGCCAATAGCTCCCCTTTAAAAAAAAATTTTAAGTGGTTGTTAGTAGATACTCTTATAAATAATGTTTCTGAAATATAATCCAAACAATATTTTGTACTGTTTGAAAGTAAAACAAATCAGAGAACAGATATTCTTAACATCTACAATGATTATTAAAATGACTGTATGGAATGCAACATAAACATAATTGTGAAACATTCTTGATTATTAAAGCTATAAGCTTATAGATATCATTGTGAATATATCATATGTTATCTCAAGTTGAAATTAGGTTATAACCATGCTTTCTCACCCTTACATTGGAGGAGTTCACTACAACACCGCCTTTACTCTCGATTTGGCCATACTTCTGAGTTTGGACAAGAATTTGATTTGAATGGAATTGTCTTGCTTGTGCGGAATTTCTATAAGAACCACTTTATGTTAGGTTAAAAAGAAGATGAAAATCTAGTAAAATGTTGTAGTCACAAACAGACAGTTTTGAGCTCAGTCACACATGTTTGGTTTATACAACTCTTGTATTTAACAATGCCCAACCAAGCAAGCAGGCAATGAATGAATGAATGAGAACTTGGTGAGAACTAGACTATGGTATGTGATTATATTGTATTGAAATAGTGTTGACTATTTAGCTGTTCTACTGAGTGTTTAACAACTTGATAGTAGATTATAGACACACAGAACAAGTTCACATTCCATACCATCTTTAATATAGGTCATTTGTAGAGTGTCAACTCCTCCTCAACTAACTAAATAAATAACTCAATTTACTCCTTTCAAACCTGTCATTACATGTTTCTCTATTAATCATTAAAATATCTTCTAACAACTTTTATGGTTTAAAACAAACTTGAGGCTAAACTTGGTGAATTTAACAGGGTTGTTGACCTGGCAGTATTTGCCAGTCACATCAAATTTGATGTGTACAGCACTATTTTTTTCTTTCCAAATGCCCTACTTTATTCGATGAATTAAATATTACATAATCAGCATAGATATCTATTTTATCTATCTTTTACACTACTTTATCTGTGTAGATAAATCACAGCTCAAACTTTCAATTCTATATATACAAATATCTCTTGGTGTATGAATTCTATAACAGGATCTGTGCATATATTGTAATAATTTTCAGATAATACTTTCAAATAAGCTTATTTACAGTAAAACATACTGAAACATATTAATATTAACCCCTTTTACATTACATAATTTAATTAGGGATGAATTTCAAGAAGAGTTCCACAGATAACCGTACCGAGAACGCTTTTCATTTACACTACAACTGAAGAAACATTCTCAGATCACTTGAGTTAACTGTAAAGTAACTGGGCACTTTTTAATCACGGCCTGGTGTAAAAGGGGCTAATGTGTTGTTTTAATAAAAATGGTTGCAGCTAAAAATGCATGAAAATCGTTGAATTAAATTAATGTAGGTGATATCAATTAAGTTAATTGGATAATATTGCAACAGTTTGAAAAATAGAACCTTAAAGTTTATAACTAAAAGGGATTGTAAAGAGGTTTACTAAATTTATTATGGGTCTACGGGGTCATTTTCAGCATTCCAATATTCAGTCATTGCAATTCCACTAAAACTTAGTGTTATATGAAAACACAATTGCAAAAGCTGCAAATAATTTATGAGGATTTAGATAATAATTTATTTGAAGTAGTTATTGTGATAGTGAATTCAGAAACAGTTTTTAAGGAGAAAAAAAAAAACAGAATATGAACTGTATAAAAGTTTGTCATTTTACAGTATAATATGATCACCTGAAGTAGGTTGCTGTTCTTAACTGGCATTTGATATACATTTGCGTCATACATAAGTAACTACTCATTTTTAAAAGTTCTTGAATAAGAAAAGATTCTGTATTAGTCAATGCTCAATAAAGGTAAATTCTGAAGGCATGATTCCTGGAAACACTGACAATGCAATGAACCATACAACTTCTCTTAGAATGAAATAATATAGACGTAGTGTTAGAAATGGAATAATACCACATTCTCAGAGATTATATTATATAAGTGCTATTTTGACAAATCAAAGCTATAAGAAACTTGTCATCTTCAGTAAAAGCTGGAAATGAGTGACTCAATATTTTGCTAAATAATAATCATGTATGTCACAAGTTTGTATTAAGGTAGGCCAGTGACAAGGAAATGATAAAATATTGACTTATATCATTGATTATAGTAATAGAGTGTATGAAGAAAGTAAAAGCCAATGAAGTCAGTTGAGTTAGACTACTGTTTGATCTCCTGTCAAAAAACTCTCATAAATCCTATCATTTCTATCATGTCTGCATTTTATATTGGAGACAAATCATCTATTTTGTATTCATGACATTTGAATAAATTTCACTATACACTGCATTTCTTATCAGTTTATTAGGGAATTGCACTAACTGCATATTTGACCTTTTAATATTGATAGATTACTCTAAGCTTGGCTAAGCTAACATTCTTAGATGAATGTGTGCCTAATATGTTGATTGCTTAATCAGACATAGAAAATATACAGAATCTTGCCATTGATGATGATTTAATTTGTCCATAATTTCAAATCTGATTCTAGTGTAATGAATATGATTTGGCACATTGATAGAATCACCAAGTAGATTACAAGGGGATGTTCCAAGACAAAAAAGACTAATAGGATAATTCCCATGATTATAATGTGTCTAATAAAGAAACCTAATTAATTAATTATGACAATGTTTTGTTTTTCTCACTAACCAGCAGGAGAAATGACTTTGATATTAGTGAGATATAAAAACACAAATTGCTTAAATGTTGTTTCTTGAACAATGATCATATTGACATTATAAAGGGGAAGTATCTCTTTATAATAATTAACACCAACTCTAAATATAGGCCACACTTAGTGTACAATATTACCACTTAAAGTATTGGTTAGGTCAAATATTTTAACATTCTTTAAACTGGTCTTTTTAAAGGGTTTGGATTTGATATATGGTCAAGTGTCATTTAAATGCCTTTAAAACAAAGCTTTTAATAATTTGCTTTTGCAAAGTTGAGATGTAAAAGTCTGGTATATCAAATGTCAAAATCTTGATAATTTAAGTTAATTTTTAAAAGGAAGAAATCTTATTATTGTCAAGCTATTCATTGCTATAGTAATGTTATTTGGTAGAATTTGTAAGTGATGATATTGGAGGGAAAAGTTATGAACCATTGTTACCATGCATTCAATTTGAAAGGGTGGTTAAGAATTATGGAATGCTTTTATGATTGATTCAGAATCCCTTATGGTCTAATTAGACTTTCAGGCTTCCTGATAGATTGTAAAATGTCAAGCCTATGTGCAGAATTTCCATTTGAAATATTTTCTGTTTATGTTTGTAGATGTTTGTTATCAAAGAATTTTATCCGCTTGGGACATTGGTTTGTTCGCCCATATGATCAGTTTACATCTACAGAAAGAAGGTAAGTTTATCTTTTTTTCAGTAAAAATGTGTATTTAAGTCAATACCAGATGTCTCTTAGAAATTAATAACCTTACATTCCAAATTGTCATTGATTTTTAATTTATCTGATGTTTTTTCTTCGGAATCTCTGCTTGTAATTAAATTAGACAAATATTTAATTACATTCTGAGAAGAAAAAATGAAATCCCTAGAAAGGCTAATTTGAAAATTGGTTAATATGAAATGGTATTCTCACTGGCCTTGTTTGTTTCACTAGTAAACAGTCAACTTATTGATTGAAAGAGTTGAATGTACAAGTTGAAGTTTTTGACATTTGGCCAATAAATTAACTGAGTAGTGATAAAATACTGTCATTCAATGGAAATGGACTGACAAATGGTAGCAGATTAAATAGGCCTTCTGTACTCTATAACAATAATATCTCCATCACGATATAGCACATCTAGATACGTAAATTTTTCCTCAGATTCTTCCAAAATACTGTCTAATATAAGTTTGTCAAAGAAAGAAAATGCCAATTTTTTTTTATTGTGTCTTATGCTGAAAAAAGTAATAAAAATATGCATGCATTGTATAGACTTACTTAATACTATAAAAATTCAAGAAGATGCTGAAGTTTTAAATTGTCTTGAGTCAAATTGTATCCTGTTAAGATTTCCATTCTTTTAAGACATCTTACAAATACAACTCTAGAGGATTATTTATTTGTGTGATATACGATCAATCAATTAATGTCTTCCTGTAACTTAAATACACTCAGTTTGAATTAACATTTCCTACCATGATGTAAATCGTAAGATGAGCTTAGGTCACTTTAATATAAGTTTTGTAGAATATTTTTGTTGATTCTTCACTCCTGTTCGGTGAATTTTCTTTGCATAACTATTGAAGTTTTGGTTCTGATGATGGTTTGGTATCTACAACACTGCACCAGTTTGAGATGAGCCTTTTACATGTAAATAATCATAATGAAACCAATTTCTTGTTTTTCAGTGCACATTTATCGTTCCGGTTTCATTTCTTTCTGCATGGTGAAAGTCAGGTGTGTGCTAGTATTGAGGTAAAACAACATCCACCAGTGTGGCGCCTAACACCACAATATTTATCTTTAATACAGGAGAATCAGGCCAATTTTCAAGGTAAGTTTTTTGTCTGCTCAAATTTGCTTTTTAAATGGATTTTAACGGCCCACAGAATATACCACTAAACTTAAACAAATGCATATATGTTAAAGAAATTGAAATGTTATAATGTGGTTTAAAATACAAGTCGGTGGTTTCTTTGTACAACTCTCATGTTACTCTATTATAAGATCAAAAAAGGAAAGTATATGAAAAATAGCTCATAAATAATAGATTTTTGATGTTGATGTCTTTCTACATAAATAATTTTTTTGTCCTCTGAAAAATTGATTCTGAACATCAAATAAAAGTTTGGTATAAAAATCCTTATTTTTATTACCTTTGAATTATTGAATATATTTGTTATGTTCTGTTTTGGGATATTTATTGAAAATTTAATAAAATATAAATCAACCAGTTGATAGGAAATGATGAGAATACAGAGACAAACACCGTGTCAATGCCCTAATTTTAGTCAAGACGTTCTATTAAAGGAGACATTTTGACCTTTAAGGATGTAGCCTGGGGGCAAATAAACATGTTGTACTATATTGTGTGATGTTCAACTATAGTCTAGTGTCCACAGGTCTTCAACAGTCCACTGATCTTATATAATCTTTAACACATTTCAATGATATCACTTTAAACCTTATGACAAGAGATGGTGGTTTTGTATTAGGTGATAAGGATGGAAAATGGAATCTCAGAAACTCTATGATTTTGATGTGCAAGAGCTCAGAGGACATTATAGAAAAATGACTTGTGTAAAAAAATTGTTTAATCTCTGTAAGAAGTAAATTTTATGTTTACAATGTAAATTTCAGAGAATGACTGAGAAACAAAATTTGAAATGCTTCAATATATAGGCTTAGTAAAAGCTAAGAGCAAAATTTCTAGAAATACTGATACCAGTACTGTTAATTATTAGAAAAGAGAATGTACTCTATGGAAAAGATATCTACTTTAGTTTATTAAGGAATTATCATTATATCTTATCCATACTGATCTCTAGTAGAGAATAGTGTTTATTTTATAAGTACAAGGCCATAAATATCAATCAATATTCTTGACCTTTGACCTGTATTTATAGGTGTTTGATTGGTTGAGATGAGATTAGTCTAGCCTGTTATACTAGTGGGTTGTAATACAATAGATTAGGACCATATTGTAATTATATTTGATAGTGAGGCTAGTTGAATATATTAGTAACAGTACTGAAGTCTATTGATTGTTTTAAGCTAGTCATTTGTATAGACTTTGACTATTGATATTTATGGCCGTCTAGGAACTGTGGTTTAGAAAAGATTTCATTAGAAACATTTTGGATTTCATTCTGTATTAAGAAATGAAATTTTGAAAATATTTTGAAGAACATTTTTTCAATAAGGTGATATGAAAGTCATCCAACGTCTAAGATAATCAATTTTATTTTATGAAAAAATAATACATTAATAGTCACAATATAGTAAATAAAGTAAAAGTGTAAGCAAATAAATTCTTTACCAACAAATTCTTTGAGTACACTTCAACAATGGTTATATACCTGATCTAATGCTGCAGACAATCTTTGGATGGTCATTATAAAAATTATTTAGAATGGTGCACAAAATTAGGACATAAAATTCTGTTAATGAATAAAAATTAAATTCTACCGATGATAAATAAAAGAAAAAACTGTCTCGATAATTTACAAGCTTAGTCTGAGGTCTTGGTAAGCTAATGGGATATTGTAAACAATGTAAAATTCCATCACAAGGTGAATAGTGTATTACAGTGATAACTTATGGTATAAAGTGAAGAATCTATCTTATTTCTACTAGAAGATCAATAAGCTCTAGTTAGTTATGTGACTAGTAAATAACTATGTTGGCACAAATAGACCATTGTCCTTGACTTATTATACTGTCAGTATACTATATATCAAATAGATAATTGAAACTAACATATAAATATTTCCTTATTACAGTACTTGATTACAAATTTCTTCTGATAGACTTCATAAAGCTTTTGCATAGAAAATTTTTTTGAAAATATTATATGGTTCAATAATCAACTTTGTTTTGCTCCTTTCAATTTTCTGTACTTATTTGTGTCATTTAATGTTGTCCTTTGTCAATATGTACCTAATCAGCTAATAAAGCTCAATTCAGCTGTCTCAAAGGGGAATTTTGTAGCTACATCCAGACATTGGATTTTATTTCTGAAAAGAGATGGAAAGATAGAATTGAGCTCTTTTAGCTGATAATGGACAACAATTCAAATATACAAATAAAATAATATTTGAAGAAATTAACAATGAATTCTTTTCCTGGAATTTAGTATTGACTTCCATATTTATTGTATTCAATAAGATATTTGAACGATCTACTTCGTTTCAATTTTTAGAAAATCTCTTTTGAGGCATGGACAATAATAATACTATAGTATATTATAAGTTATCATAATAATGCAATAATAACATTCAATAGTGCTTTACTTATTTTGTTTGAATATAATCCAAGATCTAAATTTAGTGAACTGTAATTCTTACAAAAACCATTGTAGAGACCAATGTGTTTAATTGTTCCTAGAAATACTATGAACCTTATGAACATGCACTCTTTCTGAGTAATGTTTCAGTTTTACTTTGAAATTAATTCCAATCTTGGCATCATACTTCTTCATTTGCCTTGATTTGGTTCTTTCACTTGATTAATGAGTAAGATGTCTGGAACCGGACAAAGAAATTAAGGCTGACATTTTGTTTTCTTATAATCAGTTTTCTCTTGTTCTATTCAGAACACCTGATAACATTCTATGACTGGCACTCTTGTGTGCGCCCTATTTTGAATTTTTATAAGCAATACTCTACAAGAAAGATTTATTTTGTAAATTAGCTTCACACTTTATTTGTAGTATCTTTTCTACCCTGTTCCATTGAAAAGTAACCTTTTTTTTCATCAATCACCCTATACAAACCCCTATTTATTTGAGAATTATGCTAACCCTCGTTTAATCACTTTAGGAATACCTGATGCCTTCTATGAATGTGTTTGTGAACTTTATTTGAAAAGTCTGCATTTATTGAACTATTTTTATAAATACTTATCCAAGTTTTATCTATTTACAGTCATCCTAGCACCATATGGGTTAAATGGTCAACTGACTGGTAATTCATATCGTGAAAGTGATGTGGCCAGTAGAAGAATGTATGAGGAATGGAGACAATTCTACCCAGTAGATTGTAATGAATATAAATCAGATCATACAACTGATACTAATAATAAGTTACCTAATATGGTAGAGGTTATAGTGGGTAAGTAGAGAAACGCACACCTGTCTAATCTCCAAAAAGGAAGCTAAATTATATGAAACAATATTTAGATTACTCTGGCTTTCCAAAAACATTTCTTGCTTTATTGAATAAAAATTCAATCAGTATGTTTAGTGAAGGACCCACTAGTTTGAAATATGGTACTGAGATTTTCTTCGTATTTAATGGCTTATTATTTTGGCTGAGTTTATTCTCAATGATCTTGTCCATTGGCTCAAATATTGATTCTTACTTCATTAGCCCTATTAGATACTGAAATATTGTGATGTATAATAGTGCTGGGTATGGCCAATCATGCCCCTAGTGATACTACAAATAAAAGGATGTAAAAGGAATTTGAATGAAAGCACAGGCATGTAAGCATAACCTCCCGTGACAAGAGTATTGTTTATGCAGTTAAATAATTAAAAAATATATAATATAAAATAAATTAGTCATCCATGGCTACGATACAATAGTTAACTCTAACATAAAATTTTATTTAAGTTCAAATGTTGATGTATTTTAGCTGGAGTAAGGATGAAGTATCCATCATGTTATGTTATGATATGTGATAATGATGATTCTCCAGTCCGCTTACAACCATTATCAGTGACTACTGGAGCCTCTCAGAACCCTCATTACAATTCTATAACACCACCTACTTCACCTTGTGATCCTAGTCTCATGACAGACGTCAATGTTAAAATGGTACCAAATACAATGGTTGATACTCAGTTTACTACATCAGCTACATCTGATGCCCTTAGTCACCATATACTAGAACGTGTTTCACATCATGCTTGTATTAATTCAGGCATGGCTAAACGGTAAGTCTTGTGCTCTTATATTAAAATTGCTTCATTAAAAACAACTTTATTTCTCAATTGATGAGGGATTCATTGAATAAATTACTTGTTGTTTTCGAAAATCTGTCTTCTTGTGTATTTGAGAATTAATTCCATGGCTGGTGTTAAAATACAATGCTTTTCTTGTTATTCTCTTCTGAAGTTCATAGCCCACATGGTGCAGAAAGGGGCGTAAAACTCCTCTCATTTAATTTCATTTCTGAAGTTCATAATGTAAATACCTGTATTTGTAGGAATAATGAAGGGAATGAAGAACCATATGCTGGTTTATGGAATTATGGTGATTCTACCTGTAAGATGCCATGTAATTGTGTAAGGTAAGCATTGAGGTATTTTAGTTTATGAAGACTAAGATATCACTAATCATGCCACAATACAATACAATGCATTTTGGAATGAGAGGTATTGTCAGTATCGCAATATGATATGAGCCTTGTGTCTTGTTGTATTGCGATACATCTATTCATAGATGGCAGCACTATTTATGACAGATTTGGATAAAGATGTGTGTTAAATAGACAATGATATACATCAAGATTTCAAACTTAACAATACTCTCTTTAGTAGTAAACTTCAAATATTATTTTACTTATTTGTTACTTGATATTTCATTTTTTAGGCACAGAAAAATGAAGGCAGGCCAAGGAAAGACTTCATCAGGAAAACATGCAAAAAGTGAAAAACAAGAAAAATTGGAAAGACAATTATCGCGTCATGGACGAAATGTGACTCCATTTCATAGACGATCTTTAGTAACAGACGATATGTTACAGTTTGATATGAATATTATGCTGACTCAACCCCAAAATAACTCGAACAATAATTTCTGTGGTTCTGGAGGTAATAACAACATGCCTTCAGGACAGAGTAACCTTAATGACTCTAACATAGACGATCCCTCTTCCCCACCCTCCCCTTTAGATGAACCTCAACCCTTAGTGAACTCTAATATGGAGCCTCCAATGCCAACGTTAAGTCCGCACCCACCACCAAAAATAAACGGTGAAAAAGACTACGGTGTGAAATCATCCAATGTGTCTGACATATCTAACGGTGTCTGTGGACCCAATGGGGAATTTTTCCCAAAACAAGAGGAACCACCACTCTCAGGACTAAAAGTGGAATCATGTGACAATTCGTTTAATTGGACTCAAAGTGAAGCCAAACGTGAAAGTGTCAATGTGTGGTTACAATCTCAACAGAAACAAGTAGAAATTCTTGGATTGAAACGACCGCCATTACTCCCAACGTTTGAGGGGGATAAAAGTCAAGAAGATCTAGTCACAGATTCTCTTTATAATTTAGATCCATTAAATGCTTGGTAAGTGATCAATTTTCACACTCGTATTTATTAAACCAGTTCAGTTCAGACTGAAAATAGTGATTAGCTTTAATAGGAAAAAAAAAACATGATGTTACAGACTGCAATAGAAGATCCATCAAAATTTACGAAACAAATTGACATTGGTTTCCTGACCATTTTCCTTATTTAGCACTGCATGGTGTTGACTGTTTTCTTTCATTTATGTTGTCTAATGAAAAGTGTAAACTAACTGGCTTTATGCTGCATTGCAGTAAAACTAACTCTCATCTGATTCTTTATAATTATCTCTTATTTCAGGATCGAATTACCTATAAAGAAATCTCGTATCGATTGTTCTTCATCACCATGTCATCATCCTGACTTGAAATCACCAACATCACATTCCGACGTATTTAAAGTACCCACCCCCTCCCCACCTGTACCAGATCCTTACGAATTCTCTGATGAGGCTTCCTTTAATCCCAACACCTTAAAAAGTACCAGGAAAAGTCGAGATGAAATGATTCCAAGACAGTCTCCTTTTAACAAAATGGTAAGTTGTAGTTAACATGCCCTTTTGACTTTTCTCATTCTGGCGTTATTTAACTTATATGTTCACTGCAAACTTCATGGTATTGATCTTTTGGCAGATTATATCCATTTGGCAGTGGAAAAGCTCAGCCAGTAGCCCAATTGATCAATTCTGATGTGACAACCAGTGCCTTTGATTGACTTGGTGCCTGCTTTCAACTTTCACCTATTTATTGCTGAATCAACTTGAAAAATTATGAGAGACTGGACTTGTTCAACATTTTTTCAAGCAGCATACAATCATATAATAGATATCTCAAGTTACATATATCTACTTGCCACTCAGCCTTACCCTTGTTAAAATTACAGTGTTTTAATGATTTTTATATTTTCATATTTTCCAGGAGGATGATTCTGGTCAAACAGGTAAGCAGAAATCATACAAATACTTGTTGGCAATGTTGGAAAGCATATTACATTTTCAGACCTTCCAACAAATGTTCTTTGATTAAAAGGTTTAGAAAAGTAGGACCTAAACCTCATATCTTTTGATGTGTTTTTCTGTCATTATCTGAAAGTTTGTTTTTTTTCCAACATCAGTCATCAGATTGTGAAATTGTAATTTGTGGCATTATGATTTTCATAAGTAGATTACATAATATAGGTTCCTTCTCTATATGAATATAGTATTACTGTTTCAGATGCTACAATGTCAATGTCTTTTATTTCAGATATATCTCCCTTTGGTTCCCCACCAACACCAAACAGTAATTTAATGCGTACAGCTGATTTAGCAGTGAAGAGTTCGGATCTTGATCACATGTTTGATTCAGACGATTCATCAGATCGGGATGATGCTGGGGTTAGTGTTCATGCCCTCATAAACTTTGATGATGACTTCGTGAGTGAGACCAAATTTTACATCCATTATTGTAACTTCTTGCTACCATTTGATAATGCGTTGATTTCTGTTACTAACTAATTTAGTATGGATGTTGTATGAATCTTTTTTTATTTCATGATTTTATTCTTAGAGTAGATAATTTTCAAGAGCTCAACCAATTTATTTACTTGTTTTGTTACTTGTATACAATTAGAAGATTCAAAATTATTAGTTAAAGTATGCTTATTCACTTATGTTATGCTTTAGAGTCTTTCTATATCAGACTTTTCTCACCCATGTCTAAAAAGCTTGTTTTGATTTTAGAAAAAGTGTTAAAATAACTTGGTTAAGCTTTTGAACTATGTTAAACATCAGTCTTTGTCTTGTCTTGTCTTGTATCTTTGTTTTCATTTTCTGTTGTATAAAAACATTTTCTAAACTCCTTCTGAGATTCTTTACTGATTTTTCTCTTTGAATTTATTTAAAAAAAAATAATAGGGAAACATTAAAACTCAAGAAAAAGAATCTTCATGATTGAAACTGTTTTTACTTCAATGTGTGTAGTTAATCATTTCTGTCCTGTTTTCCTTACTGTATATCTTCATAAATCATAACTTTCCCTCTATAGTATAAGAAAGAATGGCTTGCGGCTTGAATAGAATACTTTTAATTCAATGATTTTTCTGGTTGGACATTCCTTTCTTAGAGAATTTCAATATTCATTTGTTTTCGTTCAGAATCATTTATCTTTTGACTACAGCCCATAGCCATTTTTTCTCATATCTCTCTTTCATAACTAACAGAACCTCAATTCTTTTCATTTCTTACTCTTCTATACATAATTCTACATTTCAACATCGATATCAATTTGTGTAAATGTTATTTCATCCATTTTGTGATCATGTCATTGTTTTTGCATCAATTTTCTGTGTCTGTCATATTTATGTTATAAAGTTCTGTTGAATTTTTGTTTTTAAAATTTATGTTTTGAATTTGTAGATGTGTGATACCAATACAGCCAAAAGACTTGAAGAAGATATTAAAAGTAGAACATGTCCTGGCAATATTGGTGAGTTTTTCTTTCCATACAAGAGTAATAACTATTTTCAACCCAAAAGTATGTATACAAGTAGGATACAACAGTTAGCAACAATGTTGAAATAGCTCTTTATAGATTTGAGTTTGGATTTACTAATTGGTTTTATTGGTGAAGTCTAAGATGACTTGATGTTGCTCCTGTCTCTGTGGAATATTTCAGTCAAAACATACCATGAACTTTATGAAATACCAATTTCATCAACAATTACGTCTCCTTGCGATTATGTTTAATGAAATGGCATGGCTCAAATCTATTTTATGTATTATATTTCAGCACCATCTGAATTAGCTCGTATGTTTCCAACCCCTCCATCTCAAGAACCTAACAAAGCTTTATCACCTGAAGCTGATGTCCAACATGATAGTCATATAACATTACCATCAGATATAGTTTTTTATCGCTCTAAAGTCTCAACAGTATTTACTGTTCCTGAGGACATCTCAAGGGTAAGATTTTTATTCGATAAACACACTACTCATACTTTTACTATTTACATGACTGACAGAATCAGCTTGAATGATAAAGAAATATGATCTATTAATTTGACAGACTTTCACATGCAGAAACAACAGCCACTTAATGACAATAAATAAACAGTTAGCCTTCCAGATATTCTAGACTTACCATCATTATAACAAACTCATTCTTGATTTGAATATCCTTTATTTACAGCAGGATGTTTTCAAACCACCAAAGACAGCCAAATTTGTTAGTGCTCCAAAATATAGTCCTATAGAACTGCCAAGTCGCCAACTATCACCTATAAATATCTTATCACACCCAGGCTATAAACCATCTTGGCAATATCCCATGTCTGTATTACCTATCGAAAAACAACAACCTGTTATAAGGTAACACATATTTTCTAATACATTTAATATTTTCTTTGAAATATAAAAGAAGTCATACTTCATTTTATAAAAGAAGTGAAACTAAAAGTTTCAAGCTAACTATTGATATTCAGTTTGAAGGATAATGTTTGATTTGGATTTGAATTTAAAGCAAAGTTGATATAGATCAGTAAAGAAGAATATTCTGTGTATTCTTCAAGGGCTAGATTTCAGACGACATCTTACTTTGAAGTTGCCACCTTTTAAAGTGTTGCAAATCAGTTAATGTTATTACAAGATTGATGGAAGGATATGCAATTTAAAGAAATTTACCAGATAATCCATGGTATTTATGCTATTTTAGGTTAATGGTTTTGTTTAAAAATTATAAATCGTGCCATGGAAATATTTTAATTTCAAAACTTTATTTTTTCAGTAGTTACATAAATCTACCGTCCATTGAAAATGTGTCAAGTTGTTTATCACGGACTATTCCATCTCCGGCAACTTTCACAAACATTAACAGTAATCAACAACGGACACCCATGAGTTACGAACTTCAATCACCAGCTTCCAATGCTTCATCATATCTCAATAAAACATTAAACTCTGTTGATAATCAACCTACAAATCATCAAATACCAGAAGTTCATAGTTTATTAGTCAACGTGTTGTTATCAGACTCCTTATTAAACCTTTATAAAGATCACAACTTTGATAGTTGTAATATCTGTGTGTGTAATTTTGATATTAAAGGGGCAGACGTTGGACCCTATTTACCCGACATGGGCAATTCGGAATCGGGGTATAATTGTATGTGTGGTTTTAGTGCTGTTGTTAATAGAAAATATGGCTATCATTCAGGATTATTCTATGAGGATGAAGTTGATATTACAGGAATACGTGAAAGTCGTTTTGATAAACGGAAACATTCGTTATTAGATATTGACTATGATAACGGCGTTGCTATTAGTGATAAGGAAGAAGAGGATATACCTCCGAGTATTTTGAAACTATTAATAGAACAGTTTACTGTGCCGTTTTTAACAAATGTGGCAGAACAACGTCTAGCTAAATTAAACATGATTACTTCAACAACAGCTCTCAATAACTCTGTGGATGTCCTGCAACTCAAAGGTATAGTTATTTTTATTCTTTTACACTGTCTATATCCCAGGGCTGTTGTTTGTTAGTAGTAATATCTCTATGGAAGAATGGGAATAAATGATTTATATAATGTAAAAGGCTGCAATTTGCCTGTCAGAGTAAACTTTCTTATTCCTCTAATTCATAGTTCTGATGGGAAAATAAACCGAGGCCCTGTGTGCTACAGGCTGTGAACATTAAGGATTCCTCAACAGTTGGCATTGTCCATCTTCATTAGCCCAATTAGGTGCAGAAAAGGTTGGTTGGTGTAGGTTGTTTCTATATTCATAAAAACAAAATTTTTTTGTAATGTAAGCTTATATAAGTAACTTGTAATTTCAGACGGCAATGAAGTCAGTTATAATGCATTAGAACAAGGGAGACAAGCCATGGAGAATACTTCACCTACTAAACTAGATGATCCTTCCATGAGGATGACCTGTTTACATAAATGGCCTTTCTTGAGAGGTAGGTTGTGGTCTTTCTGTCATAGCTCAAAGGATTATTATTGTTTACGAAGGTGTCAGTGCAACACTTTCTTTCCAACTGGAATTGTTTTGTAAATATATGCTAAGTAAATATCACACTGGCTCACATTTGTCATTTAAGAATAGAAACAAGAACTTTACTAAGAACAGAAATCAGATAATTTAATAGTAGCAAGAGTCACTTGGGTATTACTGGTTCCGTGTGTTATTATAAACATATTTCTTGATATTGAAATGTCTTGTATTTTTAGGTGCAAATCGTATTCCAGTCAGCTCTCAAGATATTGTTAACTTACATAAATCACTCCAACCTATCTTACAAGATGCTATTCAAAATAAACGTGTCACAAGAATGTGGGAACATTCATATAAATTACAAGGCCCATTAACTTGGAAAGATTTTCATCAACTTGCTGGTAGAGGTAAGGATTCTTCCATTTTTTTTATAGAAAGTTACTTATTTTCTCAAGGCTTCTTCTCTAATTGTTTAGAAAATGTGGCTTTGATTAAACAGAAACAAAGATTTTTTTGATTAAGATAACAAGAAAATAATTAAATAATGAAAATGCGAATACTATTCATTGTGCTCACAAGCATAATTAATTTCTTTCCATGGTTAAATTTCGACCGATCTTTTAAACCTTTGTCATCACCAATTAAATGAGTCAGATCTTTAGTGAAGGTTGGGTTTGACCTTCTAGATTATATTCCTAATAATGGACTAGTATGGAACTTTAAAAAGCATAAATGCCCACATAATATTTACTTTTTGAATGAATTACTGAGTATATAAAATGATCATTGTTATATTTGTAGGATCTGATGAGAATTGTGAGCCCCAACCAATACCTTATTTCTTAGTGGGTAATGATGCAGACTGGCTAACTGTCTCTCCTTACAGTCTTAGATATTGGGTATGTCTTGTTTTGATTGTATATTTTCATCTTGAAGCAGGCTGATATTCTTGAATTTTCCCTAAAAGATGTTTTGAAAAATAGATGACTGATGCAACAGTCTATTTCATGTAACTTTGCTTTTTCAGAAATTTACTTCGAATAAGAAATTAAATTTTGGTAAAAAAAGATAATTCCTGCAAGAATTCCTCTTGTATCAAAATATCATATAATTGTCTATTTTTCAGGATAAACAAGTTGTGGAACCATTCGCTAAAGCCAGAGATGTAGCCTATCTTGTGGTAGCACCAGAAAATGATTATATCCTAACCAATGTACGAGATTTCTTTAAAGAATTGAGTACAGTATATAAGTTATGTCGACTGGGGAAACACAATCCTATATCTTCTAAAATTAGAGATGGTATTATGAGAGTCGGTAAATCGAACGCCCAGAAACTAGCTGAAGAATCCGTTGATGATTGGTTCAAAAATATTGGTAAGTTGGTATTTGTGAACGCTCTTCATGTTTTTTTAATATACTAAATTACAATACACTTGACATTGACCATAACAATATGGAGTGCCAGTATTTTTGTTTGATGTCATATGATATATGTATATAAGTATCCTCAGTTGATATACACACATGTAAGCTATGTCAAATTGGAATGGAATATGCCTTTGGGAGACAAAAAGAGGGGGTTGTAATAGATAATTGAAGGAGTCCTCACAACAATACAGTTGCTATGTTGCTTTCACAGCAAGTGCCAAATAACCTTGAATATGATTTGATTTGATTTGATAGAAATCGTATTTATTTTATAGGTGATTCTCAAGTAGCTGAGAAGTTAAGGTTATATGCTAGAGTGTGTCGACATCTGCTAGGACCATATCTTAAACAGTTACCAGTAGATGGTTCCTTGTTTGAAGGTTCATCTGGTCCTAAGTCACAGTTTAAAACACCAGAACCAGCTTCAACTCATCCACCAACACCTGAAAATCCTGGTTCCAATAATCCTGATGATAAAGGTAATCTTTGTTTCATCATTGATAAAGGCTTGCCTATTTTAAAAGCAATTGGATATTGCAATAGTGATAGATGTTAATTATTGAAGTATGTTCGCGTCTTACTTGATTCCAATGCAATTTATCTCACAATTTGTTTTTTGCTTCATGTAAGGCATTATGGCCTCTGAATTTGATAACTTGAATCATTAGTAATATTTTAGCGAATGAAAGTGACCATGCATTCTTAATTATGTATATTAACTTAGTGTCTGTATAATTGTAGAATCGGGTAATTCTGAGAATTCAAGCAATGAGAAAGCAGAACGTTGTGATACAGAGACAGATGAGAACAATCTACCAGCTATAGTTATCTATATGATAGAACCATTCTCATATGCTAATGATTGGGAAGACCTGAATAGATTAACTATGATTGGATTGTTACGATGTTTTCAACAGATGATACAAATATTACCTGAAAATATTCAGAATAACATCTCCTTACAGGTATAAACTCCTTGTATATCATTTTCTACGGTAGAAATTTGGTTGAAAAATTAGTATATGGTGTTGATAGAAGAATTGAATCATAGGGAAATGGTCGTCAAAATATTGCATAAGGGTAAATAACCTTGTGGAAGTGTCAATTTGGTTAAATCTGTTGCAAATTAATGAATAGCGTTTTAATTAATTGACATTGAGATCTGTCAGCTGATAAAGCAAATATCTATTGTTATTTAGAAGAATTTAAATTCTCTTATTCTTTATATATCCGCTTCACCTCTTATCACAATATATTCTAGAATATGACCAAGATTATTAAACGCTACTTTTACACAAAATTGATATTATCAAACGAATTTGCTTTCAGATTGTTCCATTAAAGACTATAACAGGACACAAAGAAAATAGAAATCAGTTTCAAGCTCTGAAATCCATGGCGTTCTCTGTGTTTACAACTTGTCGATGGAATTTATCACATACTATAATGGGAAGATCTCTCACTGGCTTTGGTCCTGCTGCAGCTGCTCAGTTATTACAGAAACGAAAAGAGGTACTGTATTTTGCTTTGATTAATCAATACTGTTATCTTGAAATTGACAAAGGGTAAAATTCATGATATAGTTCAAAAACATTTCCTGTGATCTTGGCAGGATTGCTGTCTTCTGCTGTAATGCTAATATGCTTACTATGTAAAAAAAAAAAAAATGAGCTAACATTATCTGTACAAGCAAAATTAAACCTAGACTAGTTCAGGAAGAGATATGACTCCTGTTCTATTGCTATGTGTTATATTGAATGGTATTTCTAGTGAGCTCTGTATCAAATAGACAAGCTTGTAGTTGAGAGTTGTATACTTTACAATTGTGAATATAGTGTGCACCCCTTCTTACCATTGGTCATCTTGAAAATCTGCCATTCTCGTGCACACCCGAAAAAATAATCAAGTCTCGTGTACCCAAACCTTTGTGTCTTCCAGACCGAGAATAAATGTCAGCAGTTATATACACCTCCATTTATCTTGGCACCGTTAAAAGACAAACAGGCACAGCTGGCTGAAAGTTGTGGTGGAAAAACAGAGAAAGGCAATGTTTTATTCTGTGGCTATTGTCTCTCTGAAGATCAAAGATGGCTGCTCGCAGTGGTAACTGATGAGCGTGGTGAACTTATGGAAACATGTGTTGTGAATATTGAAATTCCTAATAGAAATAGACGCAAGAAAGCTTCGGCTAGAAGAATTGGACTACGTAAATTGTGGGATTTTCTTGTTGGAATTGTGTCCATGTCTAGGATGGCTGCTCGAATTGTTATAGGACGATTTGGAAGAATTGGACATGGTGAATTAAAGGGTAAGCAAATCCAACTTCAGCTTTAATCTTTGAATTATATCTTACTTAAATTACATGGTTGTTTCACAAGTAATGCATTGTCTTTGAGAAATTTTTTTTTGCTTTCTATTCATCAAAAAAGAAACTTGCTTTTATGAATTTATGTGGTTATTGATTTTATTTACAGGTTGGTCTGGGTTACTAAGTAAGAAGAATTTACTTCATGTTAGTCATAAATTAAAGGATATGTGTGGTCAATGTGAGGTGTTAAATAGTGGTGCTGTCCCTAGCATACTTAGTGCTTGTCTTGTGTCATTGGAACCACATTCCAGTTTTCAAATCATGGCTGATGCAATGAAGGCAGAAGAGAAAATGAGCAGTAATTGTCCTCTACAGACTCCCAGAGATGCATCAGCTACTCATATACTGGTCTTTCCAATCTCTGCCACAGCACAGGTCAGTTTTTCTTAGATTCTATTCTCAATTCTCAATTGTAATGATTGCTTTATGCTGTGTTAGATTTGAATCATCCTTTGTTCTCTGATGAGATGAGTTGGCAAAATGTCTAACTTATTTGAAACTTGTAGAAAAGTAGGTGTAAAAGACTTGAAGGTCACAGATAATGGTTCATTGTATTTTTTGATGGCCTTTTTATAGATGAATATTTCCCCTATTGTCTTCATTAGTTCGATAAGGCACAGATTTCATCCCATTATTTTCCTTGTCAAAGTCTATTTGATCAGAAATCTAACATGTTATTTGTGTTTTTCAGGCCAATTCAATGCCACTCCAACCTGAAGGTCAGATCCTAGATTTTAACAACACTCAGTTAGATATTAATGATGATGCCTTATTTGGAGGATTAAAAGATGAAGATTTAGGAACAATGGATCAAGGCATGGATTTATTTGATGTGTTTAATATGGATAACATGGATTATAATGGCGTACCTGGAACATCACCACCTGGATCGCCATCTGGTGGTGAACATGGTCGACAGAACTCACGATCTAATGGTCCTTGTGCAGTAAGTTAGAAATTATTCTAAAAAATTTCTGATCTTCCAAATAATTCCTACAGGCTACATTTCCTAAGAAAATATTCGAGACATTTCAAGAGTTCTAATCAGACATGACCGGCAAACATAGTTCAGCCAACAGTTACAAAATAACTTGTAATCTTTCAATTATTGATCTCTTATCTCATCTGCAGTGCTGGAAAAAAATAACTCCAAGGTTGCAAATAAACTCTGATACATTTTACAAACTATTAAGTTGATAGAGAAGGAGTTGAGGGACACCGAATACACATGCGTCTTCAAGTCTTAAATGTTTAAAGAGATTTGTCTAATAATATATATAATATTTTTACAGGGTAACAGTGGTGGTCAACAAGCTGATGCGCAAGAAGATATCAATCTGCTACAACAACCCTTAGCTATGGGATATTATGTCTCTACAGCCAGACCAGGACCTATGCCTAAATGGTTTTGGTCCAGTCGACCTGAAAATGCTCATGTTTGTCCAAACACCTTCAAGGTAATAATTTCGCTGAAAATATCAGTTTTTCCCATGAATTTCACAAATATATTATTACTTCTTTTCAAAGTGTTTCAAGCCACATTTAGCCACTACTTTCAATTGACTAGAGATCGCCTTGTCTACATGTGTTTTGAATATGAAGTCCTCATCAGGATATTGGACATTTGGACATGCTTAACTTTCCAACATGAAGACAATTAAACAATTAGATGATGTAGACACAGAGTTGCTCAAGAAAGTTTGTAAGTAAAAGGTCTGATAAATCATGGTTGCCTTGGGCAGAAATGTTTCATCAACAAATAAGAAGAATTAATTTAATTATATTTATATTCTGGTATTTCAGGCTGCCTTACATGTCCATTGTTCATCAAGTCATGATGATTTTTATAATCATTCCCATACAGTAGACAGAAATACACACCCTTTAGATTCTCATCTCACCTGTGATGTTCTTAGGTAAGTTTTCATGTATTGTTCTTTTGGATATAAGCACTGACAATGTAAAAATGGAATCTCTTCTTGGCATCTAGTGTCATGATTAAGATGTCTTTTCATAAGGCGTTCATGATATCAGCAGTAACTGTACATAAGATTGCTTTCATTTAAGAATTGCCTGTCAACAGTGTTAATTTCCATGGTGATTCTTGTTTTAATTGAAGAAGAACTGTATTTCTTGTTTAATAGATAGATGAAGTTAAGCCTTTCTCACGTGACAAAGAATTACAATTAATTTTAGTTCAGTCAGCTTTCAAAGTTACTAACTCAGTACATATTTTTTTACTTGTCACACTTCAGTAGTGACAATAGATCAGTTGTCTGAAGATTGCTTAGTGTGAAACTCTGAGAAACAACATGTTTCAGGTTCTGTTTTAATATTTTCAGATTTGTATTAGAGAATTACAATGCTTTATCGTGGTTGACGTATGATGTGAGTAAAAATGACAGAAGATCCTGTTTACCAATACATCTGGATATGTTGATGCAGATGTATCATGCAATGAGTGCTTTCATTTAGTTTACAAATGGTGGATAAAGGTGCTAATTCATTTCCATAGGAACACATGGTGCAATAAACAATTTAAAATACTGAAACTCAGGGAGGCTTTCATTTGTTTTTTGTTGAATTTTGATAGAATATGATCATCAAGACTGTCATTGTACAGATATGGACATTAATCATATGTTTCAAGTTTCCTGAACGCTGGGGAAACGACATATTTATGGTTTTCAGAGGCTGTCTGTGTACTGTTTCTTGAATAACTTATAAGAGAGTAAAGCTGTACCATTTATAAAAGACATTTATAATTGTCAATTATTTCAATTTGGGGGAAACAGGAATATTGTTGAATTGTGTAAATTGTGTTGACTCTTAACTGTTTTCTCTATACATGTACTTTGATCTCAGTAGGCCCTAAATATTTAAACTATACTGTCCTTCTTAAAACTCTTAACCATTTTTATACTGAACTCAAGTGTCAATAAAGACCCTAGGCCAATATATCACAAATTCTTAAATTTTGTGAGGTATTGAAATTATTGTCTAAAATTTATGTAAGTCAATCAGATGAGCAAAATGAGGCCTTGTTTTCAATTTTCTTAAAATTGGCTCATGGTTAGTAATGATTTTCATGCGTTGCTTGTTTGCTGAGCTTTTATTTGACTCTAGCAGCTGTCCTGATACGTGATATCTATTTTTTTTTCTAAACTCTATAATCAAAAATATTTTACAAAAATCAACCTGGATCGATAAAAACTTAGAAGTTTTTAGAAAATTCTACAATGTCAAGAAAATGATAAATTCTGACTTCCCTTTATGAGTAGATTATGTTCTTTACTTCAGTCATAACTATTTTTTTTATATATATCAAGCAAGTGTTAAGTAGATCAGTTCCCCAAATATGTTAATTTCTATGAAATTATTTTTTTCGTCTGCAAATGTATATCTGCTTCTATTTAATTATTTATCCTTTTATAATTTTATATTTTAAGATTTATTTATGATGAATTGTTTGACAAGTTCATTTGGAGAATTTTACTGTCTGCTTTTCAAACTTTCGTGCTTTGACTATGCTTTTACCAGAACAAAATAACTTTCACTTAAATTGTTATCCTCATTAACTTGTCTGATAGTAGTCGCACTTGATATGATACTTTTCATTGGTTAAATAATTTCAAGATCTCGTTAAGAATCCAATCAAATTTGACTCTCTCATCAACAGTTATGTGTCCAATGAATCTACAACTAATTAACTTGTAATGAGCAAGCAAACAATGATTGTTATGACCATTCATTGTGGTAAGAATCAATTATTTATGCATAAAGGGTTAACCAATGTGATCAATATTCAACCTCAAGTCATTTATTGTCATAATTCTTAAGGTTAGGCTTTGTCAAGTCAAAGTAAATATTAGAAATGATATTAATGAAAATGAATGTATAACGACTGGTTGTATGACAGATATTCTCTAAAACAAAGGGCAAATATAAATGATATTTTTTCAAGAACTTTTTTTACAATGATATTAAATTCATGTGAACAATTCATTATCAACACATATAGAACGCATAGAGAGCATGTCAACTAACAAAGTCAATGTGTACAATTTTTCGCACACAATATTTCCATACTTAACCTGGAATTTTACAATAGGGCACATCATTTCTACCTAAACAATCAAATTTGATGCGTACATTTTAAAACCATGGTACTATCCTAGTTTCCCCTTTAAGTTATCTTTGAGGGTTCGGTATCCTGGCTTCTTAGCATCAAGGGAAAATTTCAACTCAAAATTTTAATTCAAAAACTAAATTTGTATAGTGATATTCTACATCATTTTGAGATCATTTTGTAGATAAATTTTGATATGAAATAAAACTTTTTCTATATTTTATTTTAAGTACGTAATTTAAGTCAGTCCAACCAAGTCAAATCATTTATGTATCTAATTTATAAAAAACGTATTTTTGTCATAACATCATGTTCATTTATCATTTTGTAAAGCTCAAATTGTAATATTTTTCATTTAAAATCATGTGAATTGTTTAAGAAGAATCTATATTGATAAAATGATTGTATATGAATGTTATTTATGTATATAAAGGGGAATATGGTTGTATATAATAAGTATGTATATCATACATTATGATATCTATATGGTTCAAACTGTTGAATTGTGTACAAAATAAATGTTATATACAGTATTAGGCAGTAGTCAACTCACAATATAAATTGGGTCTTCATTCAATTCATTGTCTATACCTTGAAAAGAAATGATCTGCTCAAATGATAATAAGATACAGGACTACTTCGATTGTCTCAGAAATTGATCATTTTCATCTTTTTATTGAAATAACAATTACAAAGCATTAAATCAGTATTTCTGTATCCAGATCTTTTATTGTTGGCCCTTATATTAGTATTATTTCGCAATATATATTTGCAAATACATGTACTACTGACCAGAGTGGAAGAATTGAAATGATTATAACTGGAAGCAGTAGACAACCAATCAGATGAAGGTGTCAACTTTCTTTCAAGCATCTTTCATAGAATATATTGCTGGAGATTTTCATCATCCTCAGGCATATAACAATGAGTTGAATTTAGACCCCAATTGAAAACTGAAACAATACCTCTTCAATGTTATCAAATGATTGATAAAAAAAAACTTTGTTAGTCTTAATGCCTCAGTGTAAATTTTAATATTCCTCAAATAATTTTTGTCTGTTATTACAATGTAATGTATATGTAGCTATTTATACCATTCTAAGCACAGGAGATGCAATGTTGTACATATTAATACATGACTTGCAAATACCATTGTATGTTTACCAAATTTCAAACAAATTAATTGTAAGTAAAATAAAAATTTGAATTATAAGTTATTTTTGTAGCTAGTAAATACTATACAAAAAACTGGCTATGTAAAATAAATATTATCAAAGTGATTTCAAATTTTCCCTTCTAATACAAGATTTCTCAGCCCTAAAAGCATTTGATCACAAGAAAAATGTGTGAAAACGACCATGGCATACAATGAAGGAATTACTATTGTTACAGCAGTCTAGTCAACAGATATGCATAGGCTGTCGTAACTATAGAAAATTTATTTCAAATTAAGGCAAAATACAGGATGTTTAGTGCAAGGTAGGGACAGCCATATCTTGCCTTGAGTGCAGCTTCTTTTAGGGCTTTTGTTAAGGGGTTGAACTTATCGGTCGTCGGGGATAATTGCTTTGATTATATTTTTAGTGAATGATAGCAAGGTTCTTGTAATGAATTATTTAGTTTTAAAGAGTAAGGGGAGGTAACTCATTTTAATAACTAAAAAGGAGATTGAAGAGTTCCAAAAGCGGAGTCAGTTCGTTGAATAGACGCTGATCCAACATTATTTATTTATTTTAATCCGAAGCCATCACAGTTAAAACAGTGGATTTCGACTAGCAATTTAGGACTAGAGTGACTATCAATAATTCCAAAATGTCTATCGGTGTACCAATTAAAGTTTTGCACGAAGCAGAAGGACATATTGTGACTTGTGAAACAACAACCGGCGAAGTATACAGAGGGAAATTGATCGAGGCTGAAGACAATATGAATTGCCAAATGCAAAACATAACTGTGACTTATCGTGATGGACGAGTAGCTCAGTTAGAAAATGTATACATTCGAGGCAGCAAAATCAGATTTCTTATTTTACCGGATATGTTAAAAAATGCGCCCATGTTTAAAAAAGTTAGCGGAAAAGGCACCGGTGGTGGGGCGGCCGGAAGAGGCAAATCCGCCATATTACGAGCACAAGGTAAACAAAGAGTTCTCTTTTTGCTTTTCAATGAATTTTGCAAGAAATTATATGTATGTCAATGACACACTAATTATACCATGATCTGATATACCGGTATAGACAGATCAGGATCAGCAACCCAAATAAATGTAGTGGAATAATAGATCTAATTCATATTTTGCCATTGCCTATTTGTTGGTGATATTGTCAATACAATGAATATACTTGTTGCAATCAGTATATCCAGGTATTAAATCATGTTTTCTTTCCATTTCAGCTGCCAGAGGTAGGGGTAGAGCACAGCCAGGACGGGGAAATGTGTTTCAAAAAAGACGCTGAGTTATGTAAATGGACAGGAGCTGTGAAAATACTTTTACTGTGTAAATATTTTTAAAAGTCTGAGAGGCAATGAAAAGTGATAAACAAGCAATATCAAGTTCTTGCTATTATTGTTAATGTCTAAAGTGGCAAAGATCAGTGGTCCAAATGCTTTCAGGAATTAAGGCGTCTAAAAAGAAATAATATTGCTATATAAACATAAGATTTCAATCAGTGTGTAGTATCCTGGATTGTGATTTGAAGAGCATCTTTTATTGAATACCACACTAAAAGAGAAATCTTTCTTTGTAACCAATTGTGGACTGACATTTTAGCTATTTTCTCAACTGAAATTTGTCCTCATTTTATTCCTTGTGTTTTGATTAATTGGTCATTATGATAAACTTAACTACCTTATCAAGATTTGAGCAATGTAATGAAAATATATGACTACACTGTTGACAAACTATGCCATGTGTTTGAGATAAAAGTTTGTACTTGTAAGAAAGAAATCATGCCATTTTTCATTTTGTAAATTATCAAATCTTTCATAAATAAAAAAGAAAAGATTACATAAAATAGTGGTGTTTTTTGTATATAGACATTTTGTTGTCCATGTCGATGCTATCACATTTTTCAAAGAATCAAAAACCAGTTTCTAAAGAAACAGTAGCACTTTGAAAAAGTTTTTAAGGTCTACTATACTTGTGAAATATCAATGAAATGATGTGATATTATATCAATCTTATCAATGTGATAATGACTTGAAAAATGTCTAGTATTTCAACGAGACATAACATGAAACAGCAAATAATTACCAACTGGAACTATGACCAAAATTTAAAAAAAAATTATTCAAAATTAATTTTCATTACCTATTTTTCAAAGAGATAATTGTTTATAGATCCCAAACATCTTACAACAGCAATTAAGCCAAAGTTCAATATGATGCCCTAGTCCCACTCGTAAAGGGCTGACTAATTCAATTATGTGTGGTGTGATTGCGGAAGACAGAACTACTTTCAACTGGTTTGGGGGGCCAAATCCAAAGATCTATTTGGCCATTTTGTTGCTTATTTGAAGCCTAAGACAAATTTTTTTGCATTATTGATTGGAAGGTTAACACAAATTTATGTTTTATTGACATTTCATACACAGTGTTGATTATTAATGAGCTCTGTAAATTTCAATGTTACTGACATTGAATCTATGTTGTATGGTCATTTAATCAATTTGATACAATATCGTCGAATACATCGGTTTAATCTGCTATGTCGACAAATCATTTCAATACTATCCTTAGAACCTATCCGAGTTGGCCCAGGTCCTGCAAGAAAAAAAAGATAGAAATTGTCTGTGATGCAGGTCAGAGAAAACTAACTACATTTGTGTTTTGACATTTCATACACAGTGTTGATTATTTATGAGCTTTAATATTGTAAATTTCAATGTTACTGACATTGAATCTGTGTTGTATGGTTATTTAATCAAGTAGATACAAAATCGTCGAATACAACCGTTTAATCTTCTATGTCGGCAAGCTCGACAAATTCTGTCAATATTATTCATAGAACCTAACCCAGTTTCCCCAGGTCCTGGAAAAAAAAAAGATAGAATTTGTCGGTGATGCAGGTCAGAGAAAACTAACTACAGGATTAAAGGGATTGTAAATTAAATGAAATGAATGAAGTTTTACGTGCTACTTTTCTG